GAAACGTAACTCTACTGATCATGCACGACAAATATTGATATAGTGGCGTTGTACGTCTTCAAACTTTGCTTCTCGGGTGCAACGCGCCATGGCGATTCGCGCAATGCGTTGCGAATCGGGCAACCGCATGTAAACAAAATTTATTAAGGTTAGTTGTAAGGTTTTTTTCTCCGTTTTTCTCTCTAAAACAAAACAAGGTAAGCAGTAAAAACTGAGGGGAAACTAATTTTGAAGTTTCGAAGAAACAGAAAGACGTATGAGATGTTTTTTTCAAAATTAAAAAGAAGGATGATGGTTATTGAAATTAGCATAATTTCACCTTGCACGACATCTAGTTATGAAACACGATCTGCTGTCTTTTAGTTTTGCCATGGATGACATAGTACTTAGTTGTTTTTGTTTTGGAACAAGACGCCTAAAGTCGTTTCCGTGGGATGCGTTTCGCCCCATGTAAGGGAATCCAAGACACTCTTCCGGATTCCATTTACTGGATTCCAGATCTTTTTCAGTGGAACTTGGATTCCGGATTCGAATTGTTAGTGGGATTCCGGGATTCCTACACCTGTATTCCGCATTCCAAGGCCCGGGATTCCGGATTCCACAAGCAAAAATTTCCAAGATTCCGGATTCCAAATGCAAAAATTTCCCGGATTCCGGAATCCTTTAAAAGGGGCGAATGCATTGGTCTATGGAAGCATAATGGCGTTCTATCTAGGCTAATGGAACAAAACAAAACAAAACATCCGCTTGCTTTATACAGGGTCGAACCCAGGGTTACAAAGTTCGATAAAGTTCCAATGTTTTAATCCAAGATGAAAGTTTAATATTCCAAGATGCTCTTGATACGGTTAAAAATTAATTGCCATGTGTTTCCAAGGTCTCAAAGTTAACATAGGGGCGACATCAGTGAGTAGTAGAACGAAAATATAATTCAGTGGTAGAGTCATGGAAGTAATAAGAGAAACCCTTTGAAAGAGATGTTTGTCTACTCCAATTAAACCTCCCGCAAAAATAGCAACATTAATTTGCCTTTCGGAGACAGCGTACCAGCACAAAGGAACGAGGAAGAAGTGCAAGAGAACAAATCAAGTCGCCATAATTCAGCGACAGCGGCAGTGTCCAATGGACAACCCAAATCGCAAGCCCTGACCGAAGTCGAAAACTAGCGACATTTCTAAGGGTGTTACGAAAACTAAGACCCTCGAAAACTAAGACCTAACACCTAAGACCCGTCTTAGTTTTCGAGATTACGAAAACTAAGACCCCCTAAAATCGAATCCGTCGAAATATGAAGTCAAATTGTAACCGAAATAGGTCTCATCAGTCAAATTATATTCTGTCCGATTCTTTCCACCGAGTTTTAGGTAAAATTTAACGGTAAATGTAGGGGTCTTAGTTTTCGTAATTTCGAAAACAAAGAACCCTCTTAGTTTTCGTTATTACGAAAACTAAGACCCCCTACAAAACCAATCCGTAAAATATATATGAAGTCAAATTACGACCGTTCAAAGACTATAATCCGTTAAACCACCAAAAACTATCATCCGCGTGCTAACGATCCGCCTCTTCTAATAATTCACAGGCATATCATTATTGAGGCCTTAAAAAGAGGATGAAAAGCTACAGACTTCCTGGGTACAATTGTACAATGAAAATATGCCTTACCACACCGATTGGTCTATAATTTTGGTTGTTTACCCTTAAAAATCGTAAAATTGGCTTTCCACTGGAGAAGGATTTTTGCCTTCTGCGACCGTGATTGCGTTACCGAAATATCACCAAGAGAGAATGATCTCATTCTCTCTTGATATCATGTTTTGATTGTTTATTTATTTATTTCAGTATTTTTTCAGAAATTAAAACGCAAAATTTTCGAGATGATGCCTTGCTAGTACAGGAAATTCATGCATTCATTCATTTTTTTAATAATTGATTTAAGCCAGTACAGACAATTTCTCCTTGCCCACCCTAACCCTCAACTACCCTAACTTTTCACCTGGTTTCCGGTGATCTCAGGGGTGGCAAAGGTAAAAATATATTCTTGAAATAATACACTGTAGCATATTCTCTTTTTTTTTCGCCCTTTTTGAGAAAGCATTTTTCTGGCTATGGCCTTGCCAGAAAAAGGAAAAAAAACGTAGTTTTGCGCGATAACGCTGTTGACCACTTGACGATCGGAAGCGACTGGGATATATTCAGGTAACGCCACTCGCAGCAACATGTCAACCGGCAACGAAGGCAAAAATCCATCTCAGTGGAAAGCCAATTTTACGATTTTCAAGGACAAAAAACTAAAATTATAGGCCAATCGGTTGGGTAAGGCATATTTTCAATACACAGCTAGTCTATGGCTTTCACTCTCTTTTTTCTATCATCCGCGTCTGCACGCGGATGATAGTTTTTGGTTGTTTTACGGATTATAGTCTTTGAACGGTCGTAATTTGACTTCATACATATTTTACGGATTGGTTTTGTAGGGGGTCTTAGTTTTCGTAATAACGAAAGCTAAGACGGGTCTTAGGTCTTAGTTTTCGTAACACCCACATTTCTAAGCCGAGTCCCAGTTCACTGCATCACACCTTTTTGCTCGGACGCGCTCTTTTCACTGCCCAACTTTTATCCGCCCTGGTTGCAACTGCTTATATAACGTAAAGACAAAAATCTGTTTATCCAGTTCTTATCTTGTCATAGAAAGTTCTAGAAAACATTACGTAGTATTCTTATTGGGTCCTTGAAATAAAAATAGTCATAACAAAGTACTCAGCGTAAACGCGTCTGTCCTATTACGAATGTTTCTTCCTCAACATTATCTTAGTCTCAGACTAAAACTACCTTTAAAGTATTGTTCTTGAAACATGATTATGGAATTCGTGATTTTACTTAAAGTATTGACAGGTTTAGTTTGCGACTCAGCCAGGTGGACTGACTTTTGGACACAACCTTTGAAACTGTCATTTGCCGTTTTTGTTAGGTTTTGATCGGTAAAGTCATAGACAGTGCGAAGAAGAACATTGTCCGTAAAGCCCCCCCCTTGACCCCCCAAAAATTTACCTAAAATAAAATTCAGAGATGCAGCAAATAGGAAAAGGCCACGTAGTAAGTACGCTTGGATACTGTCAGAGCAAGTTTTTTTTTCTGTATGTTACAACTTGTTTTTTCAAAAATGGAACAGGGGTATTTCCGGACTCGTGAATTTTATGATGTGGCACAAAAATACATGTATGGAACTTAATTTGGTTATACTAACAAACTGATGATCTAAACTTGTATGAGCCTACTGTTTAGCCCCCGTGGAAGATTTATTTGTCAAACCAAAATATCAGGTAAATACATTTAATAATCTGCTTTGAGGATCAGTGTACTGTTTTCCTACTAGGACTTAAGGATGGAAGAAGTAATAAATTTAAGGAGAAAGTTTCTTGTTGTAAAGGTGCAGTAATCTTCTTTGCAGCTGCTTGGGCCAGAGGAATGTTATGCTTTGGGGTGGAAAGCATTGCCTGACTCTGGCCTAAGGTTGCAAAGAAGACTAGGGGCACAGAGGATATTTAAAACTGAGAATTACTATTAATTTATTATGATATTCCCTCAACTTGTCAAAAAAAGAAAAATGACATACCCCTACTCTCTTGAGTAAAAAAATGGAAATATTAGGGTACACAGATTAATATCAAGGGCATAATTATAATGTACTGAGTAACACGTACTACCCTAGGTTCATTTGGGAAACTGTATCAAGACCAGAGTAATTTGAGCGTCTGAATTATGAATGGCGTAATTAAATAAACCAGTAGAGTGCAAAAAGAAAAGGTGCTGGGTTGTCTTGCTATTGTAGAAAAGGTCAATAATTACATGGAAGTTGCAAGAATAGAAAATCAAAGTATAGGCAGTCGGCAGTTTATTTAATTTTCAATTGCGTATATCTTGTTGTTCAATCTTCCCTTATGTTTCAGTTCTTATTGTTTTATTTTTCCTTTCTTTTTGGGCTTGAAAAAAATGAAAATGAGTGTGAAAAAAGAAAGATAAAATTTGAACCAGTGATGACATGAAATCGCAACATATATACTCCTGTATGTTGAATGTGAGCTTATTAATGCATGTAAGCTTGAGTGTGTTGTCCGCGGCTGTGCTCACACGGTGGGTGGCTCCTCCTAAAATGTTCTGCAATTGGTATAGGATTTAATGGAGCTGAAACCAATTGTGGAATTACACGCATTTTAGACATCCTACTGATGAACAGTTGGGACACGTAGATATATTTTTTAGCAACCACAGTTAGCCCAAGCTCGAAATGTGAGCATCGGCGAGCATCGGCATTGTTGCGTAACATTCAAAATATAAGGATTTGTATGGGGAAAAAACCTATCGTTTCTGTAACCTACGAAAATGAAAGGATTTCAATAAAAAACAGCTCAGTTACCTTACTTAAAATGTGTGTTACATCTCTCCTGTGTGGTCCATGGGCCGATTTATGGCCGTTTTATGGGTGTTTATGTAAACGGTTTTCTCTCTATACGGTTCACCTAAAAACATTGTAACCCATTTAATACTTATATTCCTTTCTAAAGATTTTGGGTGGTTACCCCTCTTCCTCCCACTCCCTCCCACTAAAATCCCCTGCACCACTGTATGGTATACATAACAAATGCAGGTTTTAAAATGTCGATTTATTCATGTACTCGTTTTCTTGTTTTTCTTGTTTGTTAGTTGGCCTGTTTGTTGTTGTTTCGCAGGCCGGCCAGGCGGGGCTGTGGCATGTGACCATCACGTAATTTTGTTTTGGCTTCCCATGATCGGTGACGTTTGAATGCGCCCAGACTGGAACCAAGCTTCGCCTTCGCGGGACCAACAAAATGGCGACGCTTAGAATAGAAACGAAATCTCGTACATTTCTTTTTAACCGAATGGTAACCTTCCTCGGGTTTCTGACGTTAGGTCTCCTTATGGTATGGTTGCTTTACTTTTTGGCGAATTTTATTTTGTATGATTGTGGCGGAGACAAAATGTGGCTCAAACCGTTCGGAGGAGCTGGAGAACACCGAGAAACAGTTAAACAAGTCCTTACGACGGGGCAGTGGGTTTTGCAGTATCAAAGCGACCAGTTAATTCTTAAAAATTTGAAAAACGACGCATTCCTAAATGGGAAGCTTGGAAAGAGCGTTGCTGAGAGTTTAATCGTGGACAAAAATGCAAGCCAGCGCTCGTTGCGGGTTCAATGGAGCAAATCGTCCCTTGGCATCGCCCAAGATGATGACTTTGAACGATGTGTTAATGTGAACTGGGGTTCTGTTGAATCCGATGAGCTTACCGAATTCCTGGATTGCTTTAATCTCGAAGGGATGCATTGGTATGGAGGATCTGAATTGTATAAACAAGAATGGCCTCTGGAAAAAGCGAGCATTGACATGATGCCTTTTATCCCAAGCGATACCATCCTTGGTATTGGCCGGGGTATGAGAGTCTATGGTACAGTGCTGGAGAGGTACTGGTTTACCTCAACCGGGATGGCTATATTAGTTAACGAGTCTGTTCCTCTTCACGTCAGTGTTAATTCCAGTGGAGATAAGCAGTTATGTCTAAAAGCTGACTATCAGGACTTTCCTTCTACTTCCGTGCCCCTGCATCTAGCGTACAAAATCTGTGTTGGTGATAATGTTAAAGAAATCCATCAGTTTGTTATGAAGAATTTTTTTCAGTACCCTTCTGATATTCCAGATGAAAGGATGATGAAAGAACCCATCTGGTCAACCTGGGCACAGTTTGGGAAAGCTGTAGACCAGGACATGGTAATGAATTTCACAGAGAAAATCAAAGAAAGTGGCTTGCCATACAGTCAGGTGGAAATTGATGATATGTATTCAACCTCCTATGGAGAATTTGACTTTGATCCAAAAAAATTCCCAGACCCGAAATCAATGATTGAATCTCTTCATAATGACAATTTTAGAGTGACCATATGGGTTTACCCTTTTGCTAATACAGATTCTGAGGCATTCCAGCAAGGTATGAAGTACTGGGTGAAAGGAATTGATGAAAGTGTTCCTGGGCTTCTACATTGGTGGAATGGTATAGGTGCAGCTGTAGATACAACAAACCCTCTGGCAGCTTTCTGGTATAGGAGCAGACTTGAAACGTTTATTCATGACTACAATATTGATGGCTTGAAATTTGATGCAGGAGAGCTAACTTACCTACCAATGGGATATCACTTGCACACTTTGCAGGATAACAGTCCAGACTTCTACTCTGTGAAGTATGCTGAGATTGCGGCAGGTTTTGGCAAATTGATTGAAGTGCGTGTTGGCCACCGGACACAAAACCTTCCCATTTTTGTGCGTATACTAGACAGGTCATCTCGATGGGATGAAAACAATGGTTTACGATCTGTGATTCCTACAACACTTACCTTTGGAATCCTTGGCTATCCTTTTGTCTTGCCTGATATGATTGGTGGAAATGGCTTTCAGCTGGTTGTGACAGAAAATGGCAACTCCTCAATGCCAGTTGGAAAACCTGAAAATGAGCTGTTTATTCGCTGGGTCCAAGCAAACGCCTTTCTTCCAGCAGTGCAGTTTTCTTTCGCACCTTGGGACATTGATAACCAAACTGTAAACATAACGAGAAATGTTCTTCAGCTGCGAGCAAGGATGGCTGATTACATTGTTGCTTGTGCTAAAGAAGCAACACAGTCTGGAAGCCCAATTATTCGGCCTCTGTGGTGGGTGGCACCAGAAGACCCCATTGCACAAGAGATATATACTGAGTTTATGCTTGGAGACAAGTATTTGGTTGCTCCAGTGCTAACACCAATGGATGGAAGCAATGGAAAGCACCTAGTTTATCTTCCAAAAGGAATTTGGAAAGAAGAATTTGCTTTCAAAAGGCAGATCAAAGTGACATCTAGTGGAATGTGGATTGATTACACTGTGACAATAGAGGACTTACCTTATTTTTCTTTGGTCTCAGAATAATAGTTCTAAACACATGAATGTACTCACCTCTGAAGAAGGTAAGAAACACTGCCAATTGCTTTTTCTAGAATTTGAGCAGAGTCCCCTGTGAAAACTTGTCTCCCAGACAAACACACAAAAAATTGTAAGAGTCAGTGTCTATAGTAATGGCTGTGACACATTTTTCCAAAAAAAAAATTACACAAAAGAAATTGTTAGAGTGTCTTATAAAGCAGAATAGTACTGTAAGGTAAATGGCCACACATAATATGCGAAGACTCAAAAAGTAAAGATTATACCAACACGGGTCATCATAGTTAGTTGCGACAAAATGATGATTTGCCTCTTATGCAAACTCTGGCCATAGATCAAAAGCTGCCATTTTTTATGTGTACATGCTAGTCATGTGTGAAATTATGCACAGGAAGGATACACGATGCAACACTAACATATCCCCTTAATCTTTACTGCCATAAAACATACGTCCTGTGGGAATGTCCCTTTAGTGTCTGCATCAAGGAGGCTCCAAGTTATGTATTTTTTTTCAGCAGAATTATAAAATTAATTTAGCTTTATATTCCTACATTTTGTTTGAGTATTTCTGTAAATTTGACATTTATTCTTTGTAGTGTCAGCCCAATAAAAGTAACTTGTGTTTCATAGTTTTGTGCTTTTATGATACTGGTTCCAAGGCGCATGGGCTACCTTGCCTCTCTCAATGAAAAAAATTCCTATCAGTGACATGGTTTTGAAACAGGGACACAAGACAGATGAAATGGTGACAAATGACACAAAAATGAGTTTAAGATGCATCAGCAAATATTTATAACGATAAGTGCAAATACAACAGTAAAACAGAAACATGGACTTGGCTTTCTTCTCAATGCTTGAAAAGATGGGTTTTTTTAAATTCAGACATTAGTCATACCAAGAAAACATAAAAGTGGGGATTGAATCCTTGTTATATTCTCCTGCTCATACATATTCCCCCCAGTTTAGAGGGCCTTTGCCATCCTGGCCCACCTCCTGAGACCCTTAGGCACCCATCTAAAGAACTTAATTAGCTCAGTCTGTGGAGAGTTTGAGGCTCTTACACCTGTTGTATTAGGGATTGAAAAAACAGGAATAAGATCTCGAGGGCCGAAAAATCTTCCTCAAGGGTACCTCACCAGCCTGTGTACAGTTGCCCCCTCCTCTCAAAAAAGAAAGAAAATCAGGGGGTCTGTCTCCCAATTTCTTTTTTGAGGGGAGGGGGCCTCTGTACACTGGCTAGTACCTCACTGGAGGGTGATTTGAGGAAGGTCTTTTACTCTTGACATTCATGATCATCCAAAATGCATCAAGTTTATTCATAGGTAACACTAGGTATGCTTTGCAGTTGAATATTTACGTCTCATTCTCTAAACTTGACCCTTATAGTGATACTAGTAGGCATTATTGCAAAGTGTTTTCCTCTCTGTGGCCATTTTGGATGGATTACCCCATAAGAATGATAGGGGGAGGTGCCTGTCAAAAAAATTCAACCTTCCCCACCCTTGTTTTCAAAACAAGAACTCAACTGGAACAAAGTGTTACCCCCTAAATGTTACTACGACAGATTCTCTTAGAACCTATGACTTCCTCATGATTAGTATTATCGACACCCTTGTATCGACATTATCAAATGCTCCGTTAGCGTGCCTTTGCTCGTCACGCAATCCACCCCAACAACGTGTGACGAAACCAAAGTTTTGATCGCGTGGTCACCAAGCCATAATTCACCGCCATTTTGGTTTTTGAGCATGGAGTTCGCAGAGGAAAATTCCGAGCAAAAAATTCAGAATGAAACTCGTGGAACAGAAAACTCAGAGGGTAAAGAGCAAAGGCCAACAAGAGAGATTACACAAACGGATCATCTGAATAGAAGATTATTGGATGCTTTTCTAACGAGATTAAACAGGTCTGAAACAGCAGAGGTTCCCACCACAGATATGCAACATATGGTTATTGACACAGATCAAGAGTTTGAAGACACTGATAACTACACGGACAACCAATCTGTCAAGGAGTAACATGGATTGTGAAAATGTTTACACGGCTGTTCTAACTGAGAGTGGAACAGATCACGCAGGATCAGCTGTATTTGATTGCAGTCCACTAGGATTTTTTCCTCAGGAGACCCACGTATTTGGCATTTCGTCGAAAGAAACTTTCAAACACATCTTTTGACATTTGTATGCATCCAAGCATATAACTTTGTAGGACTATGCCATGTTGATCTAGCATTCACCCTCTCCAACTGGAACATGGTTTCAAATAATGTGATGACACTCACGTTGTCTCCTTTCGGCTTTGTTAACAGTTGTTAAGAAGAATTCTTTTTTTTCCAAGTTGGAACTGCATATTTGTTTGGCATGATATGTTAGCCATCTTCGCGACCCGCCATAATCGTGCCTTTCCTAACTGTCAAGAGAAATCTGAGGAGACTCAGTGCGAGATGACTTAACCTGTAGACTGCTAACATAAACTCAACTCTTGTTTAAAAGGACTCTGTCTGCTGCTGAGCCTTCATACTGCACTAATATGCATTGAATGGAGAGTTGGTCCGTGCCATTCTTTGGTCATTTTCTCTTGGTAGTCTCTTGGTGTTGCAGATGGGTGTGATCCCCAAATGACCTAGTTCAAAAAATTACCCTGTGAGCAAAGGTTTCTCTCGTGCATGGCTTTTAGCATTTACAAAGTCATTCGTGTGGGTTGTCTGTTGTGTAGTTTTATGCCCGGTGGTGTAAACAAACCAACTGCATGACAGACAAGCCATGTGAATGACTTCGTAAATCCTAAAAGCCATGCAAGAGAGAAACCTCTGTTCGCAGGGTAACAAAAGATTGAAACATTGAATGATACTCACACCACAACATAATGCCTAGCCAACTATGGTTTCTGCAGCACCAGTAAACACCCTTTTCTTTGACCCTACAAGATGGACTGTTAATGCTGTATAAAATCGTATAAAAGTGAAACCTGTCGGCCAGTACTCTCTCTGCGATGGACACTATTTAATAGTGTCCATCACAGAGAGAGTACTGGCCGACAGGTTTCACTGTGTACAGTAAGACCTCTATAATGTGGAGACCAGAATGATTATAAATACAGACTCTCTTTAATAAGGCTTGTTGGAAAGGTTGTGCTACTGTCCTGCCAAACTCAATTGATTTGCTGGGTTGTAGCACAAGGCTACTGCAGCACAGCATAGCTTGCCATGGTAGATGGCAGTTTCACAACTTGGTTTTAAACACTGTGCCAAACTCAACTTTTCTCTTGCAATTTTTGCTGTCATTATATTAAAATTAAGAAATTTTATTATGACCTCGATGTTTATAAAGGTCAGGATAAGGTGTGGCACTCACTTTGAACTTGGGGTACTTGAGGGGTTTTTATCATAAAATCCCCCTTTCCGCCCACAATAATTAGTTGAACTTGTGAGACTGTAAAAATGCAAGGTTTCTTTTTTTCTTTTTAGTGTGCACGCCCAATGGAAATCAAGGTCCCAGGGGTTCCTAGCGGAGACTGTGGAAACTGGGGATATTTTTGCGGTGTGACTTGTGCCATGCATGCTTTGCGAAGAAAAATAAGGAAAGATTAATGAAAAAGATGTTGATCTTTTTCAGAATGGGTCAGTCCAGGAATTCTATCACTCAAAAGTGTTGGTTGGGGCCCTGCCAGGGGGTGGTCCGATTTTTAAAACATCTATGCTTCACCTTTCTTTCGGAAATTGAACAAAAATTCTTTGTCTTTTTCGGAATTATAGAAAGGGGGACAGTGATGCATTGTAAAGAAACCATTGTAGTTATGCAGTTTCTCAGGTGACATTTCGTGTATCAAACATCTATATATCACCATTAACAATTAACACAATTCACAGAAGGGACTCGGCTGAAGCTCACTGATAAGAGACGTTCTTCGAGGCACAGGGAAAATTGACGAAAATGTCTTCTCCTTGGCATTCAGACTGGTGATAAATTAGCCAGTCCAACATTCTTCGTCGCTTATTCTTGGCTTTGCCGTTGCTGTTGCAATTTGGCTGAGGGAGCTTGTCTCTTGTCGCGATTTCATTTTACGCTCTGTTGCTACTTTTTGGGTCATGTCACTTATCAGAATTTATCCTGGCAGGGCTTCTTGATTACTTTGGAACTATTGAATATTTTCAGTGGTCAAAAAAAGGATCTTAATGAGCAAACTTCAATGGTGAGGCGTTGTAATCTTTCTTTGTATGCAAATTAATGATCTCATGATGAGCATGCAAAATATTGGCAATAACGTATATTATCTCAAATTTTGAGTTTTTATACACGCATACGCAATCAATTCAGAACCAATTCATTGAATACAATGTATAAAGTGAATATCCTGGACAGTACATATCTGTCGAAAAAGTAGGACGTGAAAAGCTTTAAATGAAGAAATCCTGTTTCGTGTAGAATTTATTGCCTCCTTATATCCTATCTAATCTCCAAGCAAGCTCAACTTAACGTTTTTAAGGGTGTTTTTGTTATTAGACCCTACCAAAACTACCAGTTATCAAACTACTGAAACTCCATGACACTTTATTTTCTACACCATCTTCTACCTATATAGTAGCACCTTTTTTGAACAACATTTGCATCACCTGGGCCTGCCATATGAAAAAGAATCTTGTTATACCTAGTGACTCAGCAGCCATTAGACGTGTGAAGAGTTCTGAATTCTTGTAAAAGAGATATCTATGCTATGACACATTCAATATGACACATTTTAAGTATCAGGTGTAAAAAGTTTGGAAGCTGAATTGTTTTAAAAGAGACTAGGGAAACTATTTTTTTTAAGTTTTACCTAAAGACATAATACAGGGTCTTATCTTTAAATTAATGTGACTCACATGCCATGTAAAGATCATTTTAAAAATCACTTTCAGTTAAACTGAATTTCACGTTCAATTTTATATTATTAAACTTATTATAATACTTTCTTGATTGCTAATGATTCCAAGAGCACATTAGTATACAAACATGAAGTTTGTAACTGAAATACTATCATAATGATCACCATTGATAGGAAACATTTTTTTGGCAGTATTCATGCATGGTACTAATCAGTGTGTTTTGGAATGTACAGAATAAAAGTTCAGATATTTCTTAAATTGATCCTGTTATGAGGCAACTGATGAACGTTCCAGCAGTTCCATTCAATATTATATTGTTTTAATGAAGAGCTACTGTCCTTAGGATTAGGAGTTGCCACCTTTCACCTCCTAATTGTTCTCTGCACATTTCCTTTTGTATGAATGAGGAGAATTTGTCTAAAAATCAATAATTAAACTTGATCTTTTTTTTAACAACCTTTTATGTTTGATTGAGCAAAGTTTCCACAAAGAGAAATTAAATATTGGTCACTTGAACAGGTTCAAGGGCTACACTCATTTTTGTCTAACTAGATCAGAGTGTACTTGATGGAAATGTCTGCTGTACATGTATGTATGAAAAGGGAAATAGTTACTTATTAATGTACAAGTCAATGGAAAAATAGTAAGGGCTTTAAGTAATGGTCCAGATAAGAAGGAAAGAACCAAACGCAATGAACACATCGGAATGCAAAGAGGTGGGAACTTTACTATTGTCCCTATGGCACTTCTGATTGGTTTAAAAAATCAAAGTTTATGAAATGTTTACAAAGCAGCATGCAAATGTATCCCTTGTTTTCCAACCAACTTCCTTTTAACAAAATCTTGTCTCGGTCCAAGTTACACAGAAAATCCTACGCGAGGAATGTGTAAAATTGTAAACGTTTTTTGGCTATTGACTCTTATGATTGGTCGAAATCTTTTAACACCGAAACACACCTTTCAAAAATCGAATTTAAAGGGAACCTCCACTTCAACAAAAAGATAACTTTAAATCACAGGAAATAACTGTTACAGTCAAGTCAATCTAAAATATTTTTAAAGAAAGCGTTTGTATCCGAAAGAAATAACTTTTAGATTCGCCTATTTTTGTTTTCAAATTTTGCGGGCGTCGCCATCTTGAATAATTGTGACGTGTAATGGTTGCCCTATTGTTATTAAACAAAAGCTCTTTGTGTCAGAACAATAGAGCAACCGTAACACGTCACAATTATTCAAGATGGCGGCGCCCGTGAAATTTGAAAGTGAAAATAAGCGATTTTAAAATTCACTTTTCCTGATATAAACACTTTTTTTAGGAACAAATTTGTTTATCAACATAATTTTATTCGATTTAAACTTATTCTGTGGTAAGAGTGGAGGTTCCCTTTAAAGACATTTAATTCCATAAACTGCCTTTTTGTAGGATTATTGTGAAAATGAAAACATTTTTATGTGAGGAAAGTGTATTACACCATAACAAAATAAATTGCTTCCCGTCTTACCCAGATCATTACTTAATACCCAGGATTCAATTATTACGACAAATAGTATTCAAAATAGTTCACCGTTTCTGATTAGCTTGAAGTAATTCTGTTGGCTAGTTCTTCACAACTAGCTGGCACTGAAGACAGGAAATTTTCATAGATTGAGGTAAGCATGTTTTTACGATGGAAATTAATATTTTGAATGAAACACTAGTTGTTGGATTCAGTTTTTACATGATAATTTGTGAAGATTTATGGTGATCTTGCAATGGTTTTATCAGCAGAGGTGGATATACACCCTCTGATATATGCACAAATCTTCACAACATACATGATACGCAAGCTGAATCCATGGCATTATTGTTAATTATGCTGCTTTAATCCAATCAATCTGTTTACCCACAAACTATCAAGTTTTACAAAATTTCTAAATGTTGTACAGATATTTCAGGAAAACCTATTTGACTGGTGTTCTGTAGGCTGAAATTCCCAGTATTCTAGCAGTTAAACATCTTAAACTTAGGTTGTAAAGAACAGCGTTCACACAGGTTTTTGTGTCCAAAATTCAAAACTTTTTCGGGACTTTTTTCCAACAATGAAAAAACAAAACTCTCAGGAATAAGCTTTTTTTGTGATGCACTGCAAACATAAGGGTGAGATTGAATTAGATTTGACCAAAACGAAAAAGATTTTACTTCTGATGCACTTGTTGTGGCTTTGGAATGAAAACTCAAGATGTATCATTTTCCCGACATTTTCCAGGTCTGGAAAATTGCTGGTCAAATTTCAAGACTTTCTCAAGAATTCAAGACTCTGTACGAACCCTGAAAGAAGATCTTAATAGACCCTTTCATGGATAATTTTCAACTTTTGACTGGGACCAAAATTAATAGCGACAATCTGTGAACACGGCTAAAAAGAATGCCTTATAAAAAAAAAAAAAGATGACAAGTTTAAATGTGACTTGTTAAAAACTAACTTGCTCTGCAAAGTCATCAAATTTTACAGACATTTGTGTGGTGGGGACCCCACCATACAAATGTCTGTAAAATTTTGCTGCTTTGTGGAGCAATGTCTTTGCTTGCTTTTATCACATGGAAGGGTCTATTAGAAAATTGTGAAAAGAGGAAACCCAAAGTTGTCTTTGTTGCTAATGAGAGGTGGTTGTTCACAAGAGTTTTCAACTGTAGTATGTATTTTGGCTGGTGGGAAAATTTTGGTGATTTGGACGGGGTGGTCATTGTTATGAGAGATGGTTGCAAAAAAGAAAGTTTCTGTTCTTCACTTTGTAATTGCCTACATTCTAATACCAGATATGAAACGAACCTTAAAAGGCTTAACTTGAAAAGTAGTCTGGGTTATTACAGGGATTTTTCTACCTAAAGGTATGTATATATAATCTTATTTTTTGTGCTTCAGAAGTCCACGTACGTGCCATAATAACCTCTTGTCAATGACTACCATTTACAACTTCTGCCCTTTGTTTGGCTTGGCTGATGACAGCATCCATCTCTTCCTGAGTAGTACTTTCTTTGTGTTGACACAGGTCTTTGTCACCAGCAGTGACTCCCCAGTTGTCTGGTGTGGACAAACTAGCACATTTTGGCCTACCACTTGATGGCTTGAGATTCTCCCAATACCCTCTACGAGCCCTGTAAGTATATCAATGATTTCCTGTCAAGCTATCTAACCTTTTTATTTTGAAATCATGAAAACAAAAAAACAAAAATAATAACATTCCTGCTTGATTACTATTTGGGTGACTTCCCTGCTCCCATCTAGAAAACTATGCGAAGTTCTTTTTGGCATATACTAAATATAGCAAATGGTAAAATTCAGCACGTATCTTCTACTTAACATTTTTAAGTCTGAATACAGTCAAACCTCCCGTAAGCGATGGCGGGGCTAAAGTGCAGATCACTGGACAGGCTACAGGTTACAGGACATATGCCGAAAAATGTAGTTTCTGTTCCTAAACATTACATAAGGACTGTTCATATGCTAACGAGTAATCTGTAGTTACATTTGTTTGACAAGTTTTGGTTACCTAGCAAAGGCCGTTTTCAGATTAGTTATTGTCCAATTTCTTCAATTGAGTCATTGACATACATCACTGTAATCCTTTGATACATCAGCAGTTTACAGAGTCAAAGATTCAAGTTGAGATGGCCGAATGCTACCACCTAAGGGCCATGAGGCAAATCCAACAGTTATTTCAAGCTGTTGTGCAACAGAATGTGAGAAAATGGCAGGCTCTTGGGAGAAGAGCCGAGAAATAATGGTCCAGCAACTATTCGAGAAGCCCAAATAGCAGTGTTTGAAGTTCTTGGCCGACTACGCTTTAACAAAGCAGCATTTTGTGACTGGTATGAAGCCCGAGCAACAGGCCACCACCTTCAAAAGAGATGGAAGACACCTCGAGTGGCAAGAAGAGTTTAAGACAAGGAAAGTCTGAAGAAAGTTGCCATATTTCAGTGGTCAAATAAGTCTTACACTGTCTAAGTTTTTCCCGTCAACTTTTCAAAACATCCACAAACACGTCACGATATTCTTAATGCAATAACCCTTTGTTTTGAGATTCTTTTTTTTTTTTTTTTACAAATCACATGATTTTGCATACCTTTGTGATTTCGTTACCAACTTTGGTTATGCTGTAACGCAAGTTCTCCTTGCATGATCAACATGAATATATTTTCTCAAGGGTGGAATTTGGTAAAGTTCAGAACAGAAAAAATTGAGGTTCCTTGGCTTGTTTTATTTTTGTATAATAAAATGTCAATCAAGAACAGTTTTGTCCAGTGTCCTATTGCTTTTGTGTGTGACCTGTCCTTACCTGTGACCTGCACTTTAGCCCTGCTGCGCAAGCAACCACCCAAAATGCAAAGACTGAGTGTTCGCTTACGAGAGGTGTTCATTACAAGAATCAAACCACAGGGGGCTCTTCCGAGAAGAGGTCCAGGCACATCTACTTTATGCAAGATAATATTTATTGCATGCAATGTCCAAGTTAGGATATGTGCAGTTCTATGTTCTCACTAAAGGTCTTTGTATATAGAGTTTTAAAGTGATTATGTCATAAGAATTAGATTTGTGAAATTATGGGGTTTGTTGGGATATTTTGAAAGAACAGCATCTGGAAGGCCTACTTGCCAAAAGGTACCTTTGTGGGGTAAATTATTTTGGAGATACTAGTACAAATCCCTCTAAATTTGACTTGGTTCCTAATGTCAAGAACTGAGTCAAATTTAGAAAGATTTGTATGGAGTCATCAGAGCATAACTAGGCTAACATCTCAAAGACAATCTGCCCTAAAATGCTAATGTTTGGCAAGTAGGCCGTTTGGATGTTGTTCTTTCATAATACCCCAAAAAATCCCATAGTTTCACAAATTTAATATTTTTATGACATCACACTTAAGGACTCTATATTTCTAAGTAACACAGTGTACACAGTGAAAATGGAGATCAGAGAATACGTCAAGTGGTCGCTTACAAGAGGTTAAAAACAATGGAATATCATTAACCATCAGGCCCAAAAAGTGGTTGCGGTCGCTTACAAGAGGTGGTTGTTTACTAGAGGTTCCAACTGTAAGGCTTTGACTGAGAAAATTTTGGTGTTTTGAATCGACAGTTGCTTATGGAAGGCAGTTGTACATGGCGGTTTGACTGTACTGATAGCTTTGAAAATTTCTATTTTCTCACCTGGCACGAACCCATGGTTTAGTGTGTAATCGGAGTCCTTCTCCCCACTGGCCATGTTTGCTACTAGACAGTGGCAGCTTTCCTCTTTCTTTGGCTAACTGACATTAACATAAAAAGGAAAAATATCAATCAATTTTGCTTAAAATTTTACAAGATTATATCAATCATTGATGTATCTCCACCAGAAAATGTAATAGAGGGAATATTGCCCTTTAAGCCCATGCAAGGAGAGGAGGGGACTGGTTTTGTGCAAATAAAATAAATTACCGTAAAAACTCGTGTATAAGCCGCACCTTTTTGCTGAAATTTTGAGTCAAAAATCGCGGGTGCGGCTTATACACGAGACCATTGCTCCTTTCACGGCGTGTTTGTCCATTGGGTTGTTAAACTCTCGTTTAGCAACAAGCTTTTCCCCGATCGATGGTTTCCATACGTCTTTATAAACATGATATCCACGCACAGCTGATGCGAAAGCGAACGTTTCCCGAACTTCCCTCGTCAAATAAACGCGTGGTTACTAAGCAATCGTTTTGTAGCATTCTCCAGCACTTTATTTTCGTTCCATCGTTCCATTTTCATTTCAACTGTGGGCTTTAGCAATGAAGAGAACTGTTGTCTTTCGCAGGAAATGGGGAAATTGATTAAAGAGAACCTTTTAAAAGGTATTTTCAGAGTTGATTAACTTATTTAAAATGTCACTGCAAATACACAACATTAAATTTCCTCAAGTTTATTTGTGAACATTTTGATGCGCGAACAAACGATCACCTTTTTTACAAAAGCGCATTTTTGGTTTTTTTTTTTCAAAATCATGCTTGAAAGTTGGGGGTGCGGCTTATACACGAGTGCGGCTTATACACGAGTTTTTACGGTATGGGTTTTAAGATTTGGTTATTAGCCATCAAAATTCTCAAAGCCCACAGGTGCTTTTTTAAGTTCCTCTTTTTTTAAAAGCTTTTAAGTTTTTTTCTTACCCCAGACAAGACTGCATGTCCTTGAAAGCCATGAACCCTTCACACCAGCACAAATGCAAAGATACCCCCTCCCACCACTAGTCCATTGCAGCACTAGCCTACAGGCAATCTCTTGGTGGAGATGTAACTTATGTTTGTTTTTAGTGTGACAATAACTATTTTTTCAAGAAACACCTAAAATAGCTTAATCTCAATCTGTCCAGGACAAAACAAGAAAATATTAATTTTGATCCTTGGCAAATTGTTATGAACTACCCACACAGCCATGAGCAACATACATGTATTTAATTCTGAGAATACTTAAGCCTTTAACAGCAAAGAAATTATAGTTACCTCCTCTGCAACAGCTCTTATATGGTACGGTTCAATTCCACAACAGCCACCAATGTACCGAATTCCAGCATTATATGCATCACGAGCAAACTTGTGAGCATCCCATCTTGTCATTACACGAGGCTCTAGGGCTAGAAAGGGGGTTAACATTCTCAGTGTACCAACTTTTCAAGACATCTACATCTATGAATATTGGTATGTTGCAACATAGCCTAGCCTCCCATAAAGACATTTGTGATGAAATCCTACAAACTTCTCCATGGGAAGCTAAATACACAGTGATAATTTGGAAATATCAAAATCTCAAACTGATTTTTGGTTCCCTTGCAGGGTTGTAAAAATTAAGACTTCCAAGTTACTAGAGAATAAGAGAAGAAGTAGATTGCACTGGGGACTGGAGGCCTTCCAATAGGTGAGGGGTCTGGCGGCCACTGAGTCCCCAGTGGGGTACGGGAGCAAGGCCCTGTTAGTTGTGGTCTACGGCAAAAGAGCTAAGGACCAAAATGGATCAAAAAAGCACAAAAAAGAACATAAACAGCAGAATTTTTGGTTCAAAAGTGTTTTAAATCGCAAATGTTTTGGCGATAAACAGTTCCAGGTTAAAGAGAGTCCAGTGAAATAACTGTAAGAGAATGAGAGCTATGCCCAGGTATATAAGATAGCCTCAAACTCTACACACCACTCATTTCCTTTAACAGGAATCATATGATTTGGTATCAGACTGCAATATTGTTGCTTCTTATAAAAAATGTTGTTAGAGGCAGAATTAACATTGCTCCTGTAATATTTATTTCAAGCAGAAAACCTATTATTGGACAGCAAGGGTAGTTGCTTGTGGGGGTGCACTACACTTTGCCATTGATTTTCAAAGCAAACTACAGTCAAAACTAACCAAAAGGAAACTCTGGCAGATCAATGAATCCCTGCTTGCCAGCATCAGGAGTTAAATACCCAAGAGGTTGGACTATCAAATGCTTTTTAATCCCAGCTGCATCAAGGGCCTCCTTCATTAAACGACACGCTTCAATACACTGATCAGGACCAAAGTGACAATTAATTCCAACGATATCCGCGCCTAAAAAAAGAAGCAAATGTGATTTGGTTGATCAGAGGGACATAATGAGCTGGACCTTGGCTACAGTATCTGAATCAGTGTTATCAATTGAGTTAGTTTCAATGTCAATACTCCTTGGTGATAGCCAGTACGAGAGAAGAACTCAGGCTACTCCAGGGAGTTGAGTGAGTTGGGAAGAAAGACATAATTTCTGAATAAGTAATACAAGACAATAAATTGAAAGCCATGATCATTTGTTACATCCAAGTTAACCTAAGCAAGCATTAACTAATCACTCAACACTAACTGGTGACTCTGATCTGTTCACAACAGAAGTAGGGCATTCCTGCTTTCACTTAATTACATACCTGCACGGGCCAAGCGCACTCCACATTCTCCCGTAGGAATACCATGCAAATCCCCTTCAGGTCCAATGCATAGTGAAACAGCAGTAGGTTTGCCTGTGGCTTTGCATGATTCCACTGCCCATTCAGCTTCTTCTACATGCTCAAAGTACTAAGAATATAACAATACTTCAATAACTCCCTTTATAAGTATTTTTGAAACAATAATAGAACACTATCAAAAGGTTTTAAATGACACACCAGAACTCACCTCTGTTTAGGACAAAAACATTTTCCGAATTAAAAGCAACAAACATCTGGGCCCAGTTGTTCGAAGGCCAATTAGCACTTAACCCAGGGTTAAATTTAACCCGGGTTTCTTTTTTTGCGTTCAAAAGCATTTTCTTGGATAATTTTCCCTGTTGTTTTTAAGCTTTCATATCTGAACTTAAATGTCGCACTAACCCTGTGTTATCTTAACCCAGCTTTGAACAACTCTGCCCTGGTGAGTACATTAGGTGTACAACATTATTTTTGCTTACAAATTTAGCTATTTTGGTTACTGAGGTTTCCGTGGCAACTGGCTGCCCATGGCACACATACATTACGGTGGTCAGTGCTGTTGTGTAGAGGTTCTGGTTAACGGCAGAAAAGGTTGCTATTAATATGAAAGGTGACAGTAAAAGTTCAACCCTTTGGGGGGCATTTTTCAGGCTTCAGGTTGTACAAGGGTAGGCATTCTGTGAGTTTGAGTATATGAAGGGTAGATGAATCTTTCAACTGAGCATTTAAAAGGGCCTTTTACCAAAAATATCAAACAGACACCTTACTCTCTCTTCCTTCATTGCAGAGGTTCAGAAAGGGAAGAAGAGGTTTTAAATAGATACTGACAGTAAACTTAAAAACCCATGACCACCTACATTTTCTTAAGTTAGCCTAAACAGGTTCTTACATAAATGGTACTTGACACAAATTTAGGCTGTTTAGGTTTTCATAGGTGGTTATTTTCCAACGAAAAAATTTATTACAACTAAGAGCATTTAGTGGTTTTCAGCTTATTCCTTATATCAAATTTGCATACGATTACATTGCAGATGAAGTGATAAGGCAGCTTTTGTCTCCAAAGGGGATCCTGATTGTTGACTTATCTTATTCTTATTGTAAAGAACTTTTTACGCAGATTTTAGAAAACCAGAACCTGTTTCAAATTTCAGGCTTAACAGGATCTTTTATAGAGGGGGCCTAATCGTGAGCCTAATAGGTTCTTAAAAACCAGGTTCTTAGTACAGGGTTTTTCCTGTATTTGAAAAAGGTACCATTTTTATATGGTAGGTATATGAGGAGTACCTCTTTGGTCAAAAATGGTGTATAAGAAGGAAAGGGGTTGGACATCTGGGTAGAGTCTCCCTGTATAAAAACTTTGATGAGTATTCCCCTAGGTGTTCAACGACATAATTATTTTAACACTGTGCTAAGAAGTACCTCATACCTCTGCAATTAAGAAATCAACATCATTCTTCACAAAGATTTCAATTTGCTTATTGAACTCTTTCTGACAAGCCTCTTTTCCTTTGCCACTCAAGTACGTTGGCGTCTGAGAGATACCACCACAAACCAAAGCATCTCCCTCATTTGCTATTTCAAAAGCAATGTCACAGGCAGCTTGGTTAATGGTGTTGCACTGTTGACAAGAATGAAAATAAGGTAGACATTATTAAGATAGTCTGAAAACCGTACACCTAAACCAAACATCTCAATAAATGCAGTTCAGAGGTATGTTGTAACCTGGGAGAGGTTTTAAGGGTTCTGAAATTTCCTTTCCCTCTTTGCATAATCACACCATTCTTTATTCAAAAAAGGCAATTCATTTCAGGGGAAAAAAAACAGGGCTGTCATTGAGGGTCAGGGGTTTCCCCTGGCAACTATAAGCAGGACCCTCAGCTACAAGTACTTTCATTGGAGATGAAAGGAAAAACAAAACAGGAAAAAACTTTCTTGCATCTTCAACTCCCCATATACTATTTGAATATACCCTGTAAATCTTAGTGACAGTTCTGAATAAGTTACAAATAACTGTTTGCAGAGAAATCCATCAACTGAATCAACATTAGCTTTCCAAACATTTTTGAAAAGTTATGGTTGTTGTGACCGTGACAATATATAAATATATTTTTTTTACTGTGATGATATTGCATTGTCCAATCAGATTTTAGTATTTACATGTGAACGCTCGGGCTCGCTTTTGTCATAGTTTACTGTCACAGCGGCTTGTGAGTTCACTATGTTCTGATTAAACAAGTTGAAGTTTAAGAACATGAACCAATTCTTTATAGTGACAGTACACTGTTTACCTAAAACAATTCTATAAAGTAAAAGATTTAATGGAAATTTGCTTAATATTCAACTGAGCAAGGATGAAAGGGGAGTACTTGTGCCTATTGAGAACTACCAAGAGGGGAATCAATTAGTTCATCTAAAAAGAACAAAAAATTGAATTAAAAAAAAAAAAAACATCTCATAACATCTTATCAAGCATCCTTGTAATTAATTCAAAGAATTGAACAATAAAGATGACACCTTTTTATGAATGGACCAAAACATCAAAACTTGAAGCAAAAGCATTTTAAAGAAACCATTAACGCTACTTTTCACTTTGATGGAACCTGAAGATCAAATTTTCAGAAAATGAAAAATAATTACGACACCAAGTAAGAACGACACGTTCAGTGATTAACTCAGTCTCTCCTGGAAATTTTTTCAAAAAAGGCGTTTTGAAGTTAGTTGAGCCATATTCTGTTCAATGTCGGCCATCTCATCCAGATTCAAAATGTTAGCTTTCAACAGTTGAAATTCCAGCATACACAGAAAGCAAAATTTTGGAATCAAGTTTTGGATTCACAAGGGACACAAAAGTCTTGACTTTTACGTCGCTTTTGCTCCTCCCCTCTTCTTTTGTGCTTTTCTTGCCTCATTTTTTCCTTTTGATTGACATTTAGTGGGCTTCATGTTAGTGGGAAAAGTTTTTCAGAAAGCTTTTAGGATCTTAAGACCAAATGAAAGGAGAGGTAGGTAGGTAGAATAGTGGAACAAGATTCATAAGAAGTTTTGAGTCAATGTTACTTGGTTTTGGTTTTTTGGCCTTATTCTTTTGCCTCCTTGACTTAATTGTGCTCACTCTGGTATGGTTTCAAAGATCTCTTCACCTTGCACAAGTAAGATGACAAAGTCGTCCTTGACCGTTTTAAATTTTTAAAAAACTGATGATGTCACAAGAAGTAGAAAGGATGAGGATCTGCATGGGCAGGTTAATGAAAAGTTTATCAAAACAGTACTTTAAAAACTGAGAAAAAACAATCTGAATTCCACTCGACTAGATATGGTGAGAGTGTTCCAAAAACTAAGTTCCCAAACCTGCATTTGCTGTATCTAAATTAAAGGGGACATAAGGGTTAACAGTATTAAGCATTTTTCAAGCAGTATTTCTTTAATTTTATTTTAATTTCCAGTATTGCAGTATCATCGAGCCCTGTGGTATGCAGTTTTCATCCTTTTGGCTGAAAAAATTCTGGAAAAAATGATCCTTCACGGTGTGCTAGCAACTGTTCATTTGTGCTCTTCTGTCTTTAAACTCTTAATACAAGTCAATACAGTATGCAACACAAAACACAGTAAGCCATACAGGTTAATTTACGTTAATATTTTAAAATCTTTAGACATAATGGTAAATGATAGCACAATTTCTGATATTTCATCTGCAATGGAATTGCCAGTTCATCCAATGACCAGCTGCACCAACAGATTTGAGGTCTTCCCACATTTTCTTACAATGGTTGAGGTTGATTTCTGGTGCATACATGCTTGAGATAAATTTTAACACGCAAGATGGATACAACTTTAAGTAAGCACGACCGATCATACGTGGTATAGATATTTTGTTGATGTTTGACACAGTATTTCAGTATTTGCCAGTTTTTTCTAACGGTGTTGCAGTATTGGGTATACCCCTCAATGCAGTGATTTTGTTACCTCTGCGTCCTATGTCCGTGATGCATAAAAACCCCAAAAGACACAAAATAATTCATAGCATGTGTTCCATAGGACGCAAAGATTGATCGATTGATCTCAACATGTGTATTTGTAAAAATATTCTGTTTGAGTAATTTCTGTGGTAGTTATTATGGCTGTTGTTTCAGGATGCATATTTCTTTTAGCCTTTGTTGCGCTTTAAAATAGAAGGACTACATTTTAATTTCAGTATACTGTAATACAGAGTTTTGGAGTATGTCTTCAGGTTAACTATCTGGTTACATAAAGACTGAACCATTTTCAATTTCAGACACATTTTTTCTTAACTGGGACTCACAATAACTATTTGTAACAAAATCACCGCTCATTGTCCCCCTCTAAATTCACTAGTTTTACATACAGGTACACAAACTGTACCCCAATCTCGGCTGCTTTGTTTCCCCTGTTTCCAAGTTTGTCATCACTGGCATAAAATGTGAATGTCTGCATGACATCAGAACCAGCACGAAGAAACTCCCTGTGCAGTTCTTTGACTGAAACGTGAAAAAGCAGATAGGATATCGGTTTACTTCAAAGGGCAAGTAGCTGTGTCCATGGCCGTCCACATGTAATGGTGATGGAATTAGCACCATTTCAGCCTGAATTTGACTGTAAACAAGTCAAACTTTCAACCACAAAATAAATGGGCATCAAAAAGGAGAATTAAAACTTCAGATTCTGAAATTGTGACAACATATACCTACTCCTTCTTGAAATAAAACATTTGCTATACCGTTTTTCAGTCGACTGATAATAAAAAAGAGAAAGATAATAACATCATAATCATGGTTGCCACAGCCACAAATTTCTGAAATTTCCTGACTTTTCCCTGACAAATGTACAATTTTTCCTGACCAATTGAATTAACAATTCTACAAATTGCTCAGTGCTCCCCTCACAGCCATTCCTTCCACTCATTTACTTATGCTTTCAGCAAGTTATGTGCAGTGCACATAAATTGCTAGTTTCTCAATAGAACATGCAAAAAGGATAATTTTCCAGAAACCCAACATCAGCTTGTTGTTCAATTCCACTAACAATATTTTACAAGTACACCACAATTCATCTCCGTAAAATGTACAAATGTACTCTTAAACTGTCACTTTTGCTGTCATTTTCTCTGACTCGAAGTGAAATTTCCTGACTTTTCCTTTACCACGAAGAAATTTTTATCCCTGACCATTTCCCAGCCTGTGGCAACCATGACAGTTGACTGATCAAAGTGGGCGGGTCTGTATGACCAGTTCTGACTGATGGTAAGCACCAAATGGTCATTTGGTACTCAAAGCACCATAAGCTGATTGATGGGTCAGTTGCGTATAATCATTCCGTGTCTGCACACGTCTATCCATGCTAAAAAGTTCGGACCCAGTACCCTATGCAGGACCAAGTTTCAGGACAAAAACAGGCTTCAAAGAACTGACAGAACCAGTCATGCTGTGCCTCAATGTTGGTCATGAATAATACTCCCACATTCCAAATCACTTATGCACTAACAAGCGGGAAAGCTGCTAAGTGGACTTCCTGTTCGGAACCAGAGCTCTTGATTAATGTTATGGTGTTATAAACGGTTCAAAGTCCCCTAATTTCCCAAAACATTGTCAAGAATGAGCGCTACAAGCAACCATCTTGACAAAACTACTTAAAGGGCATGGGATGGTTTGGGAACCCCGAGCCCCATCCTCTTGGTACATTTGAATCCAATAGACCTCTTTAGCTTGTATGCTTTGCTTTCCCAAATTATACAGGTCATGTGATAATACTCTAGGGAACTGTTTCTTTCATATGTCGTCTTGTTCACGTGCATATGTCGCACAATTTACGACGAGACTAGGGGTTAAAGGGGTTGTGTCACGGCAGTCCAGATCATCATGTTTAATTTTGCCAACTACTCGCCCTCAATCGCTATGGAACTTAAAGTAAGCAAAGAAATTACATGTAAATGACAAAGTCAGAGATTCGAGACAAACAAATATGTCTCCTGAGCATTATTTTTGAAGTTGCAAATGCAGAGATAAACCGTTAGGCTGAACAGTTTTCAAAAACCCTAATTTCAATCCGTTTCAATCTTCCTAAGTTTTGCCCATCCGTGGCATCTGTTGTGTTATTTTAACCTTCCTTTAATGTTTTATGCACCTATCAATGTAAACCCCGGGGGGGGGGGGGGGGGCAAGGGGTGGGGATTTGACAAACTTTGAATTTTTTGGATCAAATTCCCCAGGGTGGCAATCGAAAGGTCAACCAAAAGTGTCAAAAAAGCCCCTACCCCAGGGAAAAAAATCTAAACAAACAATACTATAACACTATATAAAACAAATAAAAAGAATATTTCAAAAGTATGTTCTTACTACTTTTATTTATGGTTAATGTAAGCTCCGTTAAATTACTTGCTGTAATCAAGTATTTTCTCTCTCCACTTAGCCTGCGTAGCATGGCGGTTTTGTCGAGCCGGGCGCAGGAGCGGCATAGCCGCGAAATTCGCGCGCAAAGCGCGTGAGAAAGATCGGCGAAGCCGCAAGAAAAATAAAAACCGCCTGCCCGGATTCGTGGCCTTTTCAACTGCCGCCCCCTTCAACTCATTTTGACATCCTGTTGACAACTTGTTTGGTTTCAGTTTTCCCAGCCAATCAGAAATAAAGTGTTGACAGCCTAAACACGACACAAAAGCTCGTGATATAGTGTAAAACGTGACCTTGGCCGGAATTGGAGTTTGCTTGAACAAACGCAGGTTTTTTCTTGGTGGCTATCTCGCGCATAGGTGACTACACTGCGTTCTAAACTTGACTGAGTAGATCTTATTTTTGCTGCAATAAGTCTTACATTTATTTAGAGGTCATGGAGGTGGTTTGTTTAATCCGTATTGAGTAATTATTTCCTGTGGTTAATGTTATTTTCGCTAATTAAAATTTGTTGATCTCAGATGCAGTTGTAAAGTACTAATTTCTTTGACCACTCTTAAAGCCTGAAGCTTTTTATTACGGCTAAATAAATATTTTAGTTTCTTTGGTCTTTTCCGACTAAAATGCCTGGATCTGGACAACTACAAACCAAGGAGCCTTGGTTTGTAGTTTCTTTGTCACTGCTTTGTCCGTGAATGTTTTGACGCTGGACCCGGCTTTTTAAGTGTTGTTTGCAGGATGTTGTATTTTTACGTATAGCACGATCTTCGCGATCTTGTTTGCAGGATGTTGTATTTTTACGTATAGTGCGATCTTCAGATTTGAGTTGTAGTACTTTTTAGAGGGGAAATTGTGATCATACAGGTTTTCGATGAGGATATTTCTTCTTTGGCCATAGCAAAGACAGTAAAGATCATGCTCTTGCCAAATCTTGTTGACAAAATTTCCATGACATCTCTCCTTTGCAGAAGACTGTAAATGGCCATTTCCTGTTTAGGCTTCAATACAATTGCCCTGTTTTCCCGTCAAATATTCAAGATCGACGACGCTCCGGTCAACACTTCTTTGATATTTTGATTTTGTTTTGCGGAGATGATTTGTTCAGTCCCTCGAAACTCTCCCATCGGAGATTACCAAAATATTTGATTAACAGGCGAACATTCCGAACCAATCGGAACGATCCGTACGCTGGCGTGCGGACCGACTGAAAAAAGCCCCCCATCCGTGCAGGCGGTTTTTCAAGTTGCTTCCACCCCAATCTCCTCACGGTTTCTCTGCCCTCGCCCGCCTTTATTACTTAGCGCGCCCAGCCAAAACCGCCATGCTACGCAGGCTACTCTCCACTAGCATCTCCTATTTTGAACAACAAAATCACTCCAGGAAGATTGACCGTATTAATGAAACGTAAAATGCTTTATTACATCCGCTCAACATGTCAGAACAGGTCGGATCAGTGACCCCAGGTCCTCTGACTTTCATGGTGGAATTCAATTTCAATCAAGTTTTACAATCAGATGGGAACTTGAAGATAAAACCTTTCTCAAAATAGACATCATCTGTTTAGATGACAGTTTAAATTATCGGATTATGGTGATTAAAACAAACGAAAGCTTCATGCCTTTCTCCAACAGCGCGACTTTCAGAAAGCCTCGACGGATGGACTTGGTAACTGCTTCTGAATTGATACCAGGCTTCTGTCGGTCAAAGTCAAATGTCCCGACCCCGGGGTCGCTTTGCACGATCAAAAGCCCGACAGGGGGATAGTCTCAGGCATCAAATCCCTGCCCCTTGCCCGCACTCCCCCCCCGGGATTTACATTGATAGGTGCATTGAGCGGTTATTTTTATGTTTCCCTTGGATTTAACGGGCATTTTGTAATACCTAACTTGGCAGAATTTCGTGACACAGCTCCTTTAAGTTCCCTTGGGACCTCAATTGGGAAAACAAAACATACAAGCTGAAGAGGTCTATTACAAAATGGCTGCCAGTGAAAGTGATCGTGAACGCTCGAACTGGACGAGCTTACGGAAAAAAGGGGACTGTGAACAGTCTATTAATGTTATTGATTGTAACAAACTATTTTATCACGTCGAAGGAGACTAGTCAACTAGAGGCAGTTGTAATGTAAAAAAGGGCATTTCGTTAGGCGTTAGGTTTCGCAGATTCTAAAATATTCCGTGTATTCCGCCATTCATTCCGTTCCGTTCCACCAAATAGGGTCACCCGATGTTTTGAATTTCAATATTTTTAATTGAAGCAATGTGATCCAACACTCCACTTCAACTAAGAGCTTGCGCTTATATCAGCTTAGCTGAAAAAAAATTATGTGAAGTAAGAGTTTAAATGCAACTTGAATAGTAAAATTTGCATTTTCAATCGGGCGTTTTAAACGTAGGCTGTAGATTAACTTAACTTAACCAGTCGCTACACATAGATTCTGTACAGTACAACTCAGCGCTTCTGAGCACAATAAAATACGGCAATAAAAATTTAAATACAACACCGAAATTAGCTAGAGACGTTAACCTTTTAGCTTAATTTGGGATGGTCGAAATGAGAGCGCGCAGAAAATAAGCTTACGTTTTGAAAAATGTCTTCGACGTTTTTTACTTCAGATTAGCGAAATTCTTTACCTGCTGATGGGTGCTCTACATTGGCTTCTGGCGTCCACGGACCAGCTTGAACATAGCCACGTTTCTCTAGAGCAAAAACGAAACCGCCATCACCAATTACCACTTCACCAGCATCTAGTCTTTCAAGAATGCCACGCTTCTGTGGAGTAGACACATAAGTAAATGATTTCAGTAAAAGCTCTTTGGGAAGGAAAAGTCCACAGTTAGTCTTACCGCTGCCATTTGTCGTATTGAAAGGTGTGAGGGTCCACTCAACCGACTAAGAGACAATTTCACAATAATTTTCAAAGGCGGTGTTTCGCGGGTGTCTTTATATTTACGCTACATACACGATAAAACCGGAAACAACCCGGTTGGAAACCGGTCAAAAGAAAACGCACGTTCTGATTGGTTCAAACCAGCCCGCCAAAAACCGGCGTTGCTTTGCACGTGCTTGCGCTTGCATGATCATTCATTCATTCATTCAGGTTAATCAAGTCGTGGTTAAAACTTCTCCATTTGAGAAGTAACTGGTAGTGACCCAGATTATGCTTGGTTACGTAATTTACGACCGTGTCACGGATAGCCGTTCCGGGACTCTATTTTCTCTTTAAAGTCCGTTGAGCGGTCGTGATAAAAAACAAATCCGGGGCGGATATATTGATCTCCAGCGCAAGGGGGTAGGGGTGGGGGAAGAAGAAACTATTATTTTTTCTTTCTCGCGCTCCGCGCTCGCTCTCGCTCGCTTGCTTCGGTCGCGCGCCCGCCGATCTTTTCGAAGAGAACGAAAAGAAAAATAAAACAACGTCTGTGTTCAGGCTATGTCACGGAGTAATAGTCCCGTTTTGTATTTAAGACTAAATTTACTTTCCCGTAGCCTGTTGTTATGGAGGGGACGAGATAAGGTAAAAAAATTGGGTAAAAAACATTTTCGTTTTTTTAAACGGCTTAGTGCTCCCTGATGAAATTTTGTCGATATCTCACTGTAAAAACACTCTAGGGAGCATTTTGTGAATCAAGCTTCACCACATAATACCTAAAAAACAACAATATCCCCCATGCATTAATTATATACTGAAGACACTGAACAGGGATGAAAACAACTACGAAAAATAAAGCGGGTTTATTTCAGTGATATCCCTGTTATTCGATAACTCAGAGAAACATCTTTTAGTGTCCCGGCGTTTCACAAAATAGGTAACGAAAAATATTTTGGGCTTATGGCGAAAACATCGTGTGAGAAAATTTTAAGTAAGGATCAGTTGTAATGAACTTGAATTTGCTGTAAATTTAAGAAATACAGGGAAAAGCTGCAGAGAAAGTTATGTACCAGAGTAGGATTTTTACAAAAAAGGATGGATTCAGAAGAACAGTCACATAACACACAGAACACACATGCCTCCTATGCCTGTAATGGCCAGTACGGGAAGGCTTCGCACGAAAGGGTTACCTTTTGCAAGACTTCAGGTATGTGAAAGGGTAGGGAATCTGTCATTTCAGTCTGTAAAAAGTCCCAAAAGTGCTGACAGGTGCATTGCCTGCCTGTGAAAATTGAAAGTCGAGAAAACGTTCTGGTTTTGTGACTTATTCATATTTTAAAGGCAGTGCATTTACCGCAGTTAACACGAAAGGGGTACTATTTGTATATAAAAGTTACCTTTTGAGTCAAATGTTAAGGGGCCAAGGGTTGGACCTCTGGGCCGAGCATCGCCGCGTAAAACTTTGTTGAGTATCCCCCCGGGTAAGATAGCAACCCACTAAGGAACGGAAAGTCTCGTCTATTGGAGACTGGTTATGAAAGACAACAAACATCAAATATAAAAACAAGAGTGCTGCAGTGTTATGTTGGAAACTCCCTAAATTGTAACGGAATAAATTAATGGCATGTATTTGTTGGTCAATAAGATTAAAATTCTAGGAATGCCATTGAACGTTGTGCACCCTCATGTCCACAAAAACATTTAACAAAGGACTCTGACGGGCTTTAAAACCATTCCAATCTATTAACTGTGATTTGAATTTTCATGGATCCAGTTTCTTGATTGCGAAAAAAAAACACCAAACAAACAAATAATGACACTTGTCGATAATAAGCTACTGGAAAACGCCTGCGTGGGAGGTTAATGGGGGTTACTTGGGGCTAGAGCATCGAATAATTACGCAGAATATGTATAATGCAATCAGAGAACCTGAATTCACAATATGAGAAAATAAATGAACAAAAGTACTTTTGCTTTTGTGTATCAGCCATATTGCGAAGCCCAAGAATGCTCTTAACACGTATGTCGAAATATTACACGGTTGTGAACTGAGTCAAATTTAGAGGGATTTGTGTGGAGTCATCAGAGCATGCTATAACTGTACTGAATACTCCAAAGCAGGAACCTATGACTAGTCATGAGCCCCTGCTCAAAGACAATTTGCCCTGGAATGTTAATTCTTGGCAAGCAGGCCTTTGCCAGGTTGTCGTTCTTTCACAATACCCCAAAAAATCCCATAATTTTTTATGAGGTCACACTTTAGGTCTGTATGAACGGACTTTCCAGTTTGTCTTAAACCTGTTAAACAGGGTCACTGAAGGTCCTAAAGCCTTCTGCATGTGATATTTGCGTGCCATGATCGTGTCAGTAGCACATTCCTGGTTTTTGTGACAACTGCGGGATTATTTTCAGTAATCATCCTGTGAAAATTAGACCCTGTTTATACACAGGTATCCAAGGTCGAAATATGAGCATCGGGATTGTTGCGTAACATTATAAATATAAGGATTTGTTTGGGGAAAAAAACCTATCGTTTCTGTAACCTACGAAAATGAAAGGATTTCAATAAAAAACAGCTCAGTTACCTTACATAAAGTGTGTGTTAAATCTCTCCTGTGTGGTCCATGGGCCGATTTATGGCCGTTTTATGGGTTGTACTGTAAACGGTTTTCTCTCTCTATACACGTACATATGGAGAGAGAAAACCGTTTACAGTATAAATCGGCCCATTGACCACACAGGAGAGATGTAACACGCATTTTATATAAGTAAGCTATTTTTTATTGAAATCCTTTCATTTTCCTAGGTTACAGAAACGATAGGTATTTTCCTCATCAATCGCTGATGCTCGCCGATGCTCATATTTTGAGCTTGGGTTACCTGTGGTTTATGCGGGTCCGGACAAACGGTTTTGTTTACACGGGACATGCGGAATCGTGCAAGTTTTTGTACGGCAAACAGCACTGCAATCTGTAACCATGGTCTGCACAACTTCAGACAAACAAATTTCAAGAACTTTTCAAGGATTTTTCAAGGACAAATTACAAGAATTATTTAATAAATCGGCATTCATGCACAAAAATGTTTTTACGTTACCCGTGAGTTTTACAGGTTCTTTCTCACCGAGGATGAGCTAAATTCTCCTCGGCAAAATGATCTAATTTTACAGAAAAAATGTCTGGCGTAGTCAAAGTTGTGAATTCCAAGGAATTTTCAAGAACTAATGAAATCAAGTACTTTTTAACCCCCCCGGGGCGGGGTACTTCCTTATACATGGCTTTAATGGGGATGTACCGCCGGATGGGGTCGCATTTTCACGATTGGATTGACTATTTCAACAGATGTACTACAATGGGGTTGCAAATTTTCGGGTTTTTCAGGGTAAGACAGTTTTTCATATTTACGGTTAGCAAACGTACCAGAATGTTTGTATTGAGTTTTCCTCACACAAAAAAATTGGTCAATTCATAAAAATAGAAGGTAACTAAGTTGGGATCGCGAAAATTACATATTGGCCCAAAAGTGACTAAGATGGGGTCTATAATTGGCCACAGAATAGACTATAATGGGGTAGGGGCTCTGAGAGGCCAGCGGCACATAGCCATCAAAAATTAACCCAAGTACCCCAAGCGTATACTGAGTACGACACTTATGGCGAATGTTGCGAACCTGCTCGTAACTTTCACGTTAACATGTTGATTTAAAAAATTATTCAATTTTTTTTGTACAGGTATTTTATCTCTAAACATTATATATGACTGGATTACCATTATGGGATACAGTAAGCATGAACTGAGCCTCGGCCAAAAATTCAACATTGTTTGCTCTAACAAACCGTATAACTATCGTGGAATTTCCGATAGACAAAAGCAATTTCACGAGTCAAAGTTAGATGAAACAACTAAAACGGACCATTCTGCTTAAAAACCTCTTTTTTTTGTAAATTTTCAGGTGTATAATAAGCAATACATTTGCATTTTGATGCAAATTGTGTGAAAAAAATAACAGCAAATGACAACAAAAAAGAAAAAAAAAGGACACGAAAAAAAGCAGAAACAAAATTCATATCCATTTATTAACAACAAACAAATTTACTAAAAAACATACAATTTACTGAATAGGTTAGGGATATCATAAAGCATAAATTTGGGCAGCATTTTGAATTTGCATTTTGAAAATTTGGTTGTTCATTTATAAACAAAAACGTCAATTTTATCTTCGTATTTCCTGTTTCTTGTTATTCAATATAATAGGATCTACTTAGCCATTATTTAGGTATCATGCAGCAACTCTCATACCCTGAGTGGCAGGCATATATTAAAGAGGGAAAAGGAAAGGGGACAATTTGGTCACCAAAGTGGAGAGTATGTGCCCTACATCACCTTGTCAGGGGCACCCAACGACGGTTTCCTCCTGCATGTAAATACATTGTAAACACTTTTTAGGCTATGCAGAGTACTTTTAGATGTCTAGAAATGCATTCTAAGCAGTGCTATAAAATTTGTATCTCTTCCGGCAGCCTATGAGAATTTGTCTGTCTTGAGTCTCTGAAATTATGAGGGATTCAGTATTCACGAAAATATTGGATGTAATTTAACGTATTATGAAGGAGAGAATTTTTCTGATGCTTCTTTCCATCACAGTCAGTTTTGAATCAGAAAATTTTAGGTTTCTTTTTTTCTAGGAAAAATAACCTAACCTGAGGAGTGAAATGTGAAAATTAGGAAATTTGTTAGTTGAGCTACGAAAATTGTACATTATTGTAGTTAGGGTTAGAAATTTATAGCCATCCTCGAGTAACAGAAAATTGTAGCCAAAATTTTCCTCTCCGAACAGATATTTTACAGAAAACAGTTGTTGGGTGCCCTTGCCTTGGGACCAATGCCTGCCACGCAGTCTGCTCCATAGTGGTGTTAAACAGTTGACAGTTAGCAGCAAGTAGATTGAAATCAATCATAAAAACAAAACAGGGCCAAATTTTACACTTCAAACTGTAACAATGCATGTGTTTGATACTTTAGTTCAACTCAACAATATTCTGCAACGATTCTGATGTATTCCACAAGGAGTGTAGCTTTGGGGACACGATTGCTAGCAGTGGTTTGTATGCATGTAGATTCTTGGAACAGGCTTCAAGTTTCCTTTCAAAATATTACACATAGCTTTGTGATTTTGCACTTTAAAATAAACTTATGTTACTTAACTAATAAAAAATTAATACCAACTCACGCTACTTCAAGAATAAACAACCAAAATGTTAGTCACTTCTAGAAACAAGTTTGGAAAAACATAATTGCAATATACCTGTTCAACATGGAAAGTAAACATCTATTTACAGTAATGTACACAAAAGTAATACTAATGATAATAATAACATCTAATTCTGATATGCTCATTTCTAAAATATGCCAAGTCCCAAAGAATCAATGTCCACAGGTGGCAGTTCAATATCTGGAAGGCTGAGAGTAGTTAGGCCTTGTGTCAACGAATCCAGTTCTCCTTCAAATGGAAGTGAATCTAAGTAGGAATCTGGAAAACAACAACAACAAAATATAATAAGCCAAAATTTACAGTCAGTGAGGTGCAGATTTAGCATTTAAGCAAGGCTCTTGACAAACCTGGATTGGACAGGATTGGATCAACACCTGTAACCCTATCACTAACCTTTTTTCATCTAGTGAGCAACAGGGGTTGATTCAGTGCAGTCTGATCCAGGATTTGTTACTGCCTTTTAAGCACCATCATAATGATAGGTGAAAATTAGAACGCAATGAGATTGCCAACTCTTTTGTATTCTTTGGCTTATTTTGTTAAAACCAACAGATTAATAAACTATATTTGTATATTGAATTAGATCAACTTAGCTTATAACTTGTGACAGCTTCAATAATTGTTTGAAACATTGTTTACATCACACCCAATCAGCCCATTTTAATAGAGCTCTTATCACAACTCTACAAAAAATGTTAAATTCGTTGTAAAATTCTAGTGCAACTATTTTATCTGTCCTTACCTTTTGCTGGTCTTCTTTCGTTTTCAAAGTGAATATTAGTTTCTGTAATCTCTTTAGGCTCAGAATCAAGGGCAGAATGAGGTTGAAACATACAACCATGATACAGAGCCCCAACATTTTTTAATATTGTTGAAACATATTTTGATCTTGGCAATACATCCTCTAAAGAAAATAAAAGCATAGATCAGAATAAAAACAAAATAAATGCCTGCTATTGGGCAATTTGTATATTTGATAGCAAGAGTGTCATTCAACATTAAAGAGTTTAATAATTATTATTGTTACACAGTACTAAGAACTCCAAATTATTGCTATGTCAGGAAGAGTAAACCATTCTACTGGTGAGCCCTTTCAAATAATAACATCATTTCTTCCAGAGTACAGTAGAACCTTGATATAACAAATGGAAACCTCTATATAACAAAGTCCCCAGTAAAACAAACTATTTTCTTTACCCCAATAATGGTAAAATATATGGGAAACAACCTTGATATAATAAATTGTTCATTTATCTTTGCCTGAATGCAGCGAAGTGTAATGAAACAAAAGATAAATGGTTTCTTGAATTCCCAAGCACAGTGCATTTGTCGGCAGTGTGTTTTAAGTGCCGGCATGAGATTATGAGAAGGAAGTGTGATATGTAAAGTAGCAAGTATATATTCGCTGAACAGTAAACAAGTTTCATTGTGGATTTTTACAAGCGGACAGTTAAATTTTGTTCTTTTGTATATTTCGATTGAAATCCTGTAATCCATTTCCTCGTAACGATTTTAGTTGTGTTTTCCTGATGATTGACAGTTATTATAAGTGGTTTTGTTTTTTCATTTACTTTGGCCAGATCAAACGTATACAGTTTGTTTGATTTTTTGGTGTCTAAACAGTGTAAACAGTTGTTTTTGTTTTGTGATTAGTTGGTTAGTTCAATAAATGGGCTAAGAATTGTCTGCTTATCCCGCACCGCATTCTGGTTGTCAGTTTTTTTTGGGTGCGGGGAAGTCAAGAAACCTTGTTATAGTGAACATTAATTTTATTGCCACTCCCTTAGTCATTTGTTATATCGAGGTTCCACTGTAATATTATAACTGACAGCCTCAGTTGGCATGATTATTGCCTTGTCATCATAAACTATGGGTAAATTGTCTGCCTTGACAGGTTGCTGTCAGTAGCTGGAATTATGGATATATAATGCAGGACTCCTATAATCTTCAAATACAGTGATTTTGTTACAAATAGTTGTGGCGAGTCCTGGGACTCAGCTTGTGAAAAATCATGAGTCGACTGTCCCAGTCCAGAGCCATCGAGTCCCAGTTAAAAAAACAAGTCCAAAACTGAAATTTACAGTAAAATGAAATTAAAATATAGTCCTTCTATTTTAAAGCACAACAAAGGCTAAATGAAATATGCATTGTTAAACAACAGCCATAGTAACTGCCACAGAAATTACACGAACAGAATATTTGTACAAAAATGCACATTCAAATCGATTGATTGATCTTTGCATCCTACAGGACGCATGTCATGAATTATTTTGCATCTTTGAGGATTTTTATGAGTCAGGGATGCAGGACGCAGAGGTAACAGAATCACTGAAATAGCTCAAAATGACCAGCCAAGTGAAAGTTTGTCCGGAAAAATGGTCACCTTGGCTGGACATTGTCCATTGACTGGCTATTATTTTAAGCCATGTGTCCAATCACCCACCTTGTTCTGTAAATGGATACATCACTTCCTTTTCACAAAGTTCTTGTTGTTGGGCCTTCACTTTCTGTTTTTCTTTAGTTCTTGCATGAGAGGTATGTTTCTGTTTAGTGCTTTGTTTTAGACCCGCAGAACTTATTTGTTGCAACAAAGGTAGGCCTTTGGTTGCTGGGGTTCCTGTGCGGCCTTGGAGGACCTTTGTTGCACCAGGTGTTTTCCCACAAGGTTTGTTAGGTCTTAATGCAAGTCCTTTCCTGGCCTTTGTTGTTCCTGCTTGTAGAGTATTCTGGACATCTCCTAATGCACGTCGTGGAGTAGCCAAGGAAGTGTGGTTTGATTGAAAAGACTTTGCAATACCAAAACTTCTTCCTAAATACAATGTACAAAAAGTTAAAGCTATAGAGCTACTACGACGAAACGTTTTGCTTTTTTCCTTGTTTCTTAGGCGGAAAAATATCACATGGAGTGAAAATGATACATCAAACTAAATTCATCCCAGTAAAAATGAATCGGCAGCCGGCAATTTTGTCCCTCTCAGCGCAGCAGTGACTAACTTTGCCACTACAGATGAAAGGCTGGAAGATTGAATCGAGATGTTTACCTGAAACTAAACGCTTACCAGAAACATTCCCTCCTTTTATATTCACCGCTTGGGCATTCTCTTGATCTATATGAGGTCTGAACGCTGTTTCTGTCGCCATGATTTCCTTTGAGGCTCTATAATAGAAAGAATTTGATAGTAACTTCTGCTAAATTGTCACCGAAACTTGCAAGAAAATGTTGTTGATTTTCAAAGATGGCGGTTTTGTGGGTTAAGGCATTCCACGTGATCATAACAAACCAATGAGAGACTAGCTCTTAGTCCCTCGCGGATCTTGGAGGATTCCATCATGGCTGCCGCGATGGATGACCAAATCTTGTATGATGTTTTTATCCGTTCAGAGTGGAACCTCGAGGGCGAATTTTTGGTTAGTATTTTAAATCATAAACCTGAAGGACGTGAAAATATAATCCCAAAAAATTCCATTATACTTTGCCGTCTTTTCTGGCTCTTTACAACTGTATGCAAACGTGGCACCGTTTAGGTCATCTTGGGCAGCGTTTCGGTCGTTGCTCTTTTGCATGTGTGCAACGAGTTTGTTAGATTTTGCCTAAAAACGATGTCTCATAAACGTAAAATACTTTATTATCCAGTAAATAGAAAAGTTAACTTCGGTGTTATGCCTGCGTTAATGGCTGTGCTTGATTAATTTTAATAAACATGATTCATGCATGAATCATTCTTAATTAATGCTGAAATCAGGACAGTTGATAGCCAATCAGATTTGAGAATTTTGTTAAAGTTCTTATGATTAAGGTTAGTATTACCTGATATCGTCTTCATAATTCTACAAGAACATTATGTGTTTGGATTAAGGTACTAAGTAATAACTTTGGCACAGAATAATGTGACCACATGACCTAGCCCCTTTAAGTTAGGGTTTACCATTGCAAAAAGCAGCCTAAATACATTTCCCTGAAAAAAGGTGATTTATGCCTATTTGTATGCATTAATTCTACATGTACAGTATATTATTGATCAGAATGAATTGATTGCCTCTGTCATTATTTTTCGTTACAGAACAAGACAGGATTTGACATTGGCCAGTTGAGAGGATCTTTACCAAAGAAGTTCCTGACAGTTGCTCAAAGTATTTTAATATTATTCTTGTTTACTGCTTAGACATAATTTGGTTATCTCATTCTTCTTACCCCTCCAATCCCTGATATGCAGATACAAAGACTGACCTCTCTACCTTTCCTTCAAGAATTTGTTGTGAGCAAATTTGTTTTAAGGTCAAAACATTTTCCTTGTTGATCATTTATTCATTCTCATACAACTGTAGCCTTCTTTTCTCTTGCTTTTCTGTTGATTTTGTTGGCAGAAAATCGATGTTGCACCATCACGTCCAAAACATAATATGATAATAAATTATTATTCCTTCCACATGTATTTCCAGATTCTTTCTGGTGGTTGTTGAGAGGGGCTCAGTATGCTATAAGGTGAGAAAGTAATTTTTTACCCACTCTCAGGGTAATAAAAAGTAAGAATCAGGTCCATGCAGTCTCAGACAACCTGGTTTCCCCCACTCCCCCTTGAGACTTGCTCCTCTGGTCTCATTTGGTCTGCCGTCTCCTTGGTTTGCACCTCCCCATAAAAAAAAACAGGGTTCCCGTGAATTTTCCTGGAACCAGAAAATTGTTAGTGATGGTTTCTCATAATCTCTGGGCACAGAACCAAAAAATTGTTGTCCATGGGAATTGAAATCCTAGGGCTTGCATTCCTTACGAAACAGTGTGTTTTAACTTGATCTATTATTATTATTTCAGTGGCAGCAATCAGATTCTTGGTGTTCCCGCCCAACTCTACAGAATTATTAGCAGTTCTCTCAGTTGGCAGTTTGCTTTATCCAGGTACATGTTTATATCTTTGTTGAACCTCCCATAAAGTGACCATCCAAAATGTGATGATTTGGTGGTTGTTTTAATACAGGAGGTGGTCGGTTACAAGATTCAACACAAAGGGGGTCCCTTCCTATAAGAGGCTTAGATACATCTACATTCTGGGAGAGAATTCATTACATTCAGTTTATGATAATTAAGCACCCAGCTTATTGAATGTTTGTACCTTGGAAGTGGGCACTTAAAACCATTTTTAGCAAGTAAATAAGTTTATTTTCTTTGCAACAAAACAAGAAATGAAAGTTTCTTTAAAATACCAAGAGAAATTGTTCTCAGTTATTGTTTTCAAATTAATCTCATTGTCAATATAATCTTTTTTGTTGGGAGGGTGGGGGGGAGGTGGCATTGGTGCTTATTAGTGTTTTTGTAGCTAATATAGGGTGGTTGGTTATTGGAAGTGGGCGCATTTTTGAGGTTGGGTGCTTGATCACATAAATGCAGTATTATATAAGGTTTGTGTTCAGCATTTCCATTTTTAAAGTAAACCTTTCATAGTGCTGATGCCCTTTAATTTTGTTGTCTTTAGTGATGGAAAGCTTTTGGCCATACTTCAAGACAGTTTTATTGAAATAAGGTAACGCTGTTACTGTTGTGACTGTTTGGATCACAGTGAAGGTCATTTATTATCAATTTCATAAAATAAATACAAATATTTCTAGAAAGTGATATGGTTAAGTACATGCATGCAACTTCCTGCACTCACATAAATATGTATGGTAAAATTAAACAGTGAGGGGAATCTTAAAAGTTGACACTTCCGTGTTATTGGAAGAGATCTATAAATTGGCTTATTTCTAATACAAACTTATCATAGTTTTAAGGACATAATTTTAAAAATCTTCCTTTTTAAGCTACAGGTAAACTTTTTCTTTACATGTACTACGTACCTTGTTCATTTAGTGTGAATCTTTTGTCAAAAAAAAATAATTTTAATATTTTCTGTCATGGTTATTGTAAATGTAGATTACCATGAATATTATATTTTATGCATTTTTAACCATAGGTAATTGCTAAGCACAATCATGGATTAGTGCTAATAAATAAAATTATTACTACCATAATTAAAATTATTAATTTTTATCATGATTTTGAAGTCAATCAATGCCATTTGCTTCAAAACGTACGTTAATCATCAATATTTCCTGCATGGAACAAGGCCCTGAGTGACTAAGCTGGGCACTTACCATTAGTCATACAGTAACTGGCTAACGAGATGAGGGAGTGGTAAAGAGAATTCCACCATCAGAATCAGGACAGTTCAGCTAGGTCAGTCAGTTTATGACTAGTAAGCACAGCAGTGATGGATTTTTAATGAAGAGTGGAAGAATAGCCTATTTCGTTTTCAAAATAATTGGTACTTCCAGCCAGTTTTGTCTTTTGGTAAGTGCTGTAGATGTCAAAGGTCCTATTAAAGTTGGGTTTTAGGAAAGCTTAAAAATGGCCATGTATTTTTTTGTTTACAGGCAGATGGGCCTATAACCTGGAGGCTTAAAAGTAACAGTTTATGGTAGTTTGGTGGGAGAAACTAGTAGTTTATCAAAGTCACTTGCTCACCCTCACCATGTTGTGTTATTGTCAAAACACTAGGTCTTTTGTGGATGAGTTTGAATCAATGGTTGCCAAGTGCACTGGTAAGTCACCATTATTGGGCTGGGAGACTGGCCTTTGGTAAAGCTCAGTCCTTTTGTTACTTTTTAATAGCTACCTATAATTAGACTCAGGAACAACCAAAACTGACTAAAGTGCAGCTGATCATAGGGAGTTAAAGCAACCCTGAAGACAATGGCTCTTGCTCAGGTTTTGTCAAATGCTGACAAATTTTCTTTTCATGTGTGCTCACACTTTAGAAAGTTTGCACATAGTTACCCGCAGTGGTGACAAAGATGTACCAAAAAGTGTGAAGCATGTGCAGAGCTTTTGTTTTGCTCATAAAACCAGTAATATTTTGTTTGTTGTTGTTGTTACATTAACTTTTTCACTAGCAGGTTACACTTCTATAAAATAGGGAAATTAATTAACTGCATGTACAGCTGTAAATCCCTTGCAGAAAAAATACAACAGACATTTTATTCACCATTTTCACATCTCCCATAATACAATTTCCTGGGAATTACAGCCGTCCCAAGAATCAGAGAGAATAATTTTGTTGTTGCTTGGTTTCAGTTGACAAAGACAGTCATCCTCAATGGAGGAAATTGGCATGGAGTCAGGATTGTTCAATGTTGGCCTGTTCTTATAGGTTGGTACAGTGGTTTATACTGATTAGGAATTAATTGCTGTTTTTCAAATGCCATAGTGCTTATGCTTTTAAGAAAAACCCTATGAACCAGACCTTTTTTTAAAAATTATGGTTAATTGTTCAATATTATATGTAATTTGCATTTAAAGGAAAGGAAACATTTTAAGTTATTTTAATATTGATTGAAACAATTTCTGGAAAAGTATGTGCCTCTATGAAATAAACTCACTGTATTTTTTGGAAGAATGCGATTGCATGCACATGTTGGTGTGCAAGTCTATCGATGCCTTGGTCTAATTTTTGAAAAATGTGTTAGTTCTCTTTTTATCGAAAAACCTAAAGCATCCTAAAAAAATATTGCTTTCAACTTTTAAAATGTAAAACGATTTAGCTCACTTACTATTTGACTTCACTCTTTCTCAAATACCAGTGGCCTTGTTTACTCCACTCATCTAATAGATTGCTTTTACAAGTTCCTTCTGTTAATACCGTGGCTCATGGACACCGCTCATTTCCATATTATGCAGTGATAATCGGGAACAGTCTACCTGATCATATCAAAAACTCTGCATCTGTTTCTACTTTTAAGCAATGGTTGAAAACTTTTCTTTTTAGGAATAATTACTATATATGGTTTCATTTAGACTTTGTTTACTATTGTAAACCCCTTTATGAATTCTTTAAATGTGCCATAAAAACCTATTATTATTATCTATTATTATTCTGGACAAAGGCAATAGACTTGAGGATCCAACTTGAAATATCTGTGAATGATCATCCACAATTATTACGCACGTATATATGGTAGCAGGTTCTTGCTACAGCTGTATCATGCATGAACACACTCAAGTCTCACTAAAATGATGTTATCAATATTAATTTTTTTTTCATAGTTTTGGTGACATAGTGGTGTTTGACCTTGCAGGAGAACTGCTTTTCACAATTCCCCAGGTAAGCCCCCCCCCCCCCCCCAAAAAAAAAAAAACCCAATATTTTGTCATTGTTCTTCACAGTTGTACATACATACATTCAAACATCACAGCTTTTACTCATTCACAAACAACAAACAGACTTGTGAATGAAGCCTTTAAAATGATTCCGCCCGGGGAAAGGGGAAAGTCTGTGAAAGACTGTGCGCTCCCAGAACCAATCAGATTGCAGGATTTGGATTATTCGAACTGCTTGCAGACGCACTGAGAAAAAATAAATACCTTTATTAATTTTGATGAAGCTGGTTAGTAAAAGGGGAAACTAAAAGGCTAAATGTAATTTGGACCCTCAATACATTCTTACTAGTAACTGTAAATCTTGCTAAACTGCTTTTTAACCAAAGTTTTTTTTTCCAGACCATTGGAGCTCTTCCTTCAGATTTAAGTGACTGTATATCTGGACTTGTTTTCATTGATCACAAGCAGAGCTCTCAGTGGTAAGATTCTAGCTATGCAATGATGTAGTACTTAATAGAAAAACTGAGATCTATCAGTAAAAGTTGTCCTTGCTAACCATGTCCCCCCCCCACCAAATCTGCCAAAAAAATGTTTATAACTTATTGGATTATAGAGTTATTTGTGGAACTGCAACATAAGAAAGTCTTGTTGGTGTTAGTAATAATTATGAATATTATTGGTTTTGGCTTTTTGTATGATATGAGAATTTTGCAGATCGAGGAAGCTGTCTGATCTGCATATTGTGGTGCACTTTTTTTCATATAATATGAAATCAAATAATTATTAATAGCTTTCATATAATAACATTTGCCCATTCCTTGGCAGTTTCAGGGTACGAAGGGATGTCTATTCCAGCAGATATTATTTTTCATAACATCTGGAGGGGGGCGTAAGGGTTTGCGGTATTGCGGTATTGGGTTATTTTTGGTGCGGTGTTGCGGTAATTTTTATTTCAAAGTACGGTATTGCGGTTTTCAGAGTCCAAGCGGTGTGCGGTAAGTTTAAATTTTACGTCGCGGTAGTCGGTGAAAAAATCGTTGTGTCGCGGTGATCTGCTTCTTTTTCATGACAAGAGGATACAAATCCTAAAAGGTCTCGCTAGCTAGCCTGCGTGTCTTCCTATAGTTGCACAGTCGGGGATCGTATTGCGCAAACAGTGCAGACAAATCGTATGGCTTGTAATTTCAGTTAATACTTGATATGATTAGCGACATTAACTTTTTTATCCAATGATACGTAAACATGTCGCATTATTTATGACCTCATGGACATTGTGGGAATAGTCAGCTTTTAACCTCCCTACCAATCTTACCACCACTTTCGTGCCAGTCGCAAAACAACGGCGAGCGATCCAGAGGGTCAACGCCGGGGAGGGCACTTTAGGAATTTCTGGGTGGGGATGTGCCGCTGGGACCCTGGAACCAGAGCTAGTTCAGCTGAATTTTGCTACCCTATACTAGAGTAAACGCCCAAAATCCCCCTATCCTAGAGTAGCTGTTTCCCCAGTCTAGATAAAATCTTCAACCAACTGATCAGTTTCCTGAAAAATGATACCCTATTCTAGACCCAAACGCTCTGATTTATATACCCTATCCTAGAGTAAACTGCTTGAAAACCATACCCTTCACAGCGGCACATACCTATATAGCCCATATATGGCAGTACCCCCCGGGGGGTCAACTAAGTGATCAGTCAGATATTCAAGCAAATAGTGAGGTCAGTGAGGTCGTTATAAATTGTGTAGTGACGAAAGATAATCCATGAAGATGATGTGATCTAAAAATTAATACTAGTCCTTCTCGTCGTGCATGCAGGAATATAGAATTTACTAGTATTCGTGTGTGCTTAGCCTACGTACCATGGCTGCCGGGGGCGGGGGTACTTCCTAATAAGAGGCTAAGGAGGATGTGCCGCTGGATGGGGTCGCATTTTTAGAGAGTTACTAGAATGGGATCGCACATGTTCTGCTTTTTTGGGGTAAAACAGTTCTTCATATTTACGGTTAGCAAAATAACCAGAATGTTTGTATTGTAGATGAAAAGTAAAGTGTTCTTCATTCAATCTAAAACATGATCAATTAAAAAAAATAGAAAGTGACCAAGTTGAGATCGCGAAATTTAAATATTTGTTCAAAAGTGACTAAGATGGGGTCTATAATTGGCCACAGAATAGACTATAATGGGGTAGGGGCTCTCAGAGGCCAGTGGCACATACCAAGCAAAAATTAACCCAAGGACCCCATGGCAGTTTTACATGGTTTTGTCGGCAGCACGACTGTGAGCGGCGAAGCAGCTCCCGCCCCAATCTCCTCGCCCGCGCCCGCCTTCATTATTTAGCTTCAAGCGGCGGAATGTAATGCGGTCAATGCGAGCTTATTGTTAAATTTAATAAACAACCACTTCCTGATTTTTTAACCGAGAATCTTCCCATTTGAATCCCTACCTATCCCAAAAATCCGAAAATTTGCGACCCCATTCTAGTAAATCTATTGAAAATGTGACCCCATTATAGTCACTCCAGTCGTGAAAATGGACCCCATCCAGCGGCACATCCCCATTAGCCTCTTGCAAGGGAGTACCCCCCCCCCCCGGGGTGCTGTGTGTCCTTCGAATCCAAAAAGCCAGCCAGGGTCAACGTTTTGAAACCCTCAACACAGAACCGAGTTAACTGTGAATCTGAAACAACCTCATAAGAGTCAACTGTCATCCGTCCGTTTATGATCCAGGTCAGTAATATATAAAGTAATACTAGAAAACTCCTGTTGTATCATTTACGTAAACGCATACATGTAAGGAACAATGTTAAACGAGTGCGATGATCTTATGTTTATCTTACGCTTGACATCGACGCACCATGATTTGGAAACACTGACATAAAAGTATTATTTCTATTTGAAAGGAGGATTTGTAGTGTTGACAATGTCAACTTTTTCCCATTTGTAACTGCGGTTTCGGTATTTGGCTAAATTTTGATGCGGTATTGCGGTATTCTGGCGCTACCATGTGCGGTATTGCGGTATTTGTACCCCCTTTACGCCCCCCTCCATCTGCTATCTGTCTAGGAGTTCTATTTTTGCCATTCTTGCAATATTCTTCAGGTAGTAGTCTGGCTTCTTGTCTCTCTATAACAAGTGGAATTTTCTGCCATTTTCTTCAGCTCTGCTTGCAGTGGAAAAGCTGGGCCACTGTGCTGCAATCTGCTGCTTTTTCTGTTAATTATCTGAAAATGTGATGTCACTTTTATGGATATCAGCACACATCTTTAAATCTGGTTGATGCTAGCTGGTTATGAAGAATTATTTGGGGGAATTAATCCAGTTAGAAACCAAGAAATATTTTGAATGAATAATAAAATAGGTAAAATAATTAATGCTTAAGGCTGCTTCTCTTTTGTCACACTATTTCCTTCTTTTATTTTTTTTAGGTCTGCAGAACTTGTTGTGATAAATTATTGTGGTGAATTGAAGAATTATTTAGTCAGGTTTGTGTATATGGAAACTTTTGCTGCTTGCATTTTTAAATATTGTAAACTTCAAGAGATAATATAATATTATTTTGATCATTGTTCTTATAGCCCTACCCATGGTTATCAGGAGAATCACAGTTTTTCATTTTCCAGCATCCTTCCAAACCGAGTTTGTTCAGTAGTATACCATCCTCAACACAAACTGTTGATTCTAGGAAGTGTAGTTCATCAGAACAATAGAACTTCTACAGGTATGGCCACTTAGTTGTTTAGTGGGTTATATGTACATCACTTTCTGATATTAACAGTTTCTATTAAATGGGTTCATGGATTATAACAAAAGAGTCAATAAATTTTGTTTGAAATAGATAATCCATCTTGCCCAGCATCACAGTATGGATTAACAGCATGGAGGATTCTTTCTGGATATCCACATTACAATCTCATAGAGGATGAAGGCACTAATTTATTTCGGGTAATCTTTTTTTTGAAAATCCCATCTTACATGTAGTTAAGTCATTCACTAAATTAACATTCATTTTCACTCCTGGACTAGGACATGGCCAGCATATTTATTTAATTGTAAAAGCAAACAGACAACAATTTTTCATAGTTTATAATCTTGACTAATAAACCATAAAAATTACATGTACGTCAATATCTTAAACACTGTGAAGTGGAGTCGGTTTCCTGTGGCTCATGGTTGAACATTTTTATGGTCTACTCAGTATTAGAGTATAGAAGGGGTAAAATTGTTGTCTATTTTCTATCAAAAAAACTTAGTAACTTTGAAATCTTAGAGGCAGCCCTGTATATGGTTTATATTTATGTTTCAGGCTGGTTCTGGAATATTAAATCGAATTAGAAGTCTTCCTTTGGTTAATGTGTCATCTGAAGGACTGGTTAGTGATTCCTTTTTTACCTTGATTCAACTCAGCATAATCTGTTTCTTCCACCAAGAATATTACTTTACACAGCACATTTTTTTATGATATCAGCTCCTAAAACCATGAGTAATGCATCATTTTGTAAATTTTATGTGAAAAAATCCTTGCCGAGCTGCAAGTATAATTCAGTCATCAGACAGTGTCACACTCAAATACCTGAAAGGGTATTCTCAGATTGCATCTGATGACTCCATTTTGTGCAATTTATCAGATGTGATAGCTCTATCCCTGTGCAAATGTTCTGGTTTGTCGCAATAAAACAATGACCTGGTTTGATGCATGACAGCCCTTTCTAAAAAGGGAAAATATAACTTAGCCTCCCATGCGTTCCTGAAAAACTGTAGTAGTTGTAGTGATCTGGAAAAGTGTATCATGCATCAGATTCAAACATGTAGAGATCCATCTAAAACTGACCTTCGTTAGAGTGTATGCCACATAAATACTAGAATTATGACAACTGCCACTAAGAGATACCATCTTGTGTGACAAAATAAATAACTCAGCAGTATATATAACATCTGTTTGTTGTTGCTCGTTATTTAGGATGGTGTTGCACAGATGTCTTTATCCCTGGATGGGACCAAGCTTGCCGCTTTACACGTGTCAGGAACCTTGTCCTTGTGGCATGTCCCATCTCTGCGACAAAAAACTATGTGGTCTGTTGATGAACAGGTCAGTTGAAAATGAGAGTCTGTTATAATGTCAGTTGCTTTTGCCTACTGTACATTTTTCTTTAATTTCACTGATCTTAGTTGGAATGATTGAATATTACTTGAGTAAAATAGTTGACAAGATCTGATAACAACCTTGCATTGTCTTTTGAGATATAGTAGATAAAATTACATAGCCAACATGACATAGTACTGAATGTTATCACTTCAATTAGAATTGTTATTATTTCAATAAAACAAGCCTAAAACATTGATAAATTTTCCTGATTTCATTTTCTTCAAATGTAAGAAAAACCAGAGACAATTTACACACAAACTGTCTTTTTTTTCACAGTAGCTTAAATATTAGCCACTAACATGTTGTTATCATTTCCCTTTTTTTATTTTCCAATGCAGCCCTCATTTAAGAACCCAGATGAACAAGTCAAATTTGCTTCCACCAAACCACTGGATTCAAACAAAGGTTAGTTACATTTTTGGCTTTCCACCCATGTTTCAAAATTTTATTGTAAAAAAAGATCCCATATCCAAATCACTGTCGACATAGAGTTATACTGACACGACACAATTGATATGGTGCCGCTTGTACAAAGAGAACCCCTTGGACTCTGCCCAGAGCATGCCACCTGAAATGGATAATTCTTTGGCCGAAGAGAGTGAACCATTACCAAATATGTTTATTTTCACAAGCCTTAATGACTGTTACAAAAATGATAGTCTTGTACATAATTATTATTCCATTCTTGCTGTACATGCATGTTATTCTCGTCACAATTAATTATAGTGAAAACTGTGCTGGCATTCATTTTGAGAAAGAAATTCCAGCACACACTAAAAATTCACACTATGATGGAGCTTGTCACTCCGTGTTTCAACATTTTCATTGTTTTTATAATGTAGCTGTTGTTATTGTTTGTAAACATCCTTGTAAGAATGTTTATGGAATAACGTTTTTAAAATCAATGTTTTGTCAAACCTCCACAGAGTTGTCATTTCATGGTTTAATGGATGTGAATTGGTGGGCTGAAGAGGTAAGGTTGACAGTAACTCATCTGTTATTCAAACTTTGAACATTTTACAGGTTTCTCTTCAAATCAGACTAAAATATGACCTCCAATTTTTACGAACTCCTATTTCAAAAGACTCTCTTTGTACTACACATGTACACGTAGGTCAGCTTTGATGGAGGAGATTTTAAGAAGGAGATACCCCAACCTTTTGACCATCCTGTATTGAAAGCCTTTTTTTGGCCTTAAATGTTAGTAAAAAAACTTGATCTCTTACCTGAAAACCTCATGAATACAACCACCTTGTCAATGTGCCCAATTCTCCATTGATATGCTCGTGTGACTTGAAGGGGTTAGTGTTCATTTATTATAGTGTTACATTACTAATGTTCAAGGTAAAAACCCTTAGTCCTCAAATAATTTGGATTTCCTCTCTTCAGGTGATTTTAATTAGAAGTAATGCCATTAATGTGAAATAATAATTATACACTCAGTCTTTCTTTCCATTCCTGTTCTTCCCTGTAGCTAGTATGAGGTGAACTGAGCTCTTGAGTCGGGAAAAAAATTATAACATAGATATGCTAGAAGGAAGCATAGTTATTGTATTTTAGTGATGACCAAGATTGCTGTGCGGCTTTGAGCAATTTAAACAGCGTGGATTGGATCAGTACACTTAAACATTTTTTTTCTGTTATATGTGAATCACTTATGCTTTCATCTACATGCTTTGTCAACTCTCTCTGACATGGACACCTTTAAGATTAGCACTATTGTGTCCATCTCAGAGTAATGTCTGTCCTGTAGAGTGATTCTGTTACCTCTGCATCCTGTGGCCCTGATAATTAAAAATCCTTAAAGACGCAAAATAATTCATGGCTTGCATCCCATAGGATGCAAAGATCAATCCATGTGTATCTGATTTGTACAAATATCCTGTTTGTGTAATTTCTGTGGCAGTTTTTATGGCTGTTGTTTAATGATGCGTATTTCATTTAGCCTTTGTTGTGCTTTAGAATAGAAGGACTATATTTTAATTTCAGTATACTGTAGTAAAGAGTTTTGGAGTCTGTCTTTAGTTTAACTGTCTGGTTACATAAAGGCCAAAGCATTTTCAATTTCGGATTTGTTGTTTTTTTAACTGGGACTCACTGGTTCTACAATGGGACTCACAATTTCTCACAAAATGAGTCCCAGGACTCACCATAATTATTTGTAACAAAATCACTGCTTGTAGAGAGTCAAATAACGCAGATGTAGAAGTGTCCATTAACAGAGACTTGACTCAGTATACACCCATGAATAATAGTTTTTACATTTTTCTTTTTATGTAGGCACTGATTTTGTCTCACAGCACTGGAGCATTAACTGTGTCTTCCACGGAGCAGAGGTAATTAAATAAAGAAACTAGACTTTAAAGGGTTGTTTTATCCTCAAGAAATATTTTGATTGGTTTTCTCACATAAATAAGAAACATCTTTTTGTGACTGTATGTGTATCGTCGTTCAAAGTGTGTTTAAGTGCTGCCTGTTAGCATGGGGAGGTAGAGTTTTTCAGTATTTTATAAAGCACCAAATTTGGGTCTGCAATACTCGTTAATGCCCACATTGCAAGTGGAGGTTGGGTGCCCAGGGACCAGGGGGTTGCAACTGCAATCACACCCCAAGGCAGAAGAACACCCACAGATCTACCAACCCACAACCCAGCCACGAGCAACCACCCCCCCCCTGCGCGCCCAGCCTGAGACCTCAAATGTAATAAATGACCCCAAAATGTAATAAAGGTTCTAAGTGTCATCTTCTATGCCACTTGTTACACTGAGGCAAGAATCTCAGTGGAAGTAATATGAAAACCCTGGAAGGGGGTGGATACCCTAAACCAAGAAAGCAGAGGGAGGGAGGGGAACCAAGAGAAACACTACTCTACTAGAACAGGATGCCACGCCAAGAAAGCTTTGAGTTCAACGCAAACACAATGTAGGCACCTGCCATGGCCTGCGTGCAACATGCACAGAAGCGACATACTGCTGGACAGGAATCTGCCCGCCTGCTAACAAAACAGTATACTACAGTATGCTAACAGTCACACGATAGCGCTACAGACATCCAACACGCCACCAAAGAACGCCAAAAACACACATTAAATATGATTTAATAGTATGAAACTAAGGATTTCTCTTGTCATACCTTCTCAACTGACTTTTTTTCGATTTTTCTGTTTTTAATTGTGTACTTTGTCTTCTCTTAACATTTATTTCCATTAATGGGTAATATGTGAATCAACATTAGGGAGGGTGTAACAAGACAATTAGTTTGTCAACAAACATGGCAAAACATTGTAGTTTGTTATAGCTCTGGATTGGTAAAGGAAGCTGATTTGTTTTATCTGGCAGTAGTTTAATTTTGGCATGTAGTGTTGTGGTCAGTTTTAGCCTTGTATTGTGGCCTAATGCACTTGTACATGCTTTCCGAAGGTACGACGTAATGTCTGGGAGCAAACAAAGTGTCAAGTTTTTTAATCAACATGGCTCTATAATATTGATAATGATACAGACATTTTCCTGTTACTGAAACAGATCAGAGTTCAAGATTTGGATTTGTAGACCAGTCTGTTGATCTGTTGAGTTTGACTTCGAACAAATTATTTTACTGAATTGGCCAAAGATTTAAGATAAGGTAGTAATTTTTTTCTTTTCGTAGTCTTCATAATCTGCTTGGTCACCGCCCAGAAATGTGTGAACCATGGTCTCGTATCACTGCTGCCCACAGTAAAGGGTTTCTCATTTTAGAGGTATAAAGACTTACATTGTATACTGAAAGCTTGATATTTGAAGAGGGGGCTGAAGCCAACAGATTGGCAGATTTTGAAATTAACTTTGCCTGGATTTTGGATCCAGAGTGAGATTTCAACAGATTTGATGATCTGTTAATTTCAGTGGATTGCAAATTCATTTTTTGGGCCCAGATTTTGGACTGTGTGTGTTTTAAAATTATTCAGAGAGAAGTTTTAACAGCAGATTTGGTTAATAAATCATAACTGGTCAGCGGATTTGTATATCTTGATTCATCCCCCTCTTTGAATACTGTAATATTGATAATAATATCATCAAGCAATATACAGTATTTTGTGTGCTTGTATAATTGCCTCTGTTATTTTCAGCTTTAGTCAGTACAACTGTAACTTGGCAATTTTCTTTGCATAAGCGTGAATTGTGTGGTTCCAGAAAATATCCATACCCCCCCATGGAGGGTCACGGAATTTCCTAGGGGTAGGGGGGTCTAAAAGAGACAAATTTCTGAAGGGGAGGGGGGTACATAAAGAGTTTTTCTTTCCAGAGGGTTTGAAATGCGATTGAATGAACACTTGCGTATTTTTCCAATTGATTCGGGGTAGCCAAGAAAAACCAAAAGTTCTATCCGTGGAAATAGACGTAGGATTCCTTGTCATATATTTTCTATTATTATCCCGGCGCCAGATGACACGTACAGCTCCGAGGCACACCTCTGAGCACGTTCGACGTCGAGTCAAACAAAATGGCTGACTAGAAAAATATCGTTCCCAGTCCCTAACATTGGCTGTATTGAGCGATTATCGCATAGTTTTATCGTTTTCTGTGTAGTTACGAGTTTGGAAACGTTAGCAAAGTCGATACGATGCCATTTGTTTTAAGCATAATTTTTTTGTAACCGTGAACAGCAATGAGAGACGGCGAAGATTTCATTTCGTTGTTTAGTTACCGGAATGAACTTGAAAAGTACGTTTTACACATGAAATTAAAAAAAGTTAAAAAAAACTGTAAGGTGTGAAATTTACTATCATTTACAAACTACAGAGATAAAGCGTACAACTTTATTGAAGTATTCCTGTTGAAAGACGAACTTAAGTTTTTAAAAAACATGTTGCGTGACGGATTATGATTCCTGCTGATAAGCAGGGCCTAACTAATCGATAGAAATCGATCATCGAAAATGTCATCGATTAATCGATAATACTCGATAGTACTCGATATTTGTCGATTGATTAGTCAATTTAATCGATTGAAATCGATAATCCCAATTTTTTGTCGCATCTATGGAAATCGACAATCAAAAACGTGATCTGATCTTATCACAACACTGCGTAACACTTACCTTCAAGCTTACCTTCGAATCCGCTTTGTTGATAAAGATGATGTTACTTCTTTCTCCAATGGTAGCTACTTTTCTTATTTATTTTTTTTAACAGGATCACTGCTGTAAATTTGTACTCTAGAATCGTCAGAATCGTGGTAAATAGCCGGAGTCACTAATGTAGAAATTGGCAAACTGTCGTCCGTTCTCCGAGAATTTAGAAGGGTATTGTTCGAGCGCTTATTGGGAGACACGCATGGTGGCTTACGAAGCGCGGAGAATCTTCGTCGATTTTCTTTTCGATCATTGTCGAACAAATCGATAAAATCGATAGCTAATTACAGAAATCGATCAAAATCGAAAATCACAAAGATGCGAGTGATCGATTTCTATCGATTTCCGATATTAATCGATTGATTAGTATCGATTACGATCGATTACGTTCGATTTCTATCGAGTATCGAAGATATAGATTAGTTAGGCCCTGTGATAAGCGAAGTCACTTCACGGCTCCACACAGGAAAACAACATTTGTTAGCAGTACTGTTCGCACATTATACTACATGTAGATAAAATTACACCTGCAAAGTACAAAAAATATCATGGAGATTAGCATCGAGTCAATTCCTGAGTTTTGCTTTGACAGCAAAAACAAGAATGATGTAATATTATAGTCATTTCGTGTTTAAAGTAATTCGATACTTTGTTTCGTCTATGCATAAATTACAAACTTCGACTAGGTTACAAAACGTTGATGATACCGTCAACTTTCAGTACTTTCTTAGATATTTTTTGAATGAAATCTTCTGTCAATTAAGCAGACGAAAGGTCAGCTGCCAGAACTATAGTGTTAATAAGCTCAGTTGTTAGAGTTTGAACATTTCAAAATAGAGGAAGCGAGAGGCGCGTCTATTCATATGTCTAGAATTTTCCACGGTCATTTTTAAGAAAATTAAATCTCATAGCCTCCTCCAGCAATTTTGTACCTTACCTAGCGAATATCTCCATAAATAATGTTCCATGAAATAGCAAGTGTGGTATGGCCAAATCGCTTACGTGAAAATTATGCCGCTTTACGTCTTCATCTGAATTGTAACTATAATCGGCTGCGGCTAAATTTTATTTTGGCACTAAGTAGACCAAAATAAATCAATGAAGTCTTTTTATTTGTGGATTTGGAATTTCCTAGGGGTAGGGGCGACCAAGTGAAAAAATCATGGAAATTCCAGGGGGTAGGGGGGAGCAACCTGAAGCCCTCTGGAACGGAAAATCCGGGGGGGGGTGGGGGCTCAAACTGTAAACAACCCTCCGTGGGGGGGGTATGGATATTTTCTGGAACTACACATTAACTAACTCTTTTGTCATTTTCTTGACATCTACACTCAAGCCAAAACAGTTGAGCTGCTGTGCCACATACTCTCTTGCATGACACCAATGATTACATAATATAGAAATCAATGATGTCAGCATGACTGATATCAACGACTGTACATTGCTCACATTTTCCAAATTTTGGTCAGTGCTAGCTGGTTATGAATAATAATTAGCTGGAGGATTAAAGCCAATCAGAAATAGTGAAATATTTTGAATGAATATAAAAGTAGTTATACGAGGCATGTGAAAAATGCACTTGTGCAATCAATTTAGTCAATCTCACACTCTTCATCAAATTGAAATGTCCTGTTAATAACAAACATATTACCAAGTACGATTTGCAAAACAAACACCCTCCTCAAGGTCCTCTAATTTTTTAATTTATTGACCTTTTGATATTTTTTTGTGTTTTTCTGTTATTTGTAAGGATTTAAAGTCTACTGGTTCTTGTAAAATTAGGGTCTGGTTTTCCAACATTTAAGATGTTTCTTGTTGTTGTGGAAACCAATGCTGATTAGCCAGCTACTTACGATTTTGTGGTGTGGGTTTGCTCAGTGTCTTTCAATCTTGTGTCATTGCACTCATCCAAAAACTACATAATTTTAGCCTTACTGGCTGGTTAATTCTGTTCTTAACTTGCCTGACAGCCAAGTGAAGTTTTTTAGGGAAATTCAAAGTGCAGAAGAACTGTAATCAATTGTGATCATAATAAATTTTTTTCGGGCTAGTTTAAATGACTCTTGGGCTAGTACATGCTGGCTACAGCTTGCCTGAATCGCAATCTGTAAAACTGACTTTCTTTATACCCTATTGAACCAACTTCGTGTTATTTTTAGTGTGAAAATGAAATCAAGACCTCACGATCCAAACTTGCCTTAAATGCTGGTGAGGATGAAGGTGATAGTGATGAGAATGGTGAGAAGGAGGATGGGGAATTGGAGAGTGATGATGATGATGATGAACCAACTCTGATGTCCAGATCAAAACATTTTGCCAAACAGGTAAGTTAATTAGAAAATTCAAATAAGAAAGAAAGTTACAGAGGCAAATTAAAGAAATCTTTAAAACTCAGTTGTTAAATGCACTTAACAGAGCATGATGCCCTCAATCAGCAACGTGTAATGCAAAGTTATGCCAGCCCTTATCACATTTTGGTAGGGTTTTACTCATAGTCTAGGTAAAATTATTACGTGTACAGTAGCATATCCTTGTGTACATTGTAGTTGGGAGTAGGTACTAATGTATTGCTTGTTTTGTATGGCTAGTAAAAATAATTTTCCTGGTGCACATCTCGTGGAGCACCTTGGGTGCTCTCTCAATCCAGTGGTACAGTATTTATCTTTGGCTTACCCTCAGATAGTAGTCTAACTATAAAAGGCTTAGTAAAAATCCTGGATCTCATTCTGAGCCATATTGCTAAGGTTTAATAGTTCAACTGTCCTGAAGTTTTTGTAATTCCCACCCTTCCCTCCTTTTGGAGGTTTTGTTTTTATCAATAATTTGGGTACACTGCTTTCTTTCGCCTTCAGTTTAAGTTTTACAGAGACTCCTCCAAGCTTTGATTTGAAGGAAAACTTTTACATTAATAATTATTGAGTGTACTCCAGCATGTGCTCACTAAGTCGGCTCGTAGCGCTGATAAGATAAAGTTCCTAGAACAGAATAATTGCCTACACTATTCCATTCAGTTGCACGATGTTGGCTGAAGGTTTCAGCTCATAGTGCCGTGGAGTGTTAGGCTATATTAATTTTCTTTCTTTTGGACCTACCTGAACTTGTCTGATCTGGTGCAGATATGTAATAGTGCCGGGAGATAAGTATGGCTTTATGGTCATGCTATGGAAGTCATCGGCCATGCTGATCACAGAGTGGTGTTCCCTCCTTTATGCCATATGTTTGGTTGTCATGGTTTTATTAGACTCTTATTTAAAGGCCAGCTAAACGAACTGCAGCATTAACCAATGCATGAACTTTGTAAAATATGTGTTTGATCAGACTTGCAGGCTTGGAGACTGAATTTTCAGAAGAGATCATCGTTAAGTTCTCTGTCAATTTTTTTTTTCAGATTTTTCTTTTCAGAATATAATATTATTATTTAGCGAATTGATAGTGAAGCAAGAATGGCGTACACCTAGCAAACAATAATTTCAAAGAAATGTTGTATGTTTTTTTTTATCAGGTGATGTTTTTCCTGACAGAAAGTGAAAGGTTTCAGCCACCCATGAAAGTGCGCAAGTATGTATAGCAGTCTCTATTGTTTTTTGTCAAAGTAGTATCGCAAAATGATATTAGGCAAATTTTTCTGATATCTCATTTTTGACTTAATAATTGGACTGAGTGGAGTGCAATTTGGTTTGAAATGATAAACGTGGTTTTAGAATCAGACGAGTGGGTAGCACGAGTTTAGATTTGAATTAGCAAAGTATGATTTCAGACCAAAATTTTACTCCACTCTGTACAATTATATTACATTTCACTACTTTATTACAGTGATTTTGCAATTGCAGAATTCAGTGAGTACCAATGTGTTACTGATCTACTGGTAGCCAGTGTTGAAAAGTTAAAACGAAAAGGCTTTTACATGCTCATTTTGTATTTGGAGCAGAAATGTTGTGAAACAGGGAAAAAATGTTTAGAACAGATGTGATCTAGAGCAAAAAGTCATGTGATTCATTAATAAATCACACTGCTGAGAGCCAATAAGATTGCAGGGATCACCAGTGATTTTAAAATGGATATAATAACAATTTTAACCTGTGTTTGTGTTTACTTTCCTTGATCATCTATTCAGGATCTGGAATGATTGTCATCTTTCTCTCTAACTACTTTAAAATTCTTATCATGCATTTTGGTACAGATCTAGTGTAATGTAATTTATCATCTGCTTTACTTCTCAGAGTTCTTCATCGCACGTATAGGCTTGTTTGCTTACGATCCACAACACCCGAGGAGCTCTATGCCAGAAAGGTAAACCCCATAAATTATTTAACCCCTTTTTTTTGCTTGCAAACAAGCTCTCTTTTGTTTTTTGTTAGAATTTCTAGCTGCGGGCAGGGATGTCACTGTTGCCTTGTGAATACAACAAGTAGGCAGGGAATCAGGGGATTTCTTTTGGTTTTATTTTCTTGCTATTTTCCTATGAAAGTAGCCGGGAGCCACGTTCACAGTAGCCGGGGGACATCCCTGGCTCTCGGCTCTTAATGACACCCTGCTGCAGGCTCGGGGACAGTTAAAGGAAGGGGTTATTTAAGAGAGACTTGGAAATTGTAGCAATGATGGAATATGGCCATAGATTATCTGGATTTTTTGGATTTCTACACAGTGTTAGTTTGTTCTAGACAGCAAAATCTCAGAACCTGTAGTCTCTGGGCTATTATTGTCTCAAAACGTTTTGGAAAGAAATACCAGTGACCAGTGAGTAATACAGGCTTGTTGATTTGTAAATGGAGAAGGAAAGGAACTAAAAATCAAAGCTGTGTTTCTGGCATTTTTGATCTTTGAGACTGTTACCATGTGATGGTTGTTAAAATATGGTAAATTTAAATCATCTGCCCAAAGGGCAAAGTTTGTGATAAAGTCAGGGTTCATCACGGAAAGTATCTTCATGGTGAAATGTTCAGTTTTTAATTGTTTTTTAATGATGAAGTTACTTATTTGATTTAGATAGAACATGAGGAGTATGGTGAAGCCCTTGTTCTTGCACAGACCTATGGACTGGACAGCGATTTGGTTTATCAGAAACAATGGAGAAAATCTCATGTTTCAGTGGCTTCCATTCACGATTACTTGGTCAGTGTCAATAAAAATGTTTAAAAAATCTCATTTGGTTAGATTGCACCTTTGAAGATTGCATTGTACTGTAATTTAACTTCCTCCAGAGATGAAATAATCAGAAAAACGTTTTATTAAACTGGCTGTGAGTATTCTCTGGTTGTTGTGTAATTGTTTGAGTCATACAAAATGACTTGTAGTTTCCTAGTGCTGCAGATGGGAGCAAAAACCAATTGATGTAATACAAAAGATTGAAAAGAAAGTAAACATTACCCACTACCCCAAAAAACAATTTGTAATCAATAATGGTTTCCTGGTGGGGGAGGTGTGTAAACTGTACTCCTGACTTAAAGTGATGGGGTGATCAAATGAGGGCAAAAATCGAACCCCCCCACCTCAAAAAAAAAAACTTTCCCCAGGGATCCAACAAAACCCAAACGAATCCCTGGGCCAAAAGAAAGAGTTTCAAGGAAAATCCTTGGCGGAAAATTCTGAGAATTTACAAGAGCAAAGGGGAATGGCTGTAACGATAAAACCAGGTGAAAATCACGTTGGGTGAAAACGTCAAGTAAATAAATTGAAGTCTTGTTAGACTCAATACAGTAGACACTGGTTTAATGGAATATTTAGCATGAGATTAACCAAAAAATAGGTTTGGTTTTACTTATTTAGGAGAACTTAGCAACGACTTTCATAAAATAAAAATCTACAGATCATGGCGGAAATCTACAAGATCTCTAAGAACTTACCAAATTTTCGTACCCCAAATAATCCCATAATGGAAAATTTCAAATCCATACGAACCTTCAGTCATCCCAGTCACTTGGAATTTAGAGTGCCCAACCTGAGAATGGTTTAACTCCAAGAAAAGCCCAAATGACTGGGAATAAAATTTACAGAGCTGTTGAAATAAGACCTTTCCCGCATTCCTGTGAACAAAGACGCCAACTCGAGGCTCGTGTGGACAGAATAAAGTGATTTGTATGAAACTGTCCACCAAAACCTCTACCCCATTTCCTTATGTATGCTCACTGGAGTAATATGTGGGAATGGTCTATTGGATGCCCTTGCATATTATTAATAACTGTAACATCTGCTTTTAATCATTGCAGAGTAAAGTTAAGAATCGTTTGTGGGTACTTAATGAATGCGTGGACAGAGTGCCAGAAAATTATGAAGCAGCCAAGCAGTTGTTGCAGTATGGACTTCATGGAACAGATGCCAATGTGGTGAAGAGTGTTGGAAGTGAGCAAGGCCAATTGCCTTTTATTATCAAGTCTAAGAGTGATGAGTTTGATGAAGAGGAGGAGAGAAAGAAGAAAATCAAGGAGCTTGAAAATTCTTTGGAGTTTGCCAGGTATTAACATAAGCTGAAAAAATTTGCTATTTAATGATCAGTCTGAAAATTGTACAAAATTCTGTAAGTCTTCTGCACCTTGCACTAGTGCAAACTCAAGATAATACGATACTATGAATGCTCATTTTGACCCTTCGAAGAGACTGGGTGAATATCACAAGCAAACAACACCTACCATCTGGGAACACCAGTCAAATCCACCCACTAGGTGGATTGGGAGGGTCCGGTCAAAATCCCTGATCAGCGCCAGGAGACCGTGGGCGTTAAAAGGAAAACCCAGGAGGACATCCATATCAGACACTCAGTCTCTGAACCTAAATAGAGATTATGAACTACCCGCAGTTTTTAATTTCTCGTTCTCTTGTGTTAAAATACACATAAGTCGCATGTCAATGCTAACATTAGTCTTTGCTAAAGAAGACTCGAGATATATTTGAAAGCTTCAGTGCTCTGATATTATGAGACCTTTTTGGCGAAAGGTATTATGTTTTTTCGGTCTTACCTTGCATTGTTGATGGTGAAGACATATGGATATCAGTTGGAATTACTTTATTCAGAATCGGGAAGATTGAAAAAATGCCATATAAGAGCTTAAGTTGAACCTTTTGAATTTCCATTTGAGTCTTGAAAATATCATTGTCTTCCAGGTCATCTCTGTTGTGTTTTGAAATTTATGAGTTCTTAACAGACATGTTATTAATTAAGCTTTTTATTTTTTTGAAAGATGGTTTGCTTCTAATACTTGTAGTTTTATGATACATGCATGTTAGCTCTCTGTAAATAATACCACCAGCTAAATGATGCATGATTTTGGTAACTGATTTTTTTACTATTTGATCAGTTTCAACTTGGAGCAGCGTGACATCTGCATGTACCGACTAAAGTTACTCCAATACCTTGATCGCCTCTCTACTTATGAAGCTATTTTGGGCGGGGTCCACATGGCGCATGAGGAATACTGCCACATATTCTTTGAACGATTTAGAGAAATAAATATCATGCAAGCTGCTGTAGAGTATGCTAGGGTATGTTTTAGTTGTTGTGTTTGTTGTTCTTTTAAGTCAAAAGAATTTGATTTTGGTATAAGCCTCTGAAAACAAGTCCCGAACTGACCCTCTTAAAAACAGGTTTGGCCTTTCTCTCCACCGTAGGTTCCATAATTGGTTTTAAAATAAACAACTGTTCACCATTTTGATGAAAACATAAACTGTTTTGTCATAGGGCTATGTAAAAAGCTAAGTTCGTGTCTTTTTTACCCCCATGTTGACACTGTTCCTGGTAAGATTAGTCTGTTTCATCAGAAAATGAAATACAGACCCCATGTAGCTTTGAACTGAATAATAATCAGTCTCCTGCGATGCCCAGCATTTGCTTGGATACGAAAATCTGTCGCTAGGTTTCAATTTTTAACGCCTTAGTGTTTAAGATGGGTTGTAAATGATGTGAAAAACCTACTATAGTAGAGGTGGGACTTTTCATCCATTTTTGGTAACAGCAAAGGTGAGTTTGAAACAAGTTAGTGTGGGGACGTCCATAGAGTAATTTGGATCACAAGAACAAAACGTCTTGTATGCAATTTTTCATGAAGGTCTTGAACTAGTTCTTCCATTGTAATCACCGATTTACACCTGTCATTTTTCAAAGCAGTATCATCAATATGTTTTTTCTTACAGGATGGTAACTGTGATGCGCTGGACGCCATTTTTACTTACCACGGGAAAGAGACTCTTCCGCACAGGCTTGCTATTCTATCAAACTTTGACGAGACCATTCCACCATCTGAGTACCAAGCTCTTCTTCCAGAGGCAGGGTGAGTGTGAAAGCTCAACTTCCTTAATATTGAAAACATATGTGTTTTGAGTAGACAGAGGGATGGACTTCTCATCCTAGGCACTGGGTTACATCTATGTTCCGCCCCATGTAAGGGCATCCAAGACAGTCTTGAATTCTGGATTCCACGCTGTGGATTCCGGACTTCAGGGAGTGGATTCCAGACTTTGTCATTGGAACTTGGATTCCGGATTTCAATCGTTATTGGGGTCCGTATTCCTTTAGCGGTATTCCGGATTCCAGATGCAAACATTTCCCGTATTCCGGAATCCCTTGAATGGGGCGATAGGTACAGTACTGTAGTAGTGGTTTCCATGGTACATTAAATACATGTAACCTTAGTAGGGCTATTTACAAATTGAAAAGTTTGACCCATTGCATTTGTACTCCCAGAAGAGTGACGTTCGATACTAATAGTTTGGAGGACGAGGATGACCACGAGGGCAAGATTTGACTTAGAGAGTTTTTCGCGTATTCTTAAAAATGGACACTCCGTAAAGCTTCATTTTACTTTTTTTCACTAGAAAAGTTGACATGGTTTTATTTATTGAAGGAGGTTTAGCCCTCTCCTGATCGCAAAATGATAAAACTGAAACTAAACTTGTTAACTACAACATTTTCAATAAAATCCGTTGTAGAATGACGAGGGCTATCACGTTTTCTCGCTAAAATGATGTTGGTGCACGCGCGCGTGGTACTTAGTATTGAGAATAGTCTAGTTTTGAAGACGCATTTTTTTACAGGCTTTGCCTCCATCTGAAGTAATGTATTCACCAATTCCAAGGAGAAAAAGACCTGTTTATTACTCTGTCTATGGTGTATATTCAAATTTCAAACACTTACTTGCCGGAATTTCTGAATATTTTACTCTATGTCGAGGCTAACCCTGTATAAATGTGCCGTTAATGTTTGTATTCAGCAGTAATTTTTAATTCGAAACTGGACTATTCTCGTTCTATTGGTTGTCCTCGTCTAAGAATCTGAAAGTCTCTATTGACACTTAAATGAAGGGAAAGAGGATGACTATGTTTGACTGTTTATTTTTCCTTCCTGTTATAGCTGTTGTGTAGAACCGGGGACATTCTGTTGTACCGTAATTCCTCTAATCTATTAAGCCCCCGTCAAATGGACTTAATAGAGGATTTACGGGCTAGGAGGCTTAATAGAGGATTTACGGGCTAGGAGGCTTAATAGTGGATTTACGGTATGTTCTTTTAGTTTCTCAGCAGGTGATCCAGATATCTTAGAGTGGGATGAAAAGTGTTGGAGATGTGCCGATTGGGCAGAGATAGCTGAATGCAAAAAAGTTGTGGGTTGGGAAGACTGTGGTGACCCAGCAGAATTTATTTATCAAGAAAATCCTGACTTACAACAGTACAGGTGAGGGAAAGATGTTAGTGTTTCTTATGATTCTTTCACTGCCGTTAAACAACATGGTGTTAGAAAATGAAAAAGTGACTGTGTCCAATTTGACATTAACCCCCGTCCCCGTATTCTTTTCACACCGTGATGTGAAAGCGTTTAATTCAAGAACTCATTTGTTTAGGGAGTGGGGGGGTGGGGGGGGTAACTAGAAATGGTATATATGATAGTTCTACAACAATATTGATTTCCTTCAAAGAGTAATTTTGTTTTGTTAGCTTAAGATTTACGTAAGTACGAAGAATGGACAATTTTGTAAAAGTACAGACTATTTTGCCAGGACAGTACTCTCGTTTGTGTTGGGTTTTTGTAATAAAGGGAAGATATGGTACTGCTTTTCGCTTTGCCTTTAAGGTGTAAATTAACTACAGGGGTGGTGGCGAATTGGTACAGAAACAGAGCTTGTGAGATGGAATCTCTCTCTAAACAGGTACCTATTCATTATATCATTAATTTTTCGGGCTTCAAAATAGGGATTTTTCACCGCTCAGAAGAGATTGTGTCGCAGATAAGCCGCACTCTCGAGTTTGAACTTTAAGCAAAAGGCTGCATTTTACACACGACTTTTTTACGGTATTTAACCATTTTGTTACATCTAAAATGTACAAAATGTACTTGCATTTTTCGTCACCCTGCTTTCAACTAACGCTTGTCCTTTCTTTTAAAATAGATAGACAATTCACTGGAACTCATTAAGCTTGGAATGGAGAGAGGAATCAAGGTAATCATTGCTTAACATCAACAGTTTTCAGTCCAAATTGTTTGGGGCAAATGTACATGTAGCAAAAAGGGAGTCTTTTTTGGTGTTAACTGGCGCTATATTTATTTATTCAGGGACTTGAAGATCTTCATGATGACCTTGTTACACTTGAAGTACTGGTTTACGACGTAAGTTGTTTCTGCTTTCTCATTGAAAGTTAGTGAATTACCGAAGTCAAGCATTAGTGAAACTTTATGAAATAAGTAGAGTCACAATAAAACAACTTTCTTTTAATCATTTCGTTTCACACACATTGTGCTTTGCAATGGCTTCAGTACGTGTGCAATATGCCTTCTTCAAACATTAGAAATCCACATATATACTGGTAAGGAGCGGAAATTAGACATTGAAGGTCATATTTAATTTGACCCTCATCAGCTTAGCGTAGAGAATTAGGACATACTGTTCGGTTCTGCAATTTTCTCTGGGCATTCAGCATTTAGGTGCGAGTTATGCTGATAGAAAGTACAGTGTTTTTCCTGCTTGTTTTTCTTGAACAGTCATAGTGACAAAAGTGAGTAACGAATGACTTGTTATTAACCACTGTAAGCGGTTGATATTTTTTTACACCCCAGATCAATGGAGTGATAATAGTTGGATTAGAATGTTTTTATCTGTGTGTTCATTCCAGAGCTGCGCTGATGTGTATCTCACCCTGAAAGCTTTTCAGAGTATGACAGAGCTGGAAAAACTAAGAATGCTACTTAGAAAAGTAAGTGGACGATTAGAATCGAATAGAACCGTCAAGATCGAAGCGAATAGCGCCCTCCAAGATCTCATAATTCTTCATATCATACAAAAGCCCAATCGAATAATAGTTTTCAATGAATGAAAAAAAAAATATTATTATTCACTCAGTTTTTTACCAAACACTCTTCCTTTGAATATTTCTTCGTTAGTTTTTTCTAGTAACTTACTTGACTTCCCTGACTAGATTAGCTACTGGTACATGCACCTGTGAGCCTTATTACTTCTTAATGTCATCACCATTCCAAAAAAGTTGATGTTGATGCTATGTCCAGTAGAGTACCATATGTAGACTTAGTAGTCTAGCTTTATTGTCTGTAGTATGCAATGCTTGATAGATAGGTACTGCTAATCATAGGCTAATATTACTGATGGTGAGCAGCAGTTCTAGCTAGTTCTTTAGTCTTAAGGTGATGTTGCACGGGACGATTCGCAGCAATTTTTTTTAGCTCAAAACAGCCTTGGAATCTTGCAACTATGTTGCAACCATTCGAAATAATGTCGCAACAATGTAGTTGCAACGTTGCGTTGTACTGAAAATCGTCGTTGTGAATCGTGTCGTGTAACATTACCTTCAAGCAATTCCGTCTTCTGGTCCTCTACTACCAGGGTGCAGAGTGTAACGCCTTTGGCAGCAAGGCACCTGCACGCCGTAGTAAGTGGCATCAAAATGACAGACCAGGGATTCGTTTCTCGAAAGACCAGGTAACGTTTCGGACCTGAAAGCAAATCTTATAATCAAAACCTGTTGAATGGTAGCACAGTTCCTGGCTCGCAAACCAGTCAATTCAGCTTCGTTAACTGATAGTTTTATTGTATCATTTTCAAAATTATTTAAGCTTTGATCTTGAATGCAAACAAGGGAAACACAAAACTGCTTCCCGGTACTTTCGAGAAACGGGTCCCAGCGTCGTTACCTTCCTTTTCCCTAATAAACTCGAATCTGTTAACAACAGTCTCCTTGGAAGTAACTGGTCGTAAAAGAGAGCGCTGGTGGTGTGGAGAGGTAGGAGTGTAATGTATGATCACGAGACCCATGTTTGTCCTCTAACATCAGGGTTCAAGTGTTCATCCCCTTTGGCTGGTTGAACACTGAAACCCTGTGGTAGATGGCATAACAATACTGTCAGCCTTTTAAGTTGAATAAACTTTAAAATTGAGGGGCAAAATAAGTAGACATTCAGCTAAGTAAATTTGTAATTGTAACTCTTCATTAATTGTAGATCTCATGATCACCATTGTCATTGTCACATCATAGCAATTTAGTGGCGATGAATTTAGCCTTTGTTGTTGACTTGACTTAATAAATAGGAATCACAGTACGATAGGGTGATATCATGATCTATTTTTGTTTTGTCACTAGAATGACCGATTTGGCAGGATGCCAGTTCTTTTAAAATTGATAAGGTCATGAGACTTATTGGTTAAGTGAAATTAGAATGGTGTCCATTGGTTGACTCGGTTTGATGAAGGAAAAAACGTAAACGTGCTTTTGACAAAAAATTGCCTAACCTAACAATAAAGTTTGTTTCCCATTGTACTTGATGTCCTGGTTAGAGTTTATTGATTTTCGATGCTCGTAGTGTGTTTATTACTAAGGATAAGGACAAACTGACTCTAAAAAGCTTCATGTAAATGCAGTTTTCTTGGGAACACTTTTGCCTACTATTTCCTCCCAATTCCCTGTTTTCCTTAACCACCACCAAATTTTAGTTGTGTCCACCCTCCTCCTCCTCGTAATGTAGCTGTCAGTAATATCTTTAGCTCTAGGTAGCTAACGTCCCACATTTTGTTGGCCTGATTCTCAGACGCTCCTGATCGCTCGCGGCCACTCACTTCCCCGAGGTGTCCGGGAGCGAACTGGAGCGTCAAAACATTAAGCTAACATTTTGGTTTTATGAGTCGATTAAGTCATTCCAGGCTTTACTCAATAGTTAATTTTAAGTCCTAATGGGTTTGTCCTCCTAACACAGAGTTCCGAGGTTTTTTCCCTGTGGAACCTGTGGTAGATTGCATGACGATCGCTGCGTCCCAGTAGCATAGCAGAGATAAAATTATCCCTTTTGAGGTGGAATCTCTGTCATTAATTTAAGTTGTGTAAATGTTAATGACCTCATTAATAGGCAGGTCACTAATTTCCTGACCTTCAGGAAAATGAAAATGTATCTCTGCCATGGTTGAAAAAGTTTAAAACTCTAAAATAGCAGTCTTAAACTAAGTCTAAGACAGTAGAAAGATAATTGTGCTTGCGCTTTTTGATTTTTTTAGTCCACAGAAGAGTCATTCATTGGAGATTTCAAGCGCTGGGTTCTTCCTTTTTTGCATCGTCTGGGAAAGCGCGAGAAGAAATCTCAAATCAACCTGATCCATCAGTATTTGATTGATGTGGCCAAGGTAATGTTACTGATAAATGATACCAAAGTTTTAAATTAGACTATAATCTTCTTACAACGAGAGAAATCAATGACGTAAGTGTTTCAACTAGCTGATGCGGGTTTTTGAAATTAGGCAGCCTAGAGTATTCTTGTGTAGGCTTTATCTGTTAACGAAGAAGATTTTGGTCATTTTTTGCGGTTACAAATGTAGCATTTGCCTGTATGTAGAGGCAGTCTTATGAAATATTAAAAGTTTATTCATTCCACAAATGTCCAGAATGAAGTCTATGAAACAAACAAACTTATGGGCTGAGCAAGACACTCATGATATTATATTTGGGGCACAAATGCATTTTGAGATTTCTACTTTTTGTCCCTTAATACAGTAACTCATACTAGGGTGGTCTGTCTATCTGTTTGTGTGGGGATGGATGACTTTCCGGACGAAATTATTGAACATGACGTCACCCCGAGGCTTAGTCTAGTTTAGTCTCTTTATAGCAACGTATTAGTAGGTGATCACTTAGATTGTCCATGCACCAATTCAGTTGAAAGAATGATGACATGACGCGTTTACTCAGTTGAACGGAACCAAACTTTCCGGTTTGATTGCTGCCGCAGTAATAGTCATCAACGTTTGTTGCTTTCCTTTTGTATTAGACTGACTTGACCTATGTGTTGAAAGTATTTCAGAACTCTACACCTGAGGTAATTATATATTTTTTGCACTATCGATATTTTTGCAGCTTTTAACCTCACCTGTCACTGCTTCTCACTCTGAAATCTTATTTGATATTTATCAATATTTTTCATCTAGACATTAATGTTGACCAGTGCCCTTTTCACCATGCAATTACGTAAATTTGACATTTTTCTTTGGCCTACGGTTGAATATTATTCAACCTAAGGTCAGTTTTTGTTTCATTCGCGTTAACAATGTTCCTATTGCTGTGTCTTTGTAGGTTAAGGAACCTATCATAGCTGATGCTGCACAGCTCATGAAGCTCGCCTTGGATTGCATTTACATAACTAAAAGGTATTTTATCTCTTCCCCTTAATAGTAAAACATCCTATGGCTGAAGAGTGGTGGAAGCGTAGAGTTCACATGTTTTCTGAGGACGCATAAGCAATAGAATTTGTGCAGGCTGTTAAGAACGATTTAAAGGGGACAAGGAAAGAAGCGGGAAGAACTTCGTTCTTTTAACCTCCCACTTACTCCACAGATCACACACTGTAAATAAAAAAAAAACCGTTTTGCCCCTACAAATTCGGCACTATATTTTGGTTCCACTTTGATTACCTTTATCAGGGCCAATAATGGTCCAGTGATAAAGATAATGGTCCTACGGGCTGAAATTGGTCCGAGCGTGGGCTGGAATAGGTACTAAATAGGTTTCCTCTCAGTTTAGTCTAAAGTTGCCGAATAACGAGAGCAACAAAAAACGTGGCCATTTTGACCGCTGGGCGCTGACCGGTTGAGTATGATTCTTTTTGAGAAACAGATAGTCCTAAAGCATAGCATTAGAACTTTTAGTAGTGGTAATTTACGTACTAATATCAGCGTAGTTGATGAACTAGCGAAGAAGAAACTGAAACGAAAACCAAAGAAGAAATCAATACATCGGCCAATGAGTTAATCAATTCATTACTCACCACAAAGTTACTTTAACACATTGTTATTATTTTTACTTTTCAGGTGTGATCAGCTGGATCTATCATTTAGCATACTGGAGTGCCTTCCAGCCAGTGACGAGGGGTAAGTAGAATGAATAAAAATACAGGTCTTTAAAAATCCAGTATACCTACGCATTTATTGACTAAATCAGACGACAAAAAATTGCTCGTTTTCGTATTGTGTGAACATCTATCATGACATTTTATCCATCGGATCTGTAGATCAGAGTTGTAGTCTTGGCTTTTTCTTTACTTTTACAAATATTTGCTGGTGACATACTGTTGTGGGTAACACTACCGTAGACAAGCATCCCTCCCGCGAAATGTGATAGTATTTCTGTGAGGTGTCTCATGCTGGAGAATCTCAGATAAGCTCGCTGTTTGGGCCTCTTTAGCTCAAAATGTGCTTAGAAAATTTGAAGCATTTGGTGGAGGTGCAGGGGGAGTCATTCCGGTTGGGTGACAACTGTTGTTACGCCATTTCTTTATACCCTAGTCACCCGACTGATTGCCCCTTGGTCTCCAAGGAAGGTATATGCTTGAACCATATTTGTTATCACTAAGCTAACACTACACATCATTGTCTTCGCAAAGACCAGAGGTTAGACCATGGTCAAGCCTTAAAATCAATGTATTTACATTGGGCGGAGCTAAACGTAGTGGTAGTGACAGAGAATGTAAATACTTTCCTATTGGTATGAACGCACGTGAGCTGCTATGGCGTTAATTGACTCTATTGTTATTAGGTATATAAGGTTTTGACAGTTGTAATGTATTCATCTCAGCTCTCGAACTATCAACTTTTATTTTTATATCTTACTTTATTCATCTATCAATTGATTTTTTACCTTTAACCCCCAGAGGTTGTGCGACCACATCGGTTGGGGAATACGTTCCCAATTTTTTCCCATTGGGTTTTTTGGGTTTTCGTATCAGGCGGCGCACATGATCAGTTTAGCCTGAGTGACTTTATTTAGGAATATTTGTGTACCATTCTTTAGTTATGATGTTGAACTTTGTATGTTATTTGGACGGCATTAAACACTCAGGCTCCATAGTTCGAGCTGAACACCCATTCCCGTCTCTTAGTCGTGAATATAAACAGGAACTCTCAAGAATCTAGTGGCCGTTTTTTTACTTTCTCGTTTTTTTGACAAATGTCATAAATGTATTTAATGTGATTGTTATTTATTTGCGATACTTTTTAATTTTTTTAATGCAGTGTGTTATCTGAACAAATAAAGGAGCTGAACAAACAGGTGGATCAGTTGGAGGTTTATTTATGGTGAGTTGATGGTTCAAAGGTGTGTTATATACAAATGATAACTTCTAGCCTTCTAAAAGCATCACCTTCCTGGAAATAACGGCCTGCCAAAGCTACTGTAATGGTAACAGTTTAACTATCATATGGTTTTAGATAGTTTGTAAGCTCAATTGACTGCAATTCCTAAGTATGCAGATATTTATAACAGAAGATTTTTTAAAGATTTTATGTTGGTTTTTTCTTAGTGCGTGCGAGAGCCTCGCCAAACATGGTCTTCAAAAACCGGTTTCCTTTATCCTGGATACACATGTAAGACTTTGTCGCGTTTTTAGCACAATTATTACTTTGGTACATGTAAGACTTGTTTACTGGGTTAGTTATGTTCAACTGAGTAGTGTTCTGCTTTAAGTAACATTAATTACTCGTTAAGAAATGGTTCGAGTGTTTTTTAATATTTTTTCCCTGTAATTTTTAATTATTTTTAATTGTAATCATAAAACGTAGTTACTTTCTTTGTATCTCAAACAATTTCTATACGGGTATACGCTTTCATTCCATTATTGTAGTTTAGATGTAGAAACTACCTACTACCTCCATGGGAAACGAAAAATAGCCATGAAAGAACAATTCATAGTCAACATTGAGCAATAATGAAGTAAATAACTTTAGATCAGTGTCACGCAACCATGAAGGTACATTCTAAGAAATTTTTCACACATAGATTCTAATTTTACAGGCATTCATGCTTGCATAGAAGTCTCTTGTTGTTTTTGTTGTTGTTTACACAGGGTAATTTAGAAGAAGCAAAAGCTCTCATGACTGCTTTAACAAAAGCTGCCACAAAACGGTAAGTGTAAGAGTCGAGGGTGTGTTAGGTTGGCAGTATTCTGAATAAACACAATTCGGACTTAACTCTAGAAATGGCTTCTTCATGATAATGCTTAATTAATCGGCGCGGTAACTACTGCGTCCTTCACCAACGAAAGCTATCGAGATTGACTCAAATGTATAAGGTTCTTGGAAGAATAGAGAACTCTCACTTACTCGGACACCATGGGCCTCAGCACTTGGTATCCATTTTAGACACGTCAGTCCGTAGGTGGTGTCAGTTGGCTTGTAATATATTGAACACCTTACCCTACGCTTTTATTTGATATCCAGAGACGGATAAGTGTATTGGATGGGCCCACTTGTTCTCAAGTGCTTGTGATATAGCTTTCTAAGTGATCAGCGATTCTTCAAGAATTTCTCAAAACGATATTCAAAACCTATTTCTTGTTAGCGATCTTCTCTGATTTATGTACAATCATTGTTTATCAGCTTGAGAAGGTTTTTTTTTTCGCTGATCGGTATTTTAACTACAGTCGACTCTCTCTTAACGGACACCTCTGTAAAACGGACACTGAGAGTTGGTCCCTGCCTTTCTTTACTCATTTTATTTGACTCTTTATAAGAAGGACACCTCTCTAAGACGGACACTTAGGGCCGGTCCCAAAGGTCTCCGTCGTAGAGAGAGTTGACTGTATATTCTTAACGTCAACATTGTTCTTACAGGAGTCCGCCATTAAAGGAAAGTAACTGGCGTAGTCTTCTCAGTGATATGTTGACCTTGCAAAGAGAAGTGTATACTTGCATTGACCCGTCTGTTTGTTATGAGGTGCGGTATAAGAATACTAGATGTCAATTTTGTTTGAACAGAATACTCGATATTAACGCAATTTGATAAGAGAATTCAGTAAACAGAAAAAGGAGATGTGCTTGTATTTATGGAAGGACTATGATCCTTGATCATGACTATTCTTGTGAAAGGCGTACGTAGAATTTTTGAACATTGAATCATCTTGTTGAGTACCGTGCGAGCACTGCGAGACTCTACGATCTTCTTAGACAAGTCGGGGAAGAGGAAAGGACCTCTAAAAGCCGCCGCAACTTTCTCTGATTTGCCGCTCATCCACCGATTTATATAGGAAGATCGAAGGGCCTCTACTCGCTAGGTACCAGGCGAAGACTCTTTTGCTGGAGTTTAAGAGGAAAGTCAAAAAGTGGTACGTAGCTATATCAATTGCCAGCCCCCTGTTTCCAAAAAATATAGCTATTCTACGACGTTGCCCAGCTTCTCCCTTCGAAGACTTAACTTTATCTTAGCTTATTTTAAATTGTTACGTTAAGGCACTATTTTCTCTCTTATAATTTTCTATTTTGTTCTAATCCTAGATATATACAGAAACCCTTCTTCACTCAGGCAGAAGAGAGTGCATCCTGTTAGCTGGGAAAATGATTTGCAAGACCGCCATGGAAGATGACTATCCGACGCCTGAAAGCCCTGTCGCTGGTCCTCGTATAAAGTGTGCTAAAGCCACAGAACTTGTGTTAGGTGCAGCTAAAGAGTACTTCAACTCCTCTGCAGATTTGTCAGATAAGGCCATGGACTTAGCCAGGGAATGTTTAAATCTCATGGAGGATCGACAACCTGCACTGCAAGAAGAGTTTAATTTGATTGCTGCTTTAGCATTGCTGGATAATTTTGGAATCTCAATTCTTCCCCTGCAAGGTGCGTGTAACCAGTGCGTGCTCTGGCATTTTACGAGCTTTTGATATGAACAATTTATTCTGAGTACGTTTTTGAAGCTGTATTTGAGCTGATATAAGTGGAGAAAGTTAAAAAGGCGGCTAGTTGCACGCATGAGTCATATTGAGTTGTAAAACCAGAGTAACTGCAGTTTTGTTGGTGTCCTGGACAGTGCAGCTGCCAGGCAAGCTAATAATCCACAACACGATAAAACAGCTAACCAAAAGTTGTTTTCGCAACGCTAGTAACACCCATTGCATTTGGCAGTCAATTAAAAGTTGCTCTTTTACTTGCTGGTACTTCTCTAGGGCTGTGGCAACCGTTGTAATGTTCAAATTCCTATACAAAGCGGTAGCTGTTAGCGGTGTGGCAGGTGTTAGCCTTTTGTTTGCTTGCATTACAGTTCGTTTGTGCGAAGACAAACTTGGTTTAATCAGGCAAGTTCTGGACTCCTCTTCTACAGCTTATAAGAAGAAGCAAAAGGTAAGTCGGGAAAATCATATTGCCGTCCAGAAGTCACATTTTCAGGAAGCTTTTCTTGATTCAGTACTTCTGATTCTGGTACTTCTGCTGTAAATAGTGCCAGATAGACTGGAATATCAATGTGAAGATTGGTGTTTGAAGGCCTATACTTTTGGTTTAGCTAACCTAAGTTGGTTAACAGCAACCGTTCAAGCTTCACAAAATGCTATATCCCATCCAACAATATGTTAGAATCACTGATGAAGTTTTCCCTCATCCAAACTAAAGCTCTTCTCAAAGTGTAAATCTCATATTACTGGATATAGATGTTCAGATAAGTGTTTACAAGACTATGTTATAATCTAGTGTGTCAGGTAGTGTGATTATCAATTGCCTAGTGCTACCACGGTTGTGGCTGTGGTTTTCCTGGATCCTTTTATTTGGCGCGCTGTGTCTCGTATTGATATAAAAGTCATTTCAGGGGTACGTAAACATCAAGAAAACGTTCGCTTATATTTTTCTGTCTTTTTTTTCCCACCAGATCCTTCACCTTGCCAGCCTTTTGCAGATCTCGGGTTCTGATGAAAGCGCCAGACTTGGTCGTGTGCTTATGTTGGTTGCTGAATCCGCTATAGAGGCACGTGACTACAGATTTGCATATGAAACGTGTAAGGGACTGATATCTCAGGAATATGTTCCAGCATGGACTATTTGCAGGTAAAGAATTACCCGTGTCTTCTGTGTTAGGGGTCCAAGAACATCTGGTCTGGTTAATTTGTAACCTATGATTATGCCTTTTCTTGTTAGGGTTCTTGGAGAATGTGAAGATTTTAAAGATTTGAAGGCAAGGTAGGTTTTTATTGCTAGGTTGGAAGAGTAGGGAAGATGGTCTTTTGTTATTAAGTGTCAATACAGTTAATGATCTTTCCCCTTTCATTCTTCTATCGGCAAAGGAATGTGTTGACTGTATAAAGGACTGCGTATATACTTTGGTGCTGCTCAATTCTGTGGCCTATTGTAACTTCATCTAACTTGAAAATTTCCTTGACTATGGTATGGTCTTTCTGAAATCGCCTGAAGTCTTGTTTTTGTATAATTGTTTCTTTCTTGTAGCTTGCTAGTTGGAAAACAGTGCTCTTGAATTGATATCAGAGGGAGTCTTGGGTTGCAGTATACGTTTATTTCAATGGCAGTCATACACTGTAATCAACTATTATCACATCATATTCCGCTTTATCAATTATGTCAGTGCCTCTCAACATTGCATTATACAATGGAACCTCTACAGACACACACTTAATACAGACACCCATATATAATGGACAGTCCTTTGTCCCGACACTGAAAAATCTCATTTATTTTCTCTAAAAATAACCCGCTTAATACGGACAGCCGGATAACACGGACACTATGGCATGTCCCCTTGGCGTCCGTATTAACCAGGTTCCGCTGTTGTTATAATACATGTCCTCTGTTTAATATTTTCATGATTTGGTTGAAAGTAATGTGTTGGCCTGCCTTGTACTGAGTTTCTGTCCATTAATGCAGCTCCAAATGTTACGTTCTTTAATCTCTTTTTCCAAGACAATCTCTTCTGGCGTTTTCACTGACTCATTGCACGCCAGATGAGCTGGAGCCTCTTCTCAAAGCTAGAAGCCTGTTAGAGACAAAGGTAAACATCAGTTAGCATATTGCATTATTGCCTACTTGTTTGTCCACTTAAAAAATATCCTCATTTGACAGTATTAAAAGTTGTCGCTTCTCTCTCCAATACGAGGAGAAATTGGGTCGAGTTAACTTTCGCGAAGAATTGTGGGACTGTTACTAGGGAGAGGAAAACAATTGGCCAATAGCTGACTGACGCATCCCTAGTAAGGATCACAAAAAGAATAGACCATTTTACAGTTACGAGCTTGGTACCCTAGCCTCTGAGTGAACGTGAGGCTGAGGTTGACCTTGTTTTGATACAAACCTCCTTCCTTTTCTTATGAAAATATGCTAAAAAATACTAGCTAGCATAAGGACAACATGATTGCCAACGAGCCATCCGAGCGAAGACGCTCGGATGGCGAGGCGGCAGCAGAATAGAGCCGCGCAAGACTCAGCTGTAGGCAGAAAAATTCTCGATCGAGCTTCAAAAAGTGTAACCTCATGTAATGTAGATTCCTCTGAGACCAAGTGGTGTGACAGTTTCAGCCAATCAAAAGGCGGTAAACTATACTTCGCGCACATGTGTTCTTTCCTCGGCGGCACGTGAAGAGTGAACTTGAATATGGTACGCTTTTATTGTTTATTCACCTAAATTTGGCCCCGGCAGTCAAGGAAAATGAAAACTTGATGCGTTGTATTAATTTGGGGCCATTAATGTAAGGTTGTAACGAAGATAAGCTTTTAAAGCAACAGTTGAAGCAAAGAAAAGTTTTCCATGTGAAACAAGCAATTCTCACCACTAAAAAAAGGATCAGATTTAATACACGTAGAGATAAGGAAAGCTTGATACGAATACTGAAGTCGCTTCTGTTGGAAAATCTGATGTTGGGGAAAAAATCTAATCAGCAAATGGAAAAATAAGAATATTAATAAAAAAGAATTACAAGCCTAAAGCGAACGACAAAGGATAAGAAAACAACGCTATTTTTTTTGAACCCTGGCCGAGTTTATAATAAAGTGAAAACAAAATACCAACGTGCCGTACATCGCATGTCCTTGAAAACATTTCAATCAGCGCACCGAATCATTCGAAAATTCAATCGGGAACTCGACAAAAAGCCTCGGGAAATTTCAGAGGAGGTGTAAATGATTAAACTGCACAAATATTTATTTACAAAGTGAAACCGAACCGACACTAATTTTGTAGTGGTAAGAGATACGATCATTTTTTATATTTCCCCCTAAATATTACCGATCGCTTCCTCTGCAAGCTGTTTTATTCTCTCAAAAAAGTATGCCTTATGACACTTCAAACTTTTATATAGCAGGTTCGTAAAGCCACAGGAGTCTGAGGACTGACTCTTCTCCGAACTTTATACTTGCATAGCACCTCAGTTTCAAGAAAATAATCGTTTCAACAGGAAGGGAACAAGAAACTGTCAAATGTTGGAAAAAAGGAACCATTCCTATGCAAAATACGCATGATTAGCTCGTTGGCACTCTATCAATAGGTATACCTAGTTAACATTATAAAGAAGAAAGGGTTGTATCAAAACAAGGTGAACTCCAGCCTCGTTTCCACCTGCTACTGTAAAATGGACTATTGTGGGACGCATTTCGGCGGCAGTTTTCTTCTCTTTTCAAAAATGGCAAATTTCCTTACGTGGGAAGTGCACTCCAATTTTAAAAAATCCTAACGAAAAAAAATCGCTGTTATTCACTTGTTTTTTTTTAATATTGTACAAATTACATACCTTAATTCCAATCTTTGGTTTACTTACTTTGTTGGCTGTTTTTAATGAATTATTTACGTATTGCTCGTTAGATATTGTATCAGGAATTGAACCATCATATGCAGGCCACAGATCAGGTTAGAGGTATTTGTCATGTCTCACGGTCGCACCGTTCCATTCAGTTGTGTCTAGCTTCAAGAACTAATACCATATTTACTCGAAAAAGCATCGCGGTGCTTATTAAATTTTCGTTATCTGTAATAACACCAAAGAAAATTTCTCATGGGAGCCCAAGAAAATAAATGTCAAAGCTCACAAATAACATCTTACACATGAAATTTCAAAAAAATTAATCCATGTTTGTCCTTGCCATGCGTAGCAACAGACGGCAGGAAACACTTTTAATTGCTAAATATAGTCTTAAGTAACAAAACAGGTGTTCAATTTGCGATACGTTTTAGCTTTCTAAATAGCATGGCATGAAACAAGTATCGTTTTCAGTACAGGGAGAGCTCTGTCATATTCTATTTTGTATTGATTGCTGTATAGGAAAGTGGAGATTCGTCTTCAGATCAGGGCCTTTTAGCACATCCCAAGTCACTGTTATCAGCTGTTGGAGACAAGAAATTCTGGAAGAGTACAATGAAGTGGATCAGACCTCTTCATGATGAAAAGGCCACAGAAACAGACAGTGAGCTGATCTCGCCAATCTCACAGATTGTTAATACGCACGGATTTCATCCATTCTACAGGTCACTGGTGGAAGAGAACATAACGAGATTGAAAGGGGTGGGTAGAGAATTGAAAATAGCAGCGTTTAGTAGAACGTTGTCTGTTAAAACAACCATCTCACAATATGCTGTATTTTGTGCGCATTTTGATTGGTCCATCGTCAGTTCTAAGGCTCCGCTCAAAGGAAACTTAAAAGGAGCCCGGTGCTTTGAACCTGTGAAATCATGGGCACGCTGCGTATGATCTGTATGGAAAACCAAGATTTTCTAGTCGCCCGAGAGTAAAAGTTTTATGCCAGGGGCTATTGTGCTTTGCGACAGCATGCTCTTATTGGCGTCCTTTTAACACACTTGTAGCTTCGTAAAGAGCCCTTTACATCTCGCCCTTCCTCAGCTGGTCTTGATGTGTGGAGGTAAAACGTAGTTGTGACCGTTTTAATGAAACATTTTCGTTCACTAGTAAGTACTTTTAAACGCTACTCCACGATTTTTTTGGTCTCTCTGAAGTGACAGCTGGAATTGAGTGGTTCATAGTTGCCTTATTACAGTTTTGTCTTGAAAAATAAATGTAATAAACGTTTACAGGAATATTATGCTGATACTTTGTCTTTACTGGTGTTTAGGATAGATTACCGTATGAACAGCACATTGCTAGAGAGATGGCCAACAAACCACTGTTATTCAGCCGCTGTTTGTTAAGGACGCAAAAACTGTCAGAGAGCAGGTCTGAAGGTGCAATAACTGAACCAACAAGCGAAGGTATAATTGAGCATTCTGAGTCACTGAACATAGGCTGCGAAAACATCCGTTTCTCCTCGCTCTTCGCCGCCGGGGACGTTTCGCGCGGAGGAACGTCTGCGACTCAGCGACAGAAATACCATACTGATGACGTAAAATCTGTCCGGAATCCAGTCAAAAGAGCTGATTGGTCGGCGGAGTAGTTACATTGTTTTAGCCATTGTTTACGAATGACAAACAAAAGACAAAAGGCCACTTCCTCCGCGCGAAACGTCCCCAGCAGCGAAGAGCGAGGAGAAACGGATGTTTTCGCAGGCTAAACTGAACACTGATGATGCCAAAGATGTATCTTTTTAACACTTTTGCAACTGTGTCTCATGGAATATGTTTACCTCTGGGGATGCGTTTAGGGATTTCAACTTTAAGCATTTGCATTCCTGTTTTTTTTTTTTTTGGTTATTATGGTCTGTGATGGATTTATGTCGAATACTCGTGGAGTTGAGCAGGGAAAATAGGGGCGCTTTCTATTCAGCCAAGCCGTTCGAAAATGTGGAAACAGCGGCAAATGGCACAGAAATTTCCCTGAAAAGTTTCCAGAAATTCCGGAAACTGTTGGATTTCCGAATGCGAACCATTCAACCGAAAATTCTAGAAATTCCGGGAGATCAGGTGAATGGAAAAACAACTTCCGGGAAAAAAATTTCGACAATTTGGGTATACCTCGCTAGGTTGTCCCCTTTTTGGAAATTTTTGAAAATGCTGTTCCATTCGCTACTGAAAGTTGTCGAAAATTTAAACCGGAAGTTTTGGTTGAATGGAGTCGTGGTTTCTCCACTTAGTAACACCGGTTGACCGGTGCTATTAGGTGAGGGTGTCCATCCCTGGTAAAGTTACCATGGTTACCACTGCATTAAGTTGTGCTTCCTTTGATTTTGTTGTTGGTATATCCTGTTGCTCATTTCCAGCACCTGTCCTCCATATCCCCTCTGTCTATTACATAACATAGACATCATTCTCATAACTTCTTCATGTAATCGCCATGATGTTTGCTTATTTTTTTACAGTGATAATCCAGTTGGCAGAGTCGATTTTGAAGGAAGACACTACCCTTGGGATAGCTTACCTTCTTGCACTTCATGAGGTTTGTATTGGATCCCTGGGATGGGAAAACAAACCTTGCTAGTTACCTTAACTTGTAGAGAAGAGAAATAAAACGACAAAGTGGACGAGACATAAAATATTGGAATTTAACATGAATGATGTCCCAGGCAGGAACGTGTGATGCACCCCTAAGAATGTCTGCGGGGGAGGCTATTATATTACAAATGCTACAATCGTGTTCCTTGGAACGGTAATGCAATAGTGATAACAACCTGTAATCGTAGGATGCCAACATAAAGCAGTGCTATGTCTTTTTACAGATTCCTTGCAGTTCCTCCCCCCACCCTATGCAATGTAGGTGCAAATATCAAAAGATTTTTAAAGGATGTTTTTGTAGTTTGTTGTTAATCGGAGAACACACGAAAAACATTGGTCTGGGTGCCCCGTTTGCTTGTTAATTTGTATAACACAAGCTTTATCCTTTGTTTTGTTTTTTCAGGCTAACAAGGTTGATGAATTCTTCAGCAGTTTAGGTAGCAGTTATCTGTGTCTTCACATGGCAGCCTACTGCTTTGCATTGAATACTTACAACAACATTCAGCCTTCAATGCAGACTCGGCAAGCAGATGTCTATTATCAATTGCCATCAGACCTCATTGATCACGTGATGCATCATATTGCTGCTGACATCCATGGTAACTGGCCCAAGGAATCTCAGGACTTTGTCAACTTCCTGGTGCAGTATCACAATCGTATGGCTGACTTTGCACAAGGACAACTGCTACAGAGCTTGGGAAAGGGTATGTAAAAGCTGGGTACTACCTACTTAAGGTCTCGGTAAAGGAAAACGAGGTGCCCACAGAAAAAAATTCTAGTCGCGCGAGTATTTTCGCTACAAAGGCAAGTTATATGTCAAATTAAAGCTAAAAGACTAAATTACCTTATAAAAGGTTTTATTTCATCGAATTTCAAAAGGCGCTTAAGTTTTTTGCTCTCGAACTCAGAGGTATCGAGTTTACTGCTGAAGCTCCAGCCCTTTCGCGTTGTTAAATATTATTGCATCTGATTGACAGATGAAAGACCTAAAAAAGGGTGTGAGGAAATTTGCATATGTCTCGTATTAGCGGAATTATTGCATTTCAAACTAAAAAGTCGAATCTCCAGCGCGATTTACGCAAAGAAACTGACATAAAATGAGTTACAAAGGGAAATCGGAAAATTGCTCACACCCTTTTTTAGGTCTTTTATCTGTCAATCAGATGCAATAAAAATGAAGTGAATATTTAACAACGCGAAAGGGCTAGAGCTTCAGCCGTAAACTCGATGCCTTTTGAAACTCGATGAAATAAAATCTTTTATAAGGTAATTTAGTCTTTTAGCTTTAATTTGATATATAACTTGCCTTTGTAGTGAAAATACTCGCGCGACTAGAATTTTTTTTCTGTGGGCACCTCGTTTTCCTTTACCGAGACCTTAATAATGCCCTGACAGTTTAAAGAATGTTATGGTTGTTTTTCAAGCAAACTCTTTGTCACTGTATTTTGATACTGATTAAATTATCATTATTGGATGAGGCTTTTTTTGTATCTTCCACTACCTTCCCTACGGACAGTTCTGTGATGGAGACATGTGGTTCTATTCCTTACGTGTCTGTTTTTAAAGGGGTGTAACTTCTGCCAATCCTGGCAATTTTGTTGAACCTTTACATACTGGGCCCGCTTGTTCAAAACCGTGGTAACGCTATCCACTGGATAACGTAATTGGTTTCCCTAAAACGTATTCGCTGGATAGTGATTTATCTGGTGGAGAGCTTTATCCACTGTTTGAACAGTCGGTGCCTAGTATTTTGTTGTATCCTAAATCAAAGACGTTTTAATTGCAGGAGTTGATATCGGCCGTTTTGCCCAGGATCCAGAGTATAAGCGAGAGACTATTCTTGGTTTAGCAATGTACGGTAAATCCTTCATGTCGTTAGTGTCACTGTGTACCTGTAAGGAAAGCATCGTATATCTTAAGACTTTGCTCATAACTTGTTTCTGTATCCTTACTTGCGGTTAAAGGTTTTTGAAACCAAAGGAATATAAGGTCATGCACTTCTCTCTGAACTCACTTCACTCTAAGGAAAGGTCGGCTTCATGGGACTGAGGTCCTTATATTACTAAGCACGAAGCTGTGAGTGGAGAGAGGCATCAGTCAGTAACTGGCTTCAGTGTTACAGTACTGACCTACATTAGATAACCGGCTTACAGTGATTTATACCGCCACCTGGCAAGTTCAGTTGCTTGAGTACCTGATTATGAAGCGGTTCGCCCAGTTTCGATTCCTGTTCGGAGCAGCACTCAGTTAAAATAACTGAGAAGAAAGTGATGCCCTTGATCTGACATCTCCAGGCGGTTAGGCAATCTGGTTTTCTCAATCAAGAACGAAAAACTGCAGGATCCATCTCACAGAACTGTTAACCTACAATGAAATCCGTCTAGCCAACTAGGCTTTAACAAAACTGTCGCGGAACGACCTCTACTCTTTTTATATACCTCGTTTCACAATTCACATTTGTGGGCATTGTGATCCATTCTAATTTCATGAACGTTCCAAAGTCTTACAGTGTTATCTCTCCAAAAACCCCTAAGTGGAGTGGGTAACAAGACATTTTACATTGTGCCATTTAACGCCTCTTTGTAGAACATAGGAAACTAATTTAGTTTACATGAGATACTAGAATACTTTCTTTTACCTAGTTTTGTCAAGCAAAATCATCTTGCGTTTGTAGAAGGATTACTTTTTTCAGAGATATAATAATCATAATAATGGGTTTCCTCTTAGAGTTGTAACTCAAAGATAGTCGTCGGAGGAAGAACATATTGCCTCATTTTCGCAGATCTTTATGACCAGAGCTTTTCTTGATAGGGCCCTTGAGGAAGAGGTTTTCGACACAGCAATGTCCTTGGCAGAGCGATATGATGTTTCAAAATGGGAAATGATGATGACCCATTTGGAGTGTCTGTTCTCAGATAGCAAGTAAGCCTTAACTTAGACCATTCATTTTCTTACAAAAGATTGAATCTTGCAAGTTCTTAACCGTGGACATTGCATTATTCTTCACGGGATCAACCACCATCGCAAATATGTTTTAGTTTGGGGGTTAAGGAAGTTGGAGGGTTTAAGAATTTTCCTTCTGAATTTTAAATTTCCTTTCAGTCTCTCGACAAAAGAGATTCAAGAAAGAGTCAACAAAGTGAGCGCCATGAGCACTCTCCTACAGGATCCATGCAAAGTAAGTCAGAATGTTAACTTTTTGTGTTAACTGACTTGTTATTGTGGAATAATGTTTTTTGTGGTTTAATTATAATTTTGTTTTTCATACATCCCGTCCCTTTCACATGTCAGTTAAGACCCGCGAGGTTTTCTACGGGGATCGCTCCTTCTACCTACGTGATTATTTTAAACCTGCCATACTTTCCCCAAACTGTTTTGAGGCATAAAACGAAAGCTGAGTTTTCATTGCACTCCTTTTCAACCGACTTTTTTGTCTATTCTCGGTCTCTCCTTCCCCGGTTTTGAGATTCGCGGTTTTTGCAAATGGGTTATACATCTATCAACATTGCACAGGGTGTAACGTGTTAAGTGTTTCAACAAATTTGATCACTATTTTAGCTGTACAGAATGAGGGGATATTTTCTAATGACCATTGCATTTTCTAATATAAACTAACCTTGGACTGTGCATCATTTACTACCAGGCCCCAGTTGTTCAAAAGTTGGATAGCGCTTTCCACCGGATAAATCACTATCCAACGGATACGTGTTAGGGAGGCCAATTGTGCTATCCAGTGGATAGTGATTTATCCGGTGGATAGTGTTATATAGTGTTATCCACCTTGTGAACAACTGGGGCAAGGTCTGCAAAACTTGTCAAATCAAGTGCATGCCAACTTCCTGATAATGTTTTATAGGTAGCGGAAAGAATGGCTGAGAACGTGTACATAACCATTGACGGCACAAAACACGCAAGATTAATTTATTACTACATGTTGCTGGAGCAGTGTGAAGAAAAGGATCAAAGCTTGAAGGTACAAATGGTATTCAGACTAATGTAGATCTTATTTGGAACTGACCACAGACTGGTTAGAAGAGGAGCGTCATGTTCTTAATGAGCAGGCTTGATTGTAGTGGTTTAAAGGGGCTAGGTCACACTATTTGCTTTCTTTTTTAAAAGCTAAATCGTGTCCTTTCCTCAATAGAATATTTTGAAAAAATTTCTTTGTTTGGTATTTATGACTATATTTACTAGGTATTGAAACTGTTTCCTGTCGTCTGTTACTACGTTTGAACATGGACGGGCCACCTTTGTCAAGTTTAAATGCCATGCTTGCTAAAATCACCGAATTAGTTCTCAAATTACTTCTCAATTTTAATTTTTACAATAACTGAGCGAACCTCGCGCGCTGATTGGTCGAGAACTATGGTCTATGAGAGTATGGACCATGGATATGACGTAACATGTCACCTAAAAAATTAAATCGACCAGAATTTAGTAAGCCTTTACCCATGCATAAAATGTTCCTGTTGAGTTTTGAAGAATATTTAACAAATCGACCACAATTTTCTATGGTCTACACTTGTATAAACCATAGAAATGACGCCATAAAATGTTCAAAACTTTGCAGTGAAACCACTCGCCGGCCTGCTTTTCGTGGTTCCACTTGAGTTTTGAACATTTTATGACGTCATTTCTATGGTCTATAAGAGTGAAGACCATGGAAAATTGTAGTCGATTTGTTAAATATTCTTCATAACTCAACAGGAGCATTTTATGCATTGGTAAAGGCTTAATAGAGCCCAGAATTGCCCTAACACATCAATATCCTCGTGACTTAGCTCTTTTAAGTCGTTTCTGAACTTTACAAATCAGTGTGATTCGTTTCTTTACTTTTCCTACCTGTGTGATTCTAGGAGAAACTAGATGCCCAAACACACCTCAGAATACTGAAGAAAATAAAGTCAGCTGCCCCTGGTAAGGTTTTTAAAAGAATTTGGTTGATTCAAGAGCCTTTATGGCTCTTGGTTGTTTGCGTTTTCTAGCAGTAAGACCCTGGAAATCCCTGCAATGGATTTGGAATATTGCCTTTCGAAATTTATGGTATAACATGCTGGAATACGACAAATATCGCCTTGTTGGTGTTTCATTGCTGTTGTTTCTATTTCCCTCAGTGGGAATTTCCATGTTTTTAGTTCTCCAGGAAAAAAGTAACTTTCTCTTAGAGCATTGCATCTGTATTGTCTCAACCCGTTTTATCAAGGTTCTTTAATACAACACCATCAACAGCAACTTATTATAATTGATTACAATGTATAAATTGTAGCAAGAAAGAATACAGGCTGGCTGAAATTACCATGGGAGACTAGAAAGATACCTAGGATACTGATACATAAAAAAGGGTCAGGTACACCGCACATAAACGCTCTCACACATGAAAAAGAGAAAGGTAAACGGCGGAAGACCAGGCAAACAAATGTGGTGTTGTTCATAACGTAAAATTTTGCGATTAATAATTTCTAAGCAGAAGTTTCTTGGCTAAATTGTTAGTTGGTTCCTCATTTCTCTCAGTCGATGGTAGAGGGGTGCCACGAATTTCTAGGGAGTCCCTTCTAGTATGTTACTCTGGCCCCGGTTGTTCAAACGTTGGATAGCGATATTTACCGACTAAACCACTACCGATCAGATGATTATAAGGAAAAACAATTACGCTATCCATTGGATAAAAATGTATCCAGTGGATAACGTTATCCACCCTTTGAACAACTGGGGCCTTATCATGAAGTTACCTTTTAAGCAGTTACAGATCCTTGCCTGTACTCAGTTCCTGGGCTTTTGGGCTAGTATTATCTTACAGCTAAACAATTAAAGAAAATTCGAGACATCACTGGGCATGTCCACCATTTTGCCTGACCGCCAACCCCATCTATGTGCATTTGACTTTCGCTCCTGGCAAGACGTCTCGCGAGACGCAAAGGGGGACCTCGTCAAGTCTAGAAGTCTCTAATTTCTCCATTGAAAAAACTACACACGCTTGTTATTAGCTTACACGAATAGCAATTAAGTCATTATTTACTTCTGGTTTACCATTCGGGGCAAGATTCTTGCGGAAGTAGAGTGAAGGTGTTTTGCCATAAGAATGTACAAAAACCAAGAAAATCTAAATATTTAAAAAGTTAATTGCAACGAAACCCAAGGGAAGCCACCGGGCTTATAAGGAATGGGCTCCCTCAGTTAAATTATTACAACAAAATATTAACAGAATTATACATGCAAAAATCAATGGTAGAGCTATAGTTAATCTTCAAGTATATTAGATAATCGTGTTAATCATAGTTAGGCAGAAAACAGCGAAAGGAAAAAAACTGAGAAAAAAAATGAAAAGCAAAGGTAATGAAAAATAAGTAGATATTTATGATAAGAGGGATTCTTACAGCTTACAGCAAAAGGAAGCGGTACTTCTTGGCTTTCGAATTTCAAAACTAAGAGAGTTAAAGAATTTAGGACCTTGGAAACTGATAGAGAACTTTCTTATATTAGTCCTGCATTGTGATAAATGAAAAATCTCCAAACTCCTAGTACCATAAGAATGCACGTGGCGTGTCGCAAGAAACATATTATTGAAGCTATCAGGAAGTAAGCCGGATTTGTATTGATACATAAATTTTCATATTTGAAGTTTGTAGATCCTCTCAAGATTTAGAATTCCTAACTTTTTAAATAAAGGGCCAGTGTAAGCATCAAAAGCACTCCTCGACATTATTCTTACGACCCGGTTTTGAAGTGTAATCAATCTTCTGAGGTTTGGTGGGTAGGTCGTTGCCCAGACGCTCACGCGGTAGAAGAAGTATGGGGAGTAGATAAGGCTATAAAAAAGTGTCCTTAAGGTGACTCGACCCAGTTTTTTTTGGGGGGTACCATCCTACTTTGAAGCTCTCTGGTATCCCCACCTTTACTTTTATCGTAAGTCTAACACATAGAATGGATAACATATAGATCAATCTACAATATAACATAAAATTTCTGGCGATCGGAGTAAGTGTCACGTGGTTATAATGCCACGCCCCTTTGAGGTCTGAGTCGAAAATCTGCTGTTACCGGCATTTGTTCGTGAAAATCTCTCTGCTACACATAGTGCGCATTAGTGCCTTGCGCTGAACAGAGTTTCACCAAAATCGCAAAGACCCAATTCGAGAAATTCAGCGGTTTCCAAATTTAGGTCATAATTTATGCGAAAATGGTAAGCAAACGTTACACGGATTATATCTTATAAACTATGAGACTCATCTCTTTATTTTGGGCATCCTTATAACAGATGGGTCCTTGCAAGTCAGCAAAACGCTTTAGGGCCTTGTAAATGCGCGCGATTTCGAGCAAAGCAAACATATAGAAATTATAGTTTTCGCTATTTGTTGACGTTTGTCAGCGTTTAAGAGTCCTTCTCACGAAAAAAGCATTTTCTTAAAAATTCGTAGTTTTTTTTCCTTCAAATTTTTTCAGGGCCACAATTGATTAACTAACTACCCGGACTCTGAATTTCATGGTCATTGAAAAACTGTGACATTACCTTCTATAAGCCCAAACTTGAGTAAACATTGAAGATTTTTAGCGTTTTGGCTGAGTTTGTGCTTTGGGAGTTGTCTATTGTTTCTAGTCTGTCATGATACAGCATTCTTGTTCAGCACGCGTGCAATGACCACGCTTGGCTGACTTCCGAATGCTCACCGAGATACTCCCGTCACGAGTTGGTTTAATTATTGGCTTGCATTAAACCTATGAAAAAATGATATTTTTTTAATAGTAAGTAGATTTAGTGTGTAGCACTTCTTGATTTTTTTGCAAAGGCACAAGAAGCACGACAATTGATTAAAAATTGTGAGTTAAACCTCTATGTATCACCCGATGGCCTGTCTCACTGTACCAAAATTATTATTTCTCGGTGAGCATTCGGAAGTCAGCCAAGCGCGGTCATTGCACGCGTGCTGAACAAGAATGCTGTATCATGACAGACTAGAAACAATAGACAACTCCCAAAGCACAAACTCAGCCAAAACGCTAAAAATCTTCAATGTTTACTCAAGTTTGGGCTTATAGAAGATAATGTCACAGCTTTTCAATGACCATGAAATTCAGAGTCCGGGTAGTTAGTTAATCAATTGTGGCCCTGAAAAAATTTGAAGGAAATAAAACTACGAATTTTTAAGAAAATGCTTTTTTCGTGAGAAGGACTCTTAAACGCTGACAAACGTCAACAAATAGCGAAAACTATAATTTCTATATGTTTGCTTTGCTCGAAATCGCGCGCATTTACAAGGCCCTAAAGCATTTTGCTGACTTGCAAGGACCCATCAGTTATAAGGATGCCCAAAATAAAGAGATGAGTCTCACAGTTTATAAGATATAATCCGTGTAAAGTTTGCTTACCATTTTCGCATAAATTATGACCTAAATTTGGAAACCGCTGAATTTCTCGAATTGGGTCTTTGCGATTTTGGTGAAACTCTGTTCAGCGCAAGGCACTAATGCGCACTATGTGTAGCAGAGAGATTTTCACGAAAAAATGCCGGTAACAGCAGATTTTCGACTCAGACCTCAAAGGGGCCTGGCATTATAACCACGTGACATTTACTCCGATCGCCAGAAATTTTATGTTATATTGTAGATTGATCTATATGTTATCCATTCTATGTGTTAGACTTACGATAAAAGTAAAGGTGGGGATACCAGAGAGCTTCAAAGTAGGATGGTACCCCCCCCAAAAAAACTGGGTCGAGTCACCTTAAAGAGAAACTGTTAAGGCAAAAGCTTGATTTATAAGTTACAGAACTTGATTTATAAATTACAGAACATTTTGGGACGAGCCACCCACGTTTTAGTAGGAGCCACCCACAATGTGAACACAGTTACTGAAGGGTATTGCCAAGGAAAACAACACAAAATAAGTGTAATGACTGGGTGTATTCAAATAGGTTTGTACTTGGAGTGCTGTGTTATTCTGTCATCCTCCTGTGTCAAATAGTTCACATTTTGCGGAGTTAAAATGTTCTCTTCCGGATGAGGGCCTTTAAATCATAACTGTAAGATTTCAGCTTCTTTAAATAGAGTCTTCCTACTAACACTTCTTGTATATATTACATGAAACCACACAAGAGCGTTCACCACTTTTTGTCCTTCGCGTTAATAAAAGTTTGCGATTTGCCAGGAAGCTGAGTACAATCAGACAACATTGCTTAATGTGTTTCTCCTTTCCTACAGGCCTGGACTACAAGAAACTGATCGCAGTAGGGTCACCCCTGCAAATTTTAAAACCAGTGCTGACAAGTGCTAATGTACATCTTTTGGCAAAGCTAGCAAATAAGATTCCCACACAGGTCAGTGAAGTAGTCTGTAGAGTACGGTCTTTGAGTTTGTCACGCCTGTTGAAAATGAAGAAATTCTTGTCTTTTTCTTATTGCATTCTGTCAAAGAAAAGTTATTGCATGTATTTTTTCTTATGTCCACACTCGTGTTATTTTTTTCCTAGTCAGGAGTGAAAAGTGTTTGTTGTGATTTAAAGTTAGTTTAAAACGCAGCCTGATAAGTCACATGAGTACTTTTGTTGGTTGTCCACCTAATACTGTATTTTCGGTCTGGCCATAAAGTTAGCGAAGGATTTAAAGTTACAAGAATAGTGAGCTTAAACTTTTGTTTATTTAGAATTGTTAAAAACTCAAGCTTTTTTACAAACAACAAACAATTCGACGCATTTAGAAGATAACAGACAATGTGTACAATGCATTTGCGAGGTTGTTAATTTGAGTACGGTAAGCTTGCAGACTTTCCGTTAAACGAGTCGGCAAGGAAAAGCGCAGACGATAATATTATTTTTCAGCTCTCCCTTGCCCCTAAAAAAGGTAGTGAATTAAAGTAAAGCTTTCTTTCGCGCAAAAATTCGGGTAGACTACCCTCACTGCCGTTCGAAAGCAGCACAGATGATGTGAGCCGTGTTTATGTTGTCTTCCCAGCTTTCATTGGTTGGATGGGATAAGAGGGGATGAATATCATGATCAGCTCCGATGCCTGTTATTGGTAGTCGACTTTGTCTTGTTAGGAGGAACTAACTCAGTCTTGGTCATTTGGGGATTAATAGTGTATTCCATTTTTTGTCAAATATTACTTCGTAAAACAGTAAATGCTTTTTGCACCGCATCATTTACATCGCGATACAAGTTTTCCTATAGAGCACTCGCACGACAATCTCGCTTGTCAGTAATTCCATATTAGGAAGTAAATTTTGATTGGTTCCTAAAAAACCCGAGCATTGCGACAAAGTTATAGAGTGTTTTCACATGACGTCACGGCGGCCATATTGGTGTCCCAAAACAATGAAACAGCGGCCATGTTGGTGTCCCAAACCAGTCCTCTGGGAGTTGAACTCTTTTCTTATGCAAACGCTTTCTTTTGTTCCAATAAATTTGCATAGATGCTGGCCACGTGAGTGAAAACACTCTATACGCTTCGGGGTTATATGCTTCTGATTAGATATATTAGGGTACATAGACAAGATCAACAGTTAGTGAGCATATAAAATTGTTTCAGGATGGAAGCTGTCTAGATCCTCAAGGCGTCTTTCAAGCATATGTGGAGAAGTTGTTTTGGGAAGGAGAACAAAAACCTAAAGAGGGTGAAACTGATCAACTGGTAAGCAACTGGGATACTTAAAGAAGCGTCATGATGCAAAAAAGAACGCTTTCGTCTTGTATTTAACAAGATTGTTGCACTTGACTTCTGATACCGAGAGGAGACACCTGTGGAAAGAGTGCCAACAACAGCGACAACAATCTCATTTCATTGATCTAGGCTGAGGATGTTTAATATGGTGATGAAAATCGTACTGGTACTGAACTGTAATGTTGCCTGCGAGCTTAAATAATAATGATGTTAGTGGCGTACTATTTTTCACATGTACTTGAAAGGGGGTGTTTCGTTGAAACTTTGAGTCACAGCGTTGACTCGAAAGTGGTTGTCAGAAACCTGCAAGTCAATTGTAGTTGGGTGAAAACGTCTTATTCTTCCCTTACAGGTTGACTGGGCTCAGCGTTATGATGCTTGTCACAAAATTCTTCCCCGTTTATCACCTTCTGGCGTTCAACAGTTTATTAATTCTATAACATTCAGCGAATCAGCTGTGGACGGCATAGCGCTAGAAAACAGAGTTGAGATCGTGAACAGAGCTTTGAGGTTTGCTCGACAGCAGGATGCGGCGTTGAAGAAAAAAGGAATCACCCAGGAAGACAGGTCTGTATATTCACTTTATCGTTCTGGCGGCGATTATCATAGGTGGATGGAGTATGATATTCCGGTTGAGTGTGAATGACTGGACTACCGACAATTTGACTAACAGTAAACGACCATTATAACTGATAAAAGACGAATCGAAACGCATCAATCACACTTAGACTCTTCATAGCCAACAGTATCACGGCTTTACTGACAGACGACCAATACCAAAGTTTAATACCATCAAAGTAACTAACGTGGTATAATTCACTTTGACTCTGAAGTTGACAACCGTACAGGTTGTCGAAACGTCAGTCACTGTCAACAACAACTTTCCCTGTCTTTGGTGACCATTTTATTTTTCTCATGTCTCTTATGTCCGTAAGCAGTGAATTTTTAAGGAAAATTAAGATTCTGGACACTGTTAGGGCTTTAAGGTTAAACGCTACAAGTAAAAAAAGCAATTAGTGCGTTTTGGTCAATAACCTTGCAAAATAGTATGCTTCAAGATTTACAAAGAGATGTGTTGTTCTTTAGTGTTTCCAAAGGTGCTGTTAACTTTGAGGAGGTAATTGCCTACTTGGAGCAGTCGTGCAGACACCTTGAATCCCTTGCTGATCCACTAATCTATGAACTGACTGAGCATGATGAGGTATAGTAAATGAAGATTCATATATCTATGATGTTGAATGTTTTTACGTAAGAACCATTTTCCTGGCAGTTCCTGGCGAACCAAAAGGAGCTCTTTTGCAAATCTTACACTGGCATTATTAATAATGTCAGTGCATTTGTTTTCAGGACATGATCTATAAATAGTTATTCTGTTTCCTTTAAATAAAAAGATTTTACTACTCCAGAGGTGTGTCAGAATTTTTTTTCCTCCCGTATCATTTGGCCCGGCCTCAAATGCCTCCCTCGGCAAAAACGTCGTATTTTACGGCTTCAACGACCAGAAGAATTAAGTGCGAATATGAACTGCGGAAATGAAATGAAAAAATGATCGTCGCAGTGAACGCAATTTATGTAATTGCGGAAAGAAGCCATTCATTTCTTCACTTTCATTTCATTTCCGCAGTTCATATATGATTTATTTCATATATCATTAACACTCATTTCTTTCACGGGAACATATGAACCCACAATTGACCTGCTCCCAACGTCAGTGGCTTCATAGCTCGGTTGGTAGAGCATCGCACCGGTATCGCGAGGTCACGGGTTCAAACCCCGTTGAAGTCCTGAATTTTTTCAGGCTTCTTTCCGCAATTGCATAAATTGCGTTCACTGCGACGATCTTTTCTTCATTTTCATTTCATTTCCGTAGTTCATATATGATTTATTTCATATAACTTTAACACTAAGTTTCAGCTTGTTAGGTAATAGCTTTATGTAATCACGTTCATCAGTTCAGTTTGAGCTTATTTTCTTGATTTTTCCCGTAAGCGACCACTTTTTCGTGCTTACGAGATTTGACTTCTTTAACTTGAGTTCGTAAAGAATTGTTTAATTTCCTTGGGCAAATGTACCTAAGAACAAATTCACATGTTCATCATTTCAGAATGTATCAATTTCTCAGTCAAATGATTGTTTTAGTAACCGCATGGTTTGAAGCAAAGGAATTGGCAGTTATTGTCAACCTTTTCAAACCGACGACGATTCCTTGGACTCAGAGTAATGAACAATTTACTACTTGACAGTGTGAGCGTGGAATAAGAAAAAATGTGGTTACAAGGTTACAAGGGGTTTCGTCTGTGGTCATTGCTACTAGAACAATGTCCGTTAAATCTGCCACTTCTTTACTGTATGTGGTGATTCGTTTTTCCTTATGTAGGAGATGGGTACAAGCTACGCTCGAATGTACGACTTGTCACGCTCAGAGCCAGTTGAGATTTGTGAACTTGTGACCCACATGTTAATCGGCGGTGCATCTTTAGAGACAATCAATGAACTTATCTTGCTTGCTTCAAGACAAAAACCTCAGAAGGGTAGAGTAGGGAGAACAGTACAAGAAACGTTGAAAATTGTCTTGGAGTCCTTTTGGTAAGTTTACTGAAACTTAACCTCCTTTTCATCTTGTCCACAGTACTTGCTACATACTCGCTGCTCTCCCTCCATACCCCCGAAAGAGCTTGCTCGCAGGCTTTTATAGAGGTGAGAAGTATGACGTCACACGTTACCATGGTATACCGGATATACGTTACCATGCTAAACCGGAAATACTTCTATGTTCGCTGGTTCCACCGTTAGTTAGTTACTTATGAACTTGACACCAGATATATATTTATTCATTCTCTCTCAGTGAAACAGCAGATTTGTCTCATTCGCTGCTGAACAATAAGAACCCAATGGACATTTTACGTACAATTATCCAGACAGTGAGCCTTCACATTCAGAAAGGAGGGACAATGACCAATCAAGAAGACGTATTGGAGTGTCTCAGACCCTTCTGTGCTGATGTGAGTGTGTCAGCCGCTGTAAAGACAACAGTTCTTCGATTGATGGAGGAGTCATTTGAACTAAGTGGAGAAGACACCTTTTTGCTGTTGTTTTATCAAACAGATGCTGTTGTGTCTTGCACATGGAACAAAAAGGTAACGTATGTCAGTGACATTTTCCACTGAAAAGATTTTCCCAGAGTGTGCCCATCAAACAAGTGTTAATGTGAAGAGGGAGTTTCTTGCGGGAATTTACGTCAATTTTAATTTGTTAAGACTAACGGGAACTTATTGCGAGTTCAAACGTCCAACTTTTCATTAACCGAACTTAATCCCTTCAATTAAGCACATGAAGACTAGATCGACGTTTGAATCAATTAAGTCCGACGTATCTAATTTGGGTCGACCCATGAATTAAGATCGAGTGACCCACGTGTCGAACGTCCAACCTAATACATAAATTACTATTGCATATTTTCACTGTCCGGAAAGCATTGTAGACCACTGTACATCGTGAAAATGATTTGAGATGATGATGATGAAACTTTATTAAGGTGTCTAAAGAAGCCTCCTAGCTTAGGTTAAAGCCTATGCTAATTAGGGGACACAAAATAAATAAATATAAATTAAAGTAAAAAATATTTACATATAAGCGAAGGTATAAAAAAATTAATGACATTAACAATATTTACAGTATGACAAATGTGTCTATGAATTGCAGAGATGACAACACTTGCATCCATTATCCATTGGTGTAACTATATCTAATGTATTTACAGTCGAACCCCGCTATTTCGAACTCGGTTAATTCGAAGTCCCCGCTATTTCGAAGGAAGAGCGAATTCCCTTGGATTTTCCCTTTCCCTTTGAGCTTCCCCGGTTATTTCGAAACCCCGCTATTTCGAACTTTTGTCCATTTCCCTTGGGACTTCGAAATAGCGGGGTTCGACTGTATTTTGTTTTTGAAACATTTTAAGGTGGTAACTTCTCTCAAGTCTGGGGACAATTTTTCCCAGAGACTGGGCCCCAAGTTGCGGAGGGAGTGCTTGCCATTTGTTACCGTGTTGTACCTGGCAGCGGAGAAATCAGACTGTCTCAAGTTATACTTGGATCTATGCTCAATAAAAATGTCACTGATATAGGGGGGACATAGATTGTTCTTGGCTTTATACATTAAAACACAAATGTGTTGTAGTCTCCTGTTCTGTAAACTTGGCAGTTCTGCTCTTTTTAGAAGTTCAGGGTAGCTAACATTGTTCCTAAAAACAGCACGCAGGCCCCTTTCTTGCATCCGCTCGATTTTACGAGAATTGAGTCCGACTAGGTAAGTTCGACGTCTGAATCAACCGTCGAACTTGTAACATTTGGGTCGACCTAAATAGGTATAAAGTTCGGTAAATGAAAAGTTTGACGTTTGAACTATGACAAGGTGCCAAGAGCTATCGTATCAATCACTACTCAAAGGAACTGACATAGATTGTTTTTAATTCTTTATTAAAAACTCGATCTATCCAGGTCCAGCTTCCAGTTTCTTATGTCAGCTTAGTTCAGTGTTATCGTTTCTTTCATTCAGCTCTCTCCAGAAGACATTGATAGTGACACAAAAAGACATGAGCTATTTGAGACTCTTCTACTTGAGAGCCAATCGCTGGATCAGCTTCTTAGCCTGGGTTCCCTGTTACAGTTATGGCCTGTGCTGGCGGCTACAGAACTCAAGTAAGAGTAGAGATGGCTCTTATTAAAACCTTATAAATGATAGCAAACAAACCCCGAACCATCCATTCAAAATGGTTTTGCACAAACGAAACGTTTCAAAATATTAGAAGATTAGAAGCTGGGGGCGGAGCGGGGCAATGGGTAACTGGAAACGAAATATATTAGTTGCTATGGCAACTAGCCAGTCATCTTTCGAGAAACTCGGCTTTTATCAGAAAACTCGTCCTTTACACATTTGAATCTAAAACACAGTATTCTCACTAAACTCTAAATGTTGTTTCTGAATGCTCACAATTTGGACAATTCGATGACTTACACAGTGACCAGTTTTAGCATGTCTATTCTATCTTTGAACAGTGATGAGCCATCAGCTAATCCTTGGGTTCAACTTATGGACAAACTAATACGTTGCCATGGTGATGGAGAGCACGTGATTTACATGGCAAAACAACTGCGTAGCACAACAAGCCTCAATGTGGAGGTAAATGAATACAAAGTTGGATACATAAAAGTATCATCTTAAACTGTCAGGAACATTCATATCACTAACATTTTAGGTGCCATCCTCAGAAACAAACGGAGCTTGTACCTCCTAACTTCTTTCGTCTCGAACCTTACAAAAAAAAGCAACGCTCATTCCAAATTATTGTATTATGATGTTACAAGAAACGGAAGTGCTGATGCAGCATTGACTTTTTAGGGTCTAAGACTGAAAGTAGTGTACCTTGTGAATGACTTTTAAACGTGCTATAATCGCTTATGTCTTTGCCTCACAGAAATTCACTCATGTTGCATAGTTGACTTTGCGTTCTGCAGGGTGAGGTTAAATGGGCGATTTCATAGTAAAGCTCATGCGCCTCGCGCAGCGCGAAAATATCAATCCTCATGGTCGATGCTACATGTAAATGTGTTATGATTATTGTTATGATTATATTATTATCAAGTCATAGCATCGTTGAATTTAGGTGTTGTTAACTTGCTTTCAATTTTTTTTAGTGTTGTTCCCATGTGTATAATTTGATGCTGCTTAATTGTCGATCCTTGTATGCCTTGAAGTTTGCCTTGGTGACAAAACTGGAAGCCATGCATCACTTGGCTTTGGAAAACATGAAGAACTTGAAGGTAACATTATTTTCTTTAGGCCCAGTCAGTTGCCTTATATACAGTCTTTACATCGTTGATATTCACTTATGTTGTTGTAAAGTTACCTCGTCTTCAATTAGAAGCAACTGCAAATTAGCAGTCACGCTTCAATTTCATTTGACGGAAAAATCGGGTTGGGACGCCAAAGGCACGGGTAATCGGTTTACCGGCTCACTACAGAATTGCCATTTTTCTGTTCGGTTTGGATCTAAAAAGGCGAGAATATTTGCAAGTGGATGGTGGAAATGAGCACAGAGTGCGAGTGGGGAGTCCCTTCCCATCACTCCCTTCTTTCCGGCTTCCGAATATGCGCCCCCACCCCCCGCAAAGAAATGAAAAAAAAAAAGGAGATCGTGAGCGACAGGGAACGAAGCTGGCATAAACTGCAACGTCGGATGTAACAGCTACCGTTACCGGCATCTGATGTTCAGCCCAATCACTCTTTTTCTACGCCAGACGCTAGTAGTCAAATATGCAGCTGGCCCCTGTAAGGTAGAGAAGGGTAGTTGGTAACTAAGACACATTTTTTCCGTTTGATGTATTCCAACGTTACCAGAGTGAAAGGACTATTTAAAATTTTCCGTTGCTCTCCACAAGTTTGTGCCATTTTGTTTAGAGTGGTTATTTGCTGTCTGGATGTTTAGAAGCCTTAATATCGTAAGTGTCCCTCCTAAAACCTTGTGTTTTCTCTTATAGGTGAATTCCAATTCTTATGATGATGAGCTCCTGGAACTTTTAATATCCAACGGCCTAACTGCGGAAGTGGCACAAACGCCCTTCCTTACCCCCCTGATAAGCTTTGTTCTCAGTAACCCTGATGGACCCATAGATCCCCAGTCAGATAACACGGCACCGGCAGCAGCATCTCACACGGGAGCAAGAGTCAGGCTCGTTGCCTCTCAGCTACAAACAGCCGGTTTGTGGGCAGAGGCTGGCACACTAATGTTGAATTATCATGGAACACATAGCGCTTTAAGAACGTTTGACAGTGCTGTGGGGGTGTTATCCAGGTGGCTTAGAAGATAACAATTCAAATCAAGTTTTATAAAAACTGCAACAAGACTAGTAAAGCCATTATTTTAGTGAACTGTGGAACATCGATAGACACCGATATGACTGAAGTTTAGAAAATCGTTTGGTATATTAACTTAGCGGGAAAGAGATAATTAACGTTAGACGGAAGTAATATAAATAATAGCAGGGCGTTAAGCGCTGTTGGTCATCAATTAGTATGCCTTAAGTAGTTAAAACCGCAACGAAAACGAAAGGATTAACTTATCGAGACCAAAATATAGCATACAGTTAAATTATGTGATAGATAAATTATGTATTGACCACAAATAAGCCTCGCGGTCTTGTCTACACCGGCTAGTGAATAATTTATTACGTTATAATGTTATTTTAGTTCTTTCTATTGACGTAGCAAATTTGGTCAACATTAGCTAGTTATGAAGAACTAGGAAGGGGATAAGCCAATCAGAAGTGGAGAAATATTATGAGTAAATAGTAGTACAGGTCGAGGAGTTAGTCGCTGCTTGCATGTACTATGGGCCCCCTGTTTAGTCATAACGTTCAGTTTTGCTAATTAGAGCGATTTTCGTATGACCTTGAAATCTGGTTTCGGTAAGTGTTCGTTGTTTATTTTATCAGCCAACGGATGGAAAGATCAAAACATGGCCTCTTCGTTTTCCCGCCAAAGAAAACCCTTAGGGTCCCTAATACAGAGAAGCATTGTTCTATTGGCCAATCATGTTGCCGTATGACGTCAAAGCGAAGTATCGGTTGATTTCTACAAAGTTCTCGGGCATGAAGTTTTTTCACCCGAGCGTTCGCTTAACCTACCAAAGCCACGCGCGTTTGTATCCGTTCGATAAATCAATAAAATCGCTCTATTTTTGTTCGTTTGTTGTTTCTGTTTTGTTCGCACGTTTTCATTTCAAGATCATACCAAAATCGCTCTATGAAACCTGACGTTGGCGAAGAAATTTACCCCATTAATTGGTGGTGAGCTCTTTCAGTTTATGTTTGAATTTACGTTAATTTCGTGACCCAGATCTTTTAATAACGTATTACTGTAACAACACTGTTTCAACCAGGAGGCAGCTACAGTAATTTAGCAGTGCATATCTGTGGATTCAATACGGTTCGGGCTACTCATCAACACTCATGTACATGTAAATATGTGCCAAGAGACTCGAGAAACAGCTTTAAAAAAAATTGACTTTATTACAAAGCATACAGTTGGCGTTTTACAAATTTCAATCCCTCTGTGTGTACAGGTAACACTAGAAATAAAATTTTAACCTGTTAAGTTACATTTTGCAACAGGAAAAGTGTAAGCTTAACGTGCATTGCGGAAAAAACAAAAAATGAAAAAGAATAAAATTAATTGGAATCGTTGTACAGTGGATTTTTTTTTTAATGAAAAGGGGTAACGGAATACTTTCATCTACATCCAAGAACTACCGTTATACTAGCGTTAGAGACTGGGAAAAATATCAGTTACGACAACTTCTATTTAAGTATTAAGCCACGCCCATTTAGGGTAATCTTGACAAGGTGCGATGCATGCAAATGAATGGAATGATGAATGGATTTAGGACTACAATGCAACGATCTACGCTGCATTCACTACCGCAAGATGTTGAACTCGTGTGTTTTAATTAAATTAATTTGAAAGTTTTTAATTAAATTTCGCACTTTTCAAAGTTTTGCTTGCCAGCTAGAAGACTTTTAGATGAAAATGTTTGTTACAGAACAATGTGTTGGAGCTTGGAAAAGGCAACTTCTGGCAATTTAATTTAACTTAATATTCATCTGAAATACACTCTTCGACAATCTTTTTAAGATTGGGATTTTCCATTGCAGCTGCTATTCTTTCCTTATCGTTAATTTGCTTGTTAACTGAAACAAGAAAACAACAGGAATCAGGAATATTATGAGTCAAAGAAAGGAACAATATAGATACAGTACATTCTTATTCTTGTGACCTCATTACTAACCAAGTTAATTTCACTGAATGAGAACGTGTGTTGGGTTTCTGGTATCTTCCCGCCCAGAGCGGTTTCAACACAAGGCAAACTCTTTTTTGTGAACTTGATAGGCCATTTCTGAGTTGGCCCAAACCCCTGTTTTAATGCAAAGCTAAATGCGAAGCTATTGATTTGAAAATGATTTTTTTATTCTCATGCAAATAAAACTCATTTTCACAAGAAAGGTTTTGCACTTAGCCTCATTTTGAAAGTGAGACTTTTTGGAACTCCGAAACGGCCTATTCAGCCCACAGAACTAAAGCTGGCCAGTTCTGACTTATGGTAAGCACCCTTATTAGTTATGAGTAAGCCATTGTAACCTACTTTCATCCTCTGTAGAGTGAGTTCCCTTGGAAAGGAAAATATCAAGCTGGAAAAACAAACAAAAAGCAGGCAGTTAATATCCTACCATGGAAGGAATGTAGCTTATCATTTCTCTGTAGCTCTCACATTAATTTGTTCTAATTTATTAGTAACCCAATATTCTAACTCAACAAAGTATTCAGGGTTCCCCTGAAAATTTAAACAAGGAGAAAAAATTTCAGTAGACAGCAACATAATAATAATAATCATCTTTATTGAGGAAACTTTTTCATCAAAGATATGGTTTTCAAAAAGGACCTCAAAACTAGATATATATTATAAAAACAAAAAAAGCTATAAAATTACAAAGGGATTAAAAAGATACAAAAAATGCATAAAAAATTAAAAATAAGTATAAGTAAAAATTAAACGTAAGTAGCTATATTAAAAACTTAAAAACATTACGTTTAAAACTATTTACATTCGTTGAGTCTTTGATCGTCTGACTGAGGGAGTTAAAATCGGAAACGGCATGATATTGTGTTCTTTGCTTCCCCCAATTTCTTTTGACACGTGGTAATCTAAAATTGCCTTTGTTACGTGTATTATGCCTATGAAGTACGTCTTGTCTAATCAAGTCCATATCGTGATTAATTAGGCCATTGATGCATTTGTATACGTGTACACACCTTCTTTGAAATCGCCTTTTCTCTAGAGGCAGCCACTTGAGAACGGCTAATGCCTCAGTGGAGGATGAGTACAATGGTCTATTTAAAATAACTTTAGCGGCCTTATTTTGCAAAACTTGCAAACTAGACATAAGGGTAATATTATGTTTATCGCCCCATACTAGATCAGCATATTCAAAAAGGGGCATAACAAGACTTTTATAGAAAAGTAGACGCGCCCTGAAAGGCAATAAATGCTTTATACGCTTGAGAAGCCCAAGCCTCTGATTGATTTTCCCAGTTAGGTGTTCAATATGATCAGTCCATGTGAAATCCGAAGATATATGAATACCGAGGTATTTAAAGCTGCGAACATTACTTATACTATGATCTAAAATTGAAACAGTCAAATCTACTTTGCTTTCGCGTTTCCTATTACTACCGATAACCATGCATTTAGTTTTGTCCAAATTTAAAGTCAATTTGTGATCATGAAGCCATTTCGCCACACCCAGTAGATCGTTATTTAACTTATCACTCAACTCCTTTGAAGAGCAACAAAGGCATTTGCATGTGAGGAGACACTACAGGTATGCCCCCTTCCATTGCATGAGTCTGTGGGCCTCGCTGGGATAAAATTGTAATTTTGGGCCGCTAAAAGGCACAGTTTGGTGCTCTTTGACCGACCAGGGAAAGAATGGGGTAAGCCATGAGGTTGGCACCTTTCTTACCCACATTTGCTTTATTGGATGAAACAAGCATTTATTATGTTTGTTTCAACCAATGAAGTTTTAAGAAAAATGTGAAAGATTTATTATCCTCCTTGGTGCTTATTATCCTAGCCAGTGTTTCCTTGACAACTAGACAACAATTTTGCCAGTTGACAGAGACTCTGGAGAACAATTTGTATCTGAAGTACTGTGTATAAATATGAGCTGGTGAAACAAACAAAATGTGGCAAGTAACTGGTATCCAATGTAGTTACCAAAAATGACTAAAACTTAGCATGAGGGGGAAAATTATTAATCTTTTCAAAATTCAGACTCAAAATAACTTTGTCTCTTTTTTCCAGTAAACAAAAATGTAATATCTGTAAGAATAAACACAAATCTCTGTGTGGTAGTTCCCAAAACCCTGTTTCCTCCAAAGTCCTCTTAGTTTCCAAATTTAAATCGTATTCTTCCTCTATACATTCTGCACATTCAGTTACATTGTCAGTGATATTTTTCTCTCTTGGGGAATGGCTGGGGTGCTTATTTTAAGGGAGGCACAAAATTGATATTTTAAGTCTCAAGGAGCGATAATTTGAAGGAGGGTGCTTACTTCAAGGAGAGTGGTTATTCAATCATTTACGGTATGCAGCTTATCACGCCCTTCCATTTCACTTAAAGCACATTCTTGAAGTGAATTTCTAATGTGTACAAATATGCAAGGTACAAAGCATACAATTAAGACGTGTATGCCTTCTCTATTGCTCTAAAGTTGCAGAAGCAAAATTCAGGTGCAGATCCACACCAGTTTCCACCGTTTTACGAAATCGGTCAGATTTTTCATAAATAAATATACTTTTGATAAAAAAAACTTTCCAAATAAAATCTCGCCAATATCCCGTCTGAATGACTCAGAAACGAAGGCAAGGTGACTTTAGGGAGTTAACATTCAATAAAATTTCATGGGGTTAGTGCCTCAGGACCCCTCTATGAGCTTGCGCCTTTGGTGCTTGTTTAAGAAGTCAGTCAATATTTATCCTACATGTCTGAAATTAATGCTGCCTCTCATTACTGAATTAACATAACAATTAACTTTGCAATAAGCCATTTGTAAGTTGCCCGAAGCCTCTGTTTTAAAGTGAGGCTTAGTGCGATGATGTTGATATGAAAATGATCTTTTATTCTCAAGCAAATAAAACTCATTTTCACAAGAAAGGTTTTGCACTTAGCCTTGTTTGGAAAGTAAGAGGTTCTGGAACTTGGAAATGGACTATTGTTACAAATTATACTTTTTTCTTAAAAGAAAAATACATACAGAAATACCAAGGATAGGATTGGATACAAACTAAACTCAACTGCATTTCATACCTTGAACTTGTAAGGCAATGAACGTTCTAACTTTACCCTCAAACATAGTCCTACAGAGTACAAGAAATATTTGTCACTTATGTGTTCAGTTGTGTATTTCAATTCTAATTACCCTCAAACATAGCCCTATAGAGTACAAGAAATACTAATAATTGTTGTATTTTTATGTTTCATGGTTTCAAAGCAAGGTTTTTTAAAAAAATGGATTTGATTATCTGCGTGAGAGTAGTCCAGAATGAGCTAGAAAGATGGGAATGTCGTTGACAGTGACTATTATCTCAAAAGCTCTGTGAAAGTTACAATGTACCATCAAATGAAATTGTCTGAATTACATCATCAACTTCTTTTGAAGGAAAGCATGGAACAAAGGAGACAAAAGAGTTTGACAGCAGGCTATTTTTTATTCGAAATTTGCTTTTTACCACAGTGATCTAAAAAGTTAAGTCAGCCATTTGAACTTCAAACATCCAGCAAAGGAAAAATGTTGGCTCATACAGTAGTCTCAAAAAAAGAAAAGGACCTACATGGCCAAGAAATTTTAACAAGTCACAAAGTTGTATTAATTTACTCAAAAGAGTGCCTCCCCTGAAGTGAATGCCGCACTTGAAAAAGCACCACAAGTACATTTGTGGTAAAGTATTATAAGAATTAAACCCTCCTAGCAATAATGAAGTGCTTACGAATTTTAATATTTTTTTTTTACATATTTTATTATTGTCAAATTAGAAGGGGATGTAGACAAAATGGGTCTTTCTTGGTGTTGCAAAAGCCATTGTTGGTTCACATTTGTGTTATGGTGTGGACATTGTTCATTGTCTTTTCATTCTGCTTAGTACTAAGTCAATAATTTTTGGTGATCACACCCGTCCACAACACCAAGAGACTACCAAAATAGTTAACTTAGAAATCACTTGTTCTTGGTGTTGTCAAAAACCATAATTGTTGGTTCACATTTTGTGTTATGGTGTGGGTTATCATTCAGTGTCTTTTTAATCATTTGCATTATGTCATTTGGTGACTGGCCCATCTGCAGCAACAAGAAACTACCCTCAAATTTTTGCCACATGCTTTGTGCTGTTGTAATCAAGATATTTTGAATAATATTAAAACAAACAAAAAGAAAGCAATCTCACACAGTACTGAGAAGTTTTACAAAGTGTTGGTACTCTTCTATGGTCTGACTTACCTATCAGTGTCGCAAGAGAGCAATGAGGAGCAGTAGGTTTAAATTCTATCTTAATAATGTATTCATCATTTCCAGTCTGATGAATTTCAATAAATTCCTCTTCAATGACACTTAATTCCTCAAGTGTTTGTGGTAACTCTGGGTCCTAAAATAAATCAATGAATTAAAAATTACACCTTAAAAGTTGTCCATAAAATACACACCACCACAAAATTAATGCCTCGAGACATTTTTTTATTTTATATTAATTTTTTGTATCTTAACAGAGCTCCATGAGCATGCAAAGCATGCACGAGTGGAGCCCCATACCTAAGAAAATTTGGCAATCTATCCATCTAACAAATGTTGGCAATCATGACCAACTGTCCAGCTGTCTGCACCACAGGGAAACCAATGTGAAATGTCAAACTTTCTAGCTAGTGTGGGAGTCTGTAACCTGTGTTTAACTTGATAATAGACATTCATATTATGGTCAATTCCTAGCTGTCAAATCAGGGTATCCACTGACCAGAGTAACATGACTGTATTGTGGGCTCAGGTGCCAACTCATGTTTTGTACAACTTCAGTCAAACAAATCTCAAGGACTTCTCAAGGACAAATTACAATTTTCAAGGACTAAGATTTATTCCATAAATCGGCATTCTTTAACCCTCTTTTAAACACCTTATTGTCTAAAACACTTAATGGCAGTTAATGAAGTCATTTCCAATTTTTACTTTTCCAGCCATGGTTGATCACATTAATTTAACTACTTTATGTAAGGTACATGTATTGAATTTCAGGGACTATTAAGGTATCATCCAGGGTAAAAAATCATCATTTTACGAAATTTGCAATTTTTAGATGATTAAATAGAGCTCATCAAGAGCTTTCTTTTAAAAAAATTCCAGGAAAAAATGTTTTTTCTGGGCAGACTTATGGAGCACAAAAATTTTTTCTATGCTATATGATTTTAATTGATCATTGACAAGTCCTGTCATACTTGATATTCATGCCGCTGCTGAACCAAGCTTATCACGCAGTTTGACAGAAATTGTGGTCATAGACAGTATAGTGCTCACTGTTTTTCCCTGGATTTTGGAAGTGATTGCCTCCAAAGAAAGAAAAACAGCTTATCCATTTTCGTCCTTGACTCCAAGAAGAAAGATGACAAAATCGTTTTGCAAAGAGTGGGCTTCGAAATTAGCAGAGAGCGACAAGGGCTCCTACTACAATCAAGAAAAATGGCTAAAAGATGACAAAGCTCCTGAAAAACCCATTGAAACTACCGCGGAATCAAGTTTCACGAGTTTCTTAGCGAGCGGAGCGAGCTTTTTAGACCGCCAAGCGGCCAAGCGAGCGACAAAGTTGCGAGAGGTCCCGTGCCATATAAAAATCGAACGAAGGACTGTTTTGAAAGTCTATTGTAGCGGGAGAGAAGCTTCAGGAAAGACTCCAGGAAGCGGTTTGTTGTTGATTTTTCCAGGAACATGTCGAACTTTTAGAAAATGTATCGAGTAAAAGTGCGTTTGGCTCAACTTGGCTTGTCTGATGCGGAAATGAAAACTGCCCGTCGCAATCATATGCTTTCTCAACAAAAGAAAGGAACGAACAGAGCAGACTGCAGAAATAAATTGTTCATCTGTTGTTGGGTTTCGTTTTTGACTTTTCCTGCTGTGTCACTATTGTTGTCCCTCCTCTGGTATGCATCAACATTGACAGCTTTGGTGTTAAAATCTGTTATAATCTCTTCACGGGTATTACGCCGCCAAAAATCTTTTTCCACTTTTTTCTTGAAATAAAAATCAGGGCAAGTTGAGGGTATGTTTTGAACTCCAAGTCAGCAACCCAAGAACCAATTTGGCTGAAATTTGGCCAGCTTACTGTCCGATAGTTTTTCTAAAAAACCGTGTCTGCGAATTCTGATTTCTTTTTTCGTTTTCGAGTTAGAGTATTTTTTTCACAGGTAGTGCTAATGATTTGCTATCCCTAACTTCAACTGTTTATAACAAAAGAACAAACGCACTTGACAAAAATCTGAGACACTCTTTTTCAGTCAAACATGCGCTTTTAATCGGCTTCTTCTGTTTATTTTTGGTTGGCCTGGACTTAAATTTACAGCGACACCCACTTTCACAAAAAGCTTCTCATTTCTAAATCGTGTTAATATTTTGATTTTTTAAAAGGAATGAGCAATAATCTGGAACTATTAAGCTTTCAGAAAATGTATGGTTTATGGGGGTATTTATTAAAAGCAAAAGCACTAGTGCCAATCAATGTGAGGAAGGTGCTTGAGGGTGGATGATACCTTAAGACCTAAAGAAATCAAGTACTTTTCAAGAACGTTAATCGAATTCAAGGACTTTTCAAGACGACTACTAAAATTAAAGATTCTTTTCAAGATTCTACAAAACATGCAACTCATCTAGGTCACATGTTTTCCACTGACCAGTTGTTAGTTTTTAATTGACTGCAGGCTAAAGTCTATGTTTTTCTCTCATATGGTTCTACCCTTAAATATAGATTTGTGGATTTCTTTGCAGAGGTTTCAAGTCCATTGTCTGAAGTAAATTTAAAATGCATAAACAGGAGCTTCACTTTTAACTCTGGCTAAATCTATATATTAATGAGAATTTTATTAACACCTTAGTACAAAAACAAAATCATCCAAGACCTGGCAATTAAACAAACTTTCTCAGAGTCCTTCGTCATTATATAGGAATGCAAGTGCTTTGCTCACCATTAATTTTTTACACCCATAGCTCTGCTTTTGCAGTTCAGCTTATGGGTAAGTCTAGTATTTCACTGCCAAATAATTAAGGAGCTACAATTCTTCAATTTGTTTCTTCTTTTATACAATTTAAATAACCTACAATGTATAGAGATGGTAAATTGACTTCAGTAGAGAGTGAAGAAAAATGTGAATCGTGTCAATTATTACTAGGGGAACAAATCAAAACATTTTTCTCTATTTTTTTCTCAGCAGGTAAAGTGAAAGTGATGAGTATAGCCAAAATTATTTTGTAGTCTCCTCAGCAGAGATGCCAACCTCTGGAGACCTTAAATCGGGAGATTGTCTTTTTTTCACTACCCCCCCCGAAAAATGGACCCATCCCCCAATGGGAATGACTTAGGACATTGTATGACGTCTTACATGATGTATCAAAATTAGAAATCATCGTTTTGATGCTAGAAATGATCTTTGTCAATGACTACATACGTGCAAAAATGCCCCAGAAACAGTACTGCGAATAAGAAAAATTCAAGTTTTGAGCTAAAAATGGGCTAAATCTCAAACTAAGTCTGTTTTAGTTTTTACTAAGTATTCAATATTTACAGTGGACGTAAAAAGCGGAAGATTTATGTACCAAACCGGGAGAATGGGAAAAGAGGCACAAAAGCGTAAGTCTCCCGCCAAAAGCGGGAGAGTTGGCATCACTGCCTCAGAGTTTTGTTTGCCATTGAGTTGACCACAAGCAATAAGAAGGCGGTCATATTTTCTTAAATTACCATCTTTCTTTCTGAAGTTACTTACCCTAATATCCTTTACAAGGTCTAAAAATAAAGAAAAGTAGAGAAGAGATTAAACAAACAGTGTATTGTACTGAAGCTTTTAAAATTGAGTTTAATGTGCCCAGAAAAAAGAATTGCGAAGAGCCTGGATCCTAGTCTCAGGAAATTGGTAACCTCTATTGTGATCAGCCACTTGTGATTTTTTGCCAAAATGTACCTGGCCCAGAATTTGCGTTTTTTTCTTTCCAGTCATAAGCAGGGATTTTTTGCCGAGAAAATGGAAGATAGTGCTGCACTGGTTTTAGTCTTGATCACATTATTCAGTTACACATAGTATAACAACTATAATACTTATTAAGGTCATAATATGAGATATCACTAGTGTTACAAAAATTAAGGTACAAATTAATTTGAGCCTCGATTGCAAAACCTTAATTTTATGAAGCTTGTTACTTTTGAAAAGATGATGTAGCCAGTCTAATAAACATAGACATTCTCAAAGCTGGTTTTGTTGTCTTTGGCACTGGAAGTGCCACCTCTGCATTGCAGAAGATCTTATGTAAAATAATTAACAATTAATGAATGAGGCTGAGTATCTTATGAAGAATCATGGAGATCAAAGAGGGTGCTATCCGTCGAGGCCGTAGTCCAAGGCGGATAACACCCTCCGTGAAGGGGAAGGGGTATTTGACATCAGTGTTTTCCCTCTGGATAACGAATTTAACATGAAAGTAGGCTAAAACCTCAAATCCCCCTGAGTATGCTGGTATGAATGGTGCATTACTACGAATTTTCGTATGAACTTCTGAATAAAATTCTGTGTCCTAAATTTGTTTCTCGAGGATATCCATGTAATATTGTTCTTACCAAAAATTTCTTGTGCGAGCACCAAGTTATCAACACAGCTGTCTGAGACAGTAGAGGAATCTTTTTCTTCAGACATAACACGTACACACTGCTACAAAACCGCCATTTTGAATAACGTTGCGCGGTCCATGTCCACTGGGAACGACATTACGTGACGTTTGCGGAACACCGCGGCAAAACGTCTACGCATGCGCCAGGTTGAGCATTTCCGGTCTCTTTTTCAGTCACACTTTCCAGTCAAAGTCTCCCGCGCGCTTCATTCTGTGTGCAGCTTGTGGTTCAGTTGTTCTGCTTTATGCTGCTCGTGTTTTTGACTATTTTGTAGTTATTGAAATTGCTTTTATGGATAACCAGGCACAGATCACTGAAACAATCAGTCGATTAGATTCAGAAAAGGTAAGATGATAATAACTCAGTGTGTAATTTTGGCTAGAGCGTCAGGTAAACTGATTTTCATTCACGAAAATAAAGTTTCCCAAAGTTTTTGACTGTTTTTTTTTTCACTTAACCTGGCTAAAACTAAGACAGAAAATTAAAACGTTATCATTGCAAGCTTGTGTATTGTAGTTCTAATTTTCAGTTCTTCAGTTTCTCAGTCTACATGTGTTAAAGCCGATTCAAACTTTATTTGGAAAACGACAACACACAATCGCTTTGTAGTTTTGTTTACCAGTGGGTTTTACCGTGTTTTAAAACGAAACTCTTCTGGGTTGATTGCCTTTAAACATAAGCTTAATTATACTGTTGACCCGGTTGGCAGCAAGTTGACAACTCTATTTATTTATTTTTCCATTCTCAGAATCAGAGAGCGAAAGCTGGTTCAGTGGCTTTTAGAAGTCGAACTTTTCATGCCATGTATTTAGCAGCTAGAAGTTTCGTGTTTGCATGAGATGCAGCCGAGCCGCACAGTCTGAAATTATTGAAGTCTTCAACAGAAGAACAACCATGTAAAAGAATTAAATAGGCATTTTCTTGAATGAAAGCCATTTATAGGCATGTTTAGTTTCCCGGTGACTGCTGTCATCAAAGTCAAAGTTGTTATTAAATCCCGCCCATCTTTTGTTTTGAGTTCTTGTTTTCTCTACCCTGCGAACAGAGTCTCCTTCGATCTTCCTAGATAAGTCGGGAAGAGGAAGGAAAGATCGAAGCGAGTCTGCTAGCAGGGTAGTTTTCTCTGATAATAAAACAAATTATTGAACGGACTAAAATTTTATTTCCTAGTTTTAGTGTTTTTTTATGATAATGATGACGTCTTAATTTTGGTTTCTTTCATATGTATTGTTATTCTTTTCTTAGTTGTTGCCTTCTCCCAAATTAACTTATGCCAAACCAGTAGCATGCAAGAAAGCCAGTAAAAACAAATTCGTCTTGTCGAGCGCTCGCGACCTGCAAACTTCAAACATCATTTTCACCGTTGGTGCAAACAGATAACCATGTGGTGCAAAAGTTTGAGAATAGAAAAATATATAAGCTTTCGAATGAAGTGATTTTTTTGGCCCCCTTTTTTGTCTGTTTCGCCCTTTTTGCTTTTAAACTTGGCGCGACGGCAAAGTTATGCTTACGCTATTGGTTTATATACTAGACCGGAAATAAAAAGCTGACCGGATATTAAATTTTGTGCTCATGCGCATTGCGTTTTGCCGCGGTGTTCGTTTGCGGTAACCTGGGAACAAAGCGATGCACGTCAACCGGAAGTGTTTATATGACACAACACTTCCCAACGCTCCCTGAATTTGGGCAAGAAGTAAAAGCAAGCAGATCCTCTCTTTTACAAAGTATACATATACTTTCTACTTTCATATCAAGTATTAACTGAAATTACAAGCCAAACGATTTGTCTGGACTATTTGCGAAATACGATCCCCGACTGTGCAACGTGGAAGACACGCAGGTCACGCAGGCTAGCCACGGAGACCTTTTATTATTTGTATCCTCTTGTCATGAAAAAGAAGCAGATCACCGCGACACAAGGATATTTCACCGACTACCGCGAGATGGAATTTAAACTTACGGCACACCGCTTGGACTCTGAAAACCGCAATACCGTACTTTGAAATAAAAATTACCGCAACACCGCACCAAAAATAACCCAATACCGCAATACCGCAAACCCCTACGCCCCTCTCCCAAATCAGCTGAACATACTAAAAAGAGAAGAGAAAATCACGGCCCATATTTTCTGAAGCCTCCCAAACGGATAGCACGAAACCAAACCGGAAAACCGGAATTACCGGTTTTAACCTGTAAATGGTAAATACCCCGGGTATAAACTGTTAGCACGTAGCTTTCCGGTAACTTCAACTTGCTTCAACTGACAAGATAGATAATAGTTAGAGTTACGATAAAGAGAAGTATCTTATCATCATGATTAGTTTGAAAAGAATACCCTTGGAAGAAAACGCCGCGCAGAAGCAACTATCTTTGAAAAATGAAAAATGATCACTCGAAAGTATCAATAACCTAACCTTTGTATAGGAAAACATAAAAAGGAAGTTTCACAGATGTTATAAACAGCAGAATAATGCTGGCACGATAGCCAAACTTGTGATCTATGTATTGAATAACAGCTGAAACAAAGTAGCCGTACACTCGCAGTAAATACAGACTCCACTGGGCAGTCAGAGCAAAATGACCTCTCAGAAACAGAGTTTGCCGTCTTTTGCCTCGATTTTTTCTGTTTTATCGATTATATTTTACTGCGCCGGTTTTCTGAGAATTGAATTGGAGCTGAACGAACAGAAGAAGAGAATACAAGCTCTTGAAAGCATCGAAGAGACTAAATCACACGCCAACATTCTTGACCTCGTAACAAAGAGCAAGGGAAGCACTCCTGGTGAGTTTTGACAAAAAATACTTAAAAATGCAAATTTTCTTCAAGATTTCAATGCAAAAGACATCTGCAAAACGATCCTGCTCGTTTAGCCATTTTGAAACGACTGCTGAGCAAAGAACCCAGCGCAACGAGGTTGATACACGTATTTCTAGTTTTGTATTGACGTCACGGGCACCTAACGAGGATACAGTTCTTAAACATAGAATTGTTGAACGTATTTTAGTATTTAAACCGTAGATATAGGCATATTTTTATCCCTTAAAAATTTTTCACCTGTTCGGATTTCCTAGCTGAGAGTATTTATAGTGATCCGAACATTATATGGATCAAAACGGTTAGCATTAGATAACATCGAGTGCAGCCAGATTGGACACCTTATGAAAATCATCCGTCTACCTCACCAAACTGGTTAGCATTAGGTAACATCGGCTGAAGTCAGATTGTTTCTTTCAGTAAAATTACATGAAGAACACCTTAAGTTCAACTTTTCTGTGTAATATAAAATAAGATAGAAAAACTC